ATGCGTGGTGGAATCTGTGGGAAGGGTGGCCACTCGATGGTCGTGGCGAAGATGCGAGGTGTGAAGTCGAGCTATGAGCACTTAAGGGGGTGCGTCGGGTTGCGCCGGTACTTGTACTCGACCTGGAAGCCGCACGGGGATAGGTGGGAGAGGGATGCGACCTCTCGCGTTCGCGCGATTGTGTTTGGATCTCCATTTTGTCGGCGAAAAAGCAATGACGAGTTCAGCTCCGCGATCCGATTGCCCACAAATACGTTGAAGCACGGTTTCTTCTAGGATGCGCAATACGGGACGATTCTTGGACGAAGGATCAAACCGGCATTCGGATTGAGGTGTTGCACACCCGAATTGGTCGATAGTCAATGGCGATAGTTAGGTTGATGCCTGCTTGGAGGTGCAGAAGCGCGGATGGCAGCTGCGTGTGCTAGCGTAGCTCGAGCCGGTGAGGGTGGCCAGAGACTTAGATAGGAGACGAATCCTTGAATTAAGGCGCCGACGATGGTTGAACGGCAGACGCCGACTCGTGGTGGTGGATGCGCTTTGAAGGTATATCTGCGGCTGTTATTGCGAAACAACAGGCCAGGACCTGGTATTCTGCAGTGGTGGACTAACTACGCGACTGGTGATCGCGGCAAGTGGTGGGCGCGCCGCAGCAGGTGCGAAGCTAAAGCTTTGCGCGCGGTTTGAAAACACCGAGGAGACGTTTAAACACGAGGGTTGCGTTGCGTCGGATGGCTCGCCATGGGCCGATGGAAACGTGAGAGCAAGGCAGCCGGTTGAACTTTGGGGTCGGGCGGTTTTCAGGACGTTGGATCGGCAGTTGGGGTCAGCGTTGGGCAGCGGTGGATGGTGTATCCCGCCACGGGTTTTCGGTGGTGGCAGCACAGGAATGTCTCAATTGACGACGGATGTGATGGTGGGATGTCTCGGATGGCGGAGAAACGGCTGGGGACTGCGCGAACTGGCAAATGAGGCTGGAAAAGCAGAGAAAAGAATGCTGGGTATCTGGAAGTGCAAGTGCTGGACACGCGGTTGTTAGCAAGTGCCGGTCCGGGTGTCGCGTGCCTGATATTGTCGTTGGAGTCGCGCTCGGTGGCGGTCAAGACGGACAATATTGATGTTGATGTTGCGGTGACAGTCGTCGGCGGCGTCGTCCAAGAAACGACAAGCTCGACAGGGCCTTCTCGTGGTCGACTCCGTTGAAAGCTGGGCCTCGCTTCGACGGGACCCTTGGACCCTGGGAAATCGGACGGCGAGTGGTCGATGGTGGCCAGGGCTGTCGCGGGGTTCGTCCAATTGAGGCCAGGCGATGGGATAAGATGGGAGGGATTCGTCAGAGTAGCGCGGCGACAGTCAGCGGCGCAAATGCGAAGGTGAGTCTGACGAGAGCGACTGGCGAGAGAAAAGAAGGAGGATGACGAGAATGACGGAGGAGCAAGAAACACATTTCTCAGGGTCGCCAGTCGGAAGGAGACGACGGGAGTCAAGCAAGGACGAGAGGGCAAGCGACGTCTCATGCAGCGAGACAGAAGTGACGAGGGTTCGGCAAGGCGCAGGCAAGGAGCAGGGGTCGCGGGGGTGAAGGCTCCTCTTCTTACTCCTGACCCATGCCTGCGAAGCCTGGCGGAGGCGAGCAGCAAGAAAGGGCGGCCAATCGAAGGTTTGTCGCAAGTGTGTGATGGGGCCTGTTGAGCTGCGAATGCGATGGGAAGCGGACGACAGGCCGGCCGGGGAGGGAGACTGTCACTGCAGGTGGGAACTGTGATGTGTGATGCGAAGCCGGCAGGGATTGCGGTGGGGGGATGTCGGGAGAATTTAGAAAGCCCACTTGGTGTTGGTGATGTTGGTTGGTTGGAGGAAGGCAGCTGGCAGAGCTGGCAAAATGTGCAATGGAAAGAACGTTGGAGATGTGTGACGAAAGCAAAGGAAGGTCCAGGCTTGAGGTCGCGACTGCGAGGCAGGTCCAGGCAGGCCGAGGAAAGGAAAGAGTGGCCAAAGGAAGGAAAGAGCAGAGCAGCAGCAGCAGTACCTGCGCTAAGAAGCTAGGTAAGCAGGAGCTATCAGAAAGCAGGAGCAGTTCGTTGTTGTTGCTTCTTTCCGTCCGGCGACGCGTCTCTTCGTCCCTTGTTGCTTTATTTCCCGTTCCTTTGCTGCCAGAGCTCCAAAAAACCATTACAAGCCAGGCCAACTCAATTGAAGGAACCAACCAACGCGCCAGCCAAAGCACCCTCAAAAAGATCCCGCCAACCCGGTGCGCCTCACTCTGGGTCTGTGGTGCTTGGCCGCCCTCAAAGCGCCAGCCAGGCCTGAGGTCCAAGGCCAGGCAGGCACAGGCACAGAAACAGGAACAGGAATAGCAGTGGAGGGGAGATTGCCGGCGCGAGGTCGTCGCTGTTAGTGCCCCCGGCTGACACCCGTCAGTCGCTAGCCGTCCTCTAGCGGGTGGCTCTGGGAGAGAACAGCTCACTAATGGCCTGTTGAGATGCAGCAATAAACCTAGGGAATTCATCCTGTTCCATGATTGCTGCGCAGTGGCTGGTGCTGGCGATCCTTTTCTTCGCGATGCAATAGACTCGGTCACTGTTGAAGGTTCAAGGTGCTGAAGCTTGGACAGCTCGTTCATCCCGTCTGCCCACAGACTCTGGAGGGTCCCTCAGGGCAGGTGGCCCGCCTGTCAAGATCCTTGGTTCCCTCAGGTGGTCGTCGCTATGACACTGGGCAACACTGTCAATCTTGCATTTCTTTGCGGCGCAGATGAAAATGGATGCTCCAAATCTGCAAATATCGACCGTGGAAGCTTAAACAGAGCTCGGGCATTTCTTTCCCATCGCTCTTTCCTCATTCTCCAGCCAGGCGTTGCGCTAACATTTAGTACACTCGACCAGCAGGAAGGCCCAAGCTTCCCCTCCCTTACCCGTAGCTTCCCCCAATTCCCCTCCTGCAGCTGCACAAAACATATCCACCAGCTAGGTAAGGCAGCTAGCTCACTTATGCAAGGGATTATGCAGTCATCAATCAACCCACCGCGGGCGCCATCCAATTGCTCCGAGCTGTCATCCCTGCTTTTGCTTCTTTTCTCCTGCATCTTCCTCGCGACACACATCCAATGGCACATCGTTCCAGCGTGACGGGAGCAAGGTCTGCCCTGGTTCCCGGCTGCAACCCAACTCTGCCGCGCACCCTTTGAGGGCGCCGTCCCACCCGCAAAAGGGGTCGAAGCTGAGGGAGGTCTTTGTCGACAGACCTAAGCCGACATTCGGTGTCATCCAGAGGCGAGGCGTTGCTTTTCTCGCGGGAAAAGAGGCTGGCGTTGAAGACATGTCCCAGAAACGAACAAATCGTCGTACGAACTCGTCGCACACTACGCCCGTACGCGACGACATCCCTTCGCCCAATATCATCGCAATCGACAACGAGTCGCAATCGCCTCCTCGTCCATCACCGTCACAGCGCACGAAATCTCCGTCTGCCACTACCCAGAGGTGGTGGTCGCATTGGTACCTGATATTGGCCACCATCGACTCCCAATCGAGACGGACGCGATATTAGCCCGCGGGCTACCGCTAGCACAACGGGATTTTCTGCACTATTGCGATTTGCCATTTCCTACGACCAAGAGAGCCGCAGCCTTTTTGACTCGGCGCCGTCGCCGTCTTCCCCGTCGCTGCCGCCTAGCTGCTCATCCGAATCCCCTAACCTCGCGCCGCCGAACCCTCGACTCCATCTCATCGCAGCCCAACGGACGCGTGGAACGATTCATCCTCGCAGTCGCAAAGCCACCCGTCGTGTCTCTGACTGCGTGTTCCAGGAATCACATCATGTCTCAATCCTGAACACCCACCGCTGAGAACATCTCGCTTCCAACTGACTTCAGCCCCCAGAGCAAACGCCAGCGGCCATCGTCCAGAAGCCGGAAGTCCCCGCCGCGGCCGTACCTCGAGGCCACCACCACAGCCCAGATAGCGTCCCCGGAATCTGGTTAACGTTCCGCTGGTGGAGTGGGCCTTTCCAACTCTGCCCAAGGTCCCCGGTTCTCCCTGTTTTCTTAGAAGCAAGTGCCGCCAAGCAGGACTCTTCTCTCGATGAGTCTGACCCGGGCATAGCATTGTCAATCGCCTACGCAGTAGAAGCCCCGTTGGATTGGGTTTCTACCCTATGCGACCTCCTGTTTCGTCATGACTCGGATGTCGTGTGATGGACACACGCACACAGCCAGCCGGCGCGCCCGCTGCGTCGCCTACTGCGTGATCTGGCTGGCGCCGTGGGGGCGGCCCGCGATGTGACTGAAGCCAAGCCGCCCGCCCGTTACCTGCAGAGCCGGTTGAGGGCACTTATGCAGTGTCCAGTGAGACCCGGGGCGATCTAGCCATAATTTCGAATTGTTGGGCAGCTTCTGCAGTTCGCAGCGCTACAGTCGTTTGCGCCGATACGTCGCCAGAAGCACCGTCGACATCTTGATGCCGAGGATGTCATCAGGAGGGGAACTGCGGTTTTGGCCGAACGGACAAGAACTTCGGCGCGCAAGATCACTCAACCTGAAGCGCCGTCGGCGGCCAGCCTCTCAACATCCCTGTAACATGCAACTCTACCGGGATACGCGAACGCGACAACGTGTACCCCTTCAATTTACCTGCGTGGTGACAACGACTCAGACGTTTGTCACGGGGGCGCGTTTATAAGACAAACGGCGAAAACAGGCGGCAGACGTTTGCACTCGCAATGCCGGGCGTTGATCCGGACGATGACGCCTGGGTGGGTGGCTCTCGGCGGAGCTCGCTCATGCAAGCACTTAACGTCCGTCAAGGATATCGTCACTGTTTGCCGTTACCCTCATCCATGGGCAAGGGACTCGGTCTTGAACGCATGGCCCGAGCTTTTCGGCAGTGCGAAGCTGGCTTCCTCACGCTCCATCGTTGTTCATCACAGTGGCATTGCCTGGGACAGGCTGAAGAGCTGAATTGCTACTGACACAAATGATTATCACGCCGGAACACCGGCATCTATACAAACGGCAGAACGACACGGCTAGCATACTCCCCTCCCAAGTGCACCACATGTCGGCCTCGATTCAGGGTATGATCAAGCCCAAAGTTGTTCACCGCGAAGCTCTTTCCACTGACAACGACCCTCACTCCTTCTCCCACCTCGAACTCAACGCCGAGGGCCCAGATCCCAATGTCTAACCTCACCACCTCTCCGGGCGTAATCTTCTCCTCCTTCTCATGCGGATGGTACGGCCAGTGAGGGTGCATACTCTTGCTCTGGTCGATGGCCCGATGCGACGCCCTCAAGATGCCCACAGGCCCCTTGTAAAGCACAACCTCCGTCTCCTCCTCTGGCTTGAACTCCTCAAAGCTCTTGACCGGAATACCCTCCCACGGGATGTTTAGGTTCTTCATCTGCGTCCCATCCTTGTCCAGCTTCTGGATCATGACATACACATCCATATCATCGTGATCAGGACATGACATGAACAGCACCGCCTTGGGCAAACCCATCACCCGCGTCGTCTCAGTAAATGTGAACGTAAACCCAACACTCTCCCCATCCGCCGACGCGTAGCCCACACTCGTAGACTCTCTCGGCGCCTCCGCCAACAACTTCCCCTCCGCCCCGAAGAACATCTCCCTGTACTCCGTCCTCTTCGGCGGGAACTCCTCCTCCACAATGTCCTCAATCGCCTGCGGCACCTTCTTCCCAAACCGCAACAGCGCCATCCTACACTTCGGCGTGCTCCTCCACCCGTTCTCCTCCCCCTTCAAGAAACAATCAAAAAACGCAAACAGCTCCTCCTTCGCCCTCTCATTCCCCCAGAGGTCGTACCACTCCTGCCACGGGTGCCACCTCAACCACTTATCCTCGCTCTCAACCTCCATCCACGCCCGGATCGCGCCCATCCCGTGCATCGTGTTCGTCCACGTCCCCGTGATATACGTCGGCACATTAATCCTCTTCATATCCGGTCTCTTGTCGTTCCACCACGCATTCGCAAGCGGCCGCTCCTTGTACATCTCCCGGAAGCTCTCCAGCCCGCCGCGGCCCTTGAGCATGTGCTGCACAATCAGCCGGTCGAACAAGTCCCCCGCGTATATCCCCCCGCGCGCGAACTGCTCCCGGTACAAGTCCCCGCAGCCCTCCCACGGCGCAATGGCCGCAAGCGACGGCGGCCGCAGCGCGGCGATGAACCACTGCGCGATCGCGAGGTGCGAATTCCCCGCGAGCCCGACTTTGCCCGAGCACCACGGCAGCGCGGCCACGGCCTCGATCGTGTCGTACCCGTCCTCGGCCTCCTGCGTGCCCATGATGGCCATCACGCCGCCGGAGTTGAAGGCGCCGCGCGAGTCGACGTTGACGATGGCGTAGCCGCGCGGCACCCAGTCCGCGGGGTCCGGGGCCTCGAACTTTTCCAGCCCGGAGAGCGTGCCGGCGGGGATGCCGAGGGACCAGGGCGTCATGTAGGAGAGGGAGGCGAGGCCGTTGAAGGACTTGCCGAAGGGGGACCAGCAAATCAGCGCGGGGACTTTGGAGGTGGAGTTGGAGGTGGGAGGGCGGAGGACGTCGGCGTAGAGGGTTGTGCCGTCGCGGACTGTGATGGCGACGTCGCGCTCGACGAGGATGGGCGAGGGGAGGGGACGGGCGGATGGGGAAGGGTGTTTCCAGCCTGCGGGGAGGGTTTCGGTGCGCGGGTTGAGGCCGGTGTAGCCATCGCGGCCTGGGATCGGGGCCTCGAGAGGCTCGATGGGGACGGGGACCCCGCGGAAGGTTGTTGATTTCATTGTGGGGGGCGTGAAGTGTCTCTGATGTGTGTTTGGGGGGAATCAAGAGACGGAGGAGGTGGTTGTCAGGGGGGAAGTTGCGTGTGGCGAGGGATTATACATTGTGTTTTTGGTGTCTCTTTATGAAAAGCGTTTGTATCTGTAAAAAACAACAATACCCCACGATCTCACGAGCCGCGATTCTCATCCGGAACGAAGATCCGGAAGTCAACTGATAACTTGCCTTCGTCGAGCGGGATGCGATATCAGATCCGGGGCCGCGGGTGGGATGGGACCCACCAACTCCCGAACCGACACTTACACGCACCAAAACCGCTTCCGAGCCGACACTTCCCGTGCCGACAACGTAGCTGCTGTCCCTCTCCCCCACCACTCCCGTTCCGGACCGAGCAGACGACACGCAGGGCCTGGCGGAAATGTCCCGAAGATGTGTTTCCTCGGGAGAATTAGTGATGTAAGTTTCGATTGTGGCGTGGTTATCCAAATGTTGCGTAAGAGTTGCTGAGGCTGAAAGTTGTCCAACCGTCAACCGCCAGAGAGTGTCAAGTATAAACACATCTCACGAGCCTCGTCAAAGCTTTGTGGCGTCTCTATCAATCCAACAGATCAAATCAGTCAAAGACTCAGCAGAGAGCAGGACTGAAGAGTTTCAATACCCTTTCACAAAGAAAGTTGACCCCGCAAGCCCTACCCCAAGATGGTCATCGCAACAGACTACAACTCCCCCGGCGCAGCCGCAACCATCACAGTCCCGGCACCCAAAAAGCTAGAGACATCATCCTCCTCCGCGAACCCCATCGTCCCCAAGCCCGCCGGGCCCAACAAGCTCTTCGCCAAAGAAGGCGTCACCTACGGCGACTTCCGCGATGACCTCGTCCGCGACGGCTACGTGGTCGTCAAGGGCGCCATCCCCCGCGAGCGCGCAGACAAGTACGCCGACGACATGATGTCCTACCTCGAGAACTTGTAAGCCCCTCCCCCCCTTCCCCTCACCCACTACCTTTCCCCCCCGCTAACCACCCCCTCCAGCGCCGGCGGCCTCGGCTTCGACCGCAACGACCCCTCCACCGTCAAAGAAGCCAACCTGCCCATCATCACGGAGAAGGGCATGTGCCTCGGCTACGGCATCGCGCACGAGTCCTTCACCTGGGCCGTCCGCCAGGAGCCCGGGCTCGTCTCCGCCTTCGAGCGCGTCTACGACACGCCCGACCTCATCGTCTCCTTCGACGCCGTCAACATGGCCTTCCCCAACCGCGCCGACGTGCAGCCCAACAAGCCCTGGCCGCACCAGGACCAGGACCCGCAGAAGCCGGGCTTCCGCTGCCTGCAGGGGCTCGTCAACCTGCTGCCCAACGGCCCGCGCGACGGCGGGCTGATTGTGTGCAAGGGCGCGCACCGCCTGTCGGAGGAGTTCCACCAGGCGTTCAAGGACGAGAAGGACAAGATCTGGGCGTGGACGAAGGAGTGGTACGGGTTTACGGATGCGGGGATGAAGTGGCTTGAGGAGAGGGGGTGCGTGTGGGAGAAGATTGATGCGGAGCCGGGGGATTTGCTGTTCTGGGATAGTCGGACGCCGCACTACAATTTGAGCCCCGAGGGGGAGCGGCCGCGGTTCTGTGTGTAGACGTGTTATATGCCGGTGGCGGACGCGAGCCAGGAGGATTTGGTAAGGAAGAAGGGCGCGTTTGAGAGCTTGCAGAGCACGACGCACTGGCCGAATGCGATGCACGTGGGCGGGATTCCGGTGAAGAGGGGCGGGGAGCCGTGTCCGTATAACACGGGCAAGCCGCGGGAGGTGCCGAAGTTGAGTGAGCGGGGGTTCAAGTTGACGGGGATTCCGTATATTCAGGGGGCGCCGATTGAGGCGAGGAACACGTTTGGAGCTTAGAGAGTTGGAGCGTTGGGTTTGAGAGTGTGCTTAGAATATCCCATATCAGACTGTGAGTTGCAGTCTTCCTGTCGTTAGAATTGAATTGAATAACGAATATTGGAATTATGTGTCAGGAGAAGCAGTAGTCCAAGCCAAGAACAGACGTCTGGAATTCATGTACGACTCAAAAGCTCTGCAGGTCAAAGCATCAATCCTAAATACTTTTACCCAGCCGAGCAGAGATCTTCGCACTCCGTCTCTTGATAGTCAGTTATCGTGATGCACTGCTGTCTGGCGTCATCCACCAGTTCTTTGGCCTTGTTGGTCTTGGATGCACGAGGTTACTATGTCTGGGCTGCGTCTGCTGTGCCCCCAGAAAGATGGCTCAGTATGGATGTGAGAGATGTTCAGCAGCGGGAGGTAATGTATGTATTCCAGGCGTTGGCGCGGAAACGAGGATGTGATTCCTGCACTAGCGATGCTGCGATGGTTGATCGGATGCTAGTTTCTAACAGTGAGGATGATATGTGTATGGGAACCTGGAAGCTTTTAGTGTTCGAATCTTTCTTCCCATCCAACTTCCTTCTTCGCATTTCCTAGCCATCTAGGAAACACAATTGGTAAGCCGCAGAATACAGAGCGAAACAGTAAATTCACTTACTTTTCGATTTCGCTGATTGGGCCACCTATCAGTCTCTCTATGTTCTTTTGCCTTTCGTCCAACTTCGCCGTCCCCTCAACTCTCCACGTCGGCCTCTCCGGGTTCGCTCCTGTAAATTCCATCAGCCCCCCCGTCGTCGATGCCATTGCTCGTTTGATTTGCTCCTCCAGCGGTGTGCCGTAGGTGGCTCTCATCAGCCCTCTGGAACTCCGACTCGCATGAGAGGCCGCTTGAACCCATTTCTTCCAAGGGCTGCGCCCTCGTCTCGGTCTTGAATGGTATCTGGTCAAGCTGGGCGTCTTCTTGCTTGACCAACGTTTGGAGATGTTGCACAGGCCCGCTACTTGTTGTGCTAGGCTTACTTTGATTGCCAACGGATGTCGTTGGCTCTTCCGCAACCTCTCGCTTGACATTCGTTGTAGATTCCGCCTGTTTAGGAAGCTCCGAGCGCATAGCAGCCCCTTGTTTAGTGCCACGGTGCTGCTTTGCCGGCGTTGGGTAAGGCTGTGCTCTGGAGTCGTTGCGACGCTTTTTGTTGTTTTTGCCCTTCCCTCTCCTCCTATCCTGGTTGTTTCCGGAATGCTTCTCAGACGGCGTAGGTGTTCGTATGTTCGATTGCTCCGCGGTGGTGGTCGAGGACTCGGTCGCAACGACCGCCGGTCTCGGCTACTGAGGAGCTTCGGCCGGAAACTCATAAGATTTTCCAGTAATGTGTGTCGTCGACTGCAACGTATCAAACACATCATGCAGCCGTTTATCGATTCTGTCGATCATCTTATACGGCATTCCTGTGGGACAAGATCCCCAAAGGTTGTACAAGTCGATGCCGCCAGATGTCATTTCTGCAAACTTTTCCTCCAGGCGCCCGCTGTCGCTTGCGACCGTCCCGACGACCTTCTCAAGGTAATCATCGGCTCCCTTCAAGCGTTCCACAGCGCATTCCCTCTTGCTCCTTGCAATCTCCAGGGCCTTGGTAAGTTCTTCAACGTGGGCTTCGGCCCTCACAACCTCCGTGTCCGCCGCGTCCCTGGCGGCTTTGATCCGGTCCCAAGGCCCGATGCCCCCTTTGACGATGATCTCCTCCCAGGACGCGCTGGACTCGACCTCCTCAAATTTCCTCCATGCGCGTTGGATCGCGGGGATGTCGTTGTGCGCAGTCGAGGCGTTGCAGCCGCGGCAAAAGCTGGGGATCGTTGTTGCGATGGCGTCGACCCCGGCGTCGGGGTCGTACGCGCTGGCGCCATCGATTCTTATTGAGATCACAACAGTTTCCGAAGGCTGGTTCATGGTGACGCAAATTCGTAATGAATAGCCTCCCCAAGCTTGAGACACTCCTAAAGGATTGAAGAGTGGTTTCAATACGTATGAGCTGGAAAACTGAACTTCTTCAACGGAAATTACGCAGGCCTGTGCTGTGGAGTGTCGCGAAAATTGATTAAGACGCGTCGCGTCGCCGTACCAAGCCTGAGTATTGACACTGTCATGACAATTTGATTATGAGAAGCGTCCTGATTTGGACTGAAATCGCTTTTTTGATGATCTCTTACCAAATCCTGGCCACTGGGCATTACAAGCTCTGTTCTAAACTTGAGCCATTTCACGACGTGAGCGGCGTCGAAAGACCGATTCCAGCTCATGATAGCTTGTGGGTCCAGATCTGGGTCCGTTTTTCGCTGTGACGCTCAACTCTCCAAGCTCTATGGAGATAACTTGACACGTTGTCCATCGCCCAGCAGCTCACGCATTGCATTTTGAAGTGAAACTTGGAAGCTGATACTGCATTTTTCGGGAAATAACTTATGATCACTCTGCAGGCTACACTGACGTACATAGTGGGTGAGTCTCTGGACTATGGAGGAGTGAAGGTCGCTCACGCGCAGCGGCTAGCTGAGGTTCATTTGATGTTACAGATAAAACCGGGACACGGAGGTGAAATTGCAATCATCTTTTGAACAAAAGGTGATACCGCAGCTGAATTGACTACCTCTCGGCGCGTATCCTCGTGTCAATTTGTGTGCTCGGCATGAGAAAATGAGCGAAGTGTCGACATGGTCGGTGTCAAGCGATCGACAGTCTAATATGCACCAGAAATGGCTCACTTGAAAGCGGTTGTCGTCGTGCAACCAACCGGACCCAGCTACATACCGGCATCATAGTAAGGCACAGTAGTAGTAAGCGGTGATGGACTCGGAAAAAGGCCAGCAGCAAAATACCGGAAGCTCCGATCATGTCCACTAGGTTCAGCGCATTTATGGCGCGCAAAAGCAATAAGGCGTTTGTCGTCGAGCTTATATGACACTGTTGAGAACATCCACCGCTACTCCGTGACACCGAACACCTTATCGAACTAACCTTACGATTTTGCCAGAGTTGTTTTTTTCTTCTTAGAGCTCAATCGGGATTCCAAATGGCTTTGCCGACGTTGTCACCTTCCTGCTCGACTTAATCAAAGGCTTCTAGCGCAGAGTCTTGAGTTACAAGATCAGCAAAAACCGGCCTCCGACCTTGACCGGCCCCACTGCAGCAATGACCGGCTTCCCCTTTCCCATGATGAAAACATCGGAGATTCTGACTCCACTTGCTGAGAAATTCGCAGAATTTAGGAGCCTGACTTGCAAGTCACGCTAGCAATTGCTATCTTAACGTGCGCGGCTTTGACGGTTGGAAACCCGGGAAACTCGGTGCTCGCGAACTCCGAAAGTTCAACGTGGAAGCAGGTTCGCCCACCCAAGCCTACTAGGTGTTCAGTTGATATCAGGAAGTGTACAATATATCTAGGTGCGATGTTCTGGAATTTTACCACAATATTCAACCACTTCACATGGGTACCATACGCTCGCAATCGACAGGCTCGGTCATGGCATCGAATCACCTCATCCGGACCCATTCGCCGTCGTACAGGGTCCCTTAGAAGTGGAAATCATCCACAACCTGATTTACACCGTCAGGCAAGGCCGAACCACGCTAGGAGACTTAAACAAGATCATATATGTCGGACATTCATACGGCTCATCCCTTGGTAACATGCTTGCGCAGAAGCATCCACTCGATGTTGACGCCTTTATCTTGACCGGGTTTTCAGGGGATCTGGGCACCTCTGCCAGTGCCCTCTCCGCATACGGTAGCGCAGCCATGGTGTCGTCTAGGTTCAAGGGACTGCCGTTGGGGTATTTGACCGTTGTGAACGAGAGCGACAGGACCGCCAGCTTCTACGGAGGCAGCTTTGATCAGTCTCTTGCTACGCTGGATTACCACAGGGAAGATACCGTCACAGTCGGAGAACTCTTGTCACCAGGCCTACAACCCGTCGAGACAGATTATCGAGGTAACGTATTGGTGATGACGGGGGACTTGGATGTTCTGTTCTGTCCTGGAGGCCCCGACACTTGCGCGGACGCTCTAAGAGGGACAAAAAATCTATTTCCTAACGCAAACTTCAGCTCTGTCGTCATAACCAACACGGGGCACTGTCTGACTTTGCATCGGTCGGCTCCATTGGTCATGGAAACCGCTCATACCTGGTTGCATGGTTTACAACATTAAATGGCTCAGATTTCCGACCTAGAGTTGGAGAGTTGGAGCTTGTATAGTTGGCGAAGATAGGCCTTCGTCGATCATGGTGCCGTCTTCAACATGGAAAGCTTTAGGTGTGAGTATTGCTTGCTTTGGTTGGTATTGTCTAGACGTCAAATAGAACTCAATTGAATCAATAATCTTCCTTAATCTAAAATCCTATTGGGCCATCTCAGGCCAAAGCTTCTTCGTCGCCCACATTCGAATCCGGCTTCCAAAGAAGTACACCGGGATCGTGATAGCCCCGAGCACACCCGAAATGATTGCAAAGATATTCATCGCACCGTTGTACCCCGTTAGGTTGATCAGCGGCACTGTAGAATAGCTGAGCCCGAACGAGATGAAACCCCGACCAGCACAGATGACCAACAGCAGCGGCCCGGCTTTGCTCGGGAAACTGTCAATGGCGTAGGTGATTCCGATCAAGTTCGCGCCCAGGAAAGCGAAGTACCCAACGTGGTACGGCGCTACGATCGTCATCCAGTGCCACTGTTCCGGATGCGAGCCGGCTTGACCGTAAAACACACATGCGGCGATTGCTGATATGATTGGGATGCTGAGGATGATGAGTCTGTACTCGGGCTACAGATTTTGTCAGTTATCTAAATTCTTTCTGGTGGCCAGGTAAATCGAATTGGCTTCACTAACCTGAAAGACGCCATTCTTCCACGTGCTCATCTTCCGCGCCAGGATATCTGACCCGTAACCGAGGAGGGGAACCATGATGACGCAGTCCAGCACTTGGACGAGCTGGACATACCCAAGCCACTCGGTCTGGAATGAATACGGCGGAGCCATGAGAATCGTCGCAAAAGTTGATGCCTGGTAGACATAGATACCCAGGAAAGTTCCGTTGATGAGCAACATCCATACAATATTCGGAAGACACAGAGACTGGAACGTCTCCTTATAGAACACGAGAGTCTGACTCCAGTCGGGCTTGAAGTGGAAGATCTTCATGTCGGATCGCCAGGTTCGCTCACCGAACGCTTCGGGTTGAAGAACGTGGTTCTCGCGTGTTGTGACCTGGATGACTCTCTCCATGTCGCCGGTCTTGGTAACGTTTCCTTCGTCGTCGAACTTGAGATGAACAACGCCGCCTGCGAAACAAAAAGGTTAGGCCTCTCATCTATTACGCATGTAAATGTAAAGGAAAAGAGCTTACGGTCAGCGTCTTCTGGCCTATCATACTTGGTCTCCACCACGAAGAAGACAGCCAAGACCAGGATGACGGCATTCATCAAAGTGACGATAATGTACCACCACTTGATACCCCACGCTGGCACTAGATAAGCTGTCGCAACGAACATGCCAGCAGTGCCCGCAGTCTGAACGCCAATGAACCAGGAAAGCTTCGCGCTGCGCTCGTGCAGGAAGTGGATCTCCTCGATCATGAAGGGAGCCAGAGCTTCACTCTGGCCGGCTGCGATGCTGTAGAAGTTGCGGCCTGCAATGTGGCTGCTCAGCGAGCCGGAGAATGCACACCATATTCCCGAGACCACCATCAAGACGAGCGAAGCCAGGAAGACGGGCCGCCGCCCGAGGGGGACGCATAAGGGCATAGAAAAGAGGTTTCCGATGCCCATGAAAAGCGTCGGGTAGGTGAGGAGATCGGTCGCTCGAGTTGCGTCTTCAGGTGGGTACTCCTTCAGGACTGACGGGAATACAGCTCCCAGGCCGGAGGTGACCAGGACGGCGATTGCTGAGTACGAGCCAACCACAAAGATGATGAGGTATTTGTGCCATGTTGGAAGGTTTAGAGGATCTGTGTGTCTTCAAGTCAACTCCGTTCTACGTTTTGAAGCGACGATGCTTCTGTGAACATGCCATTGCTAGTGAGCAGATGTACCTTTTGGATCCGGGCTCGGAGTTGGAATCAAGACGACTGAGCCCCCTTGAAGAAGCTGAACCGTGCCGTGCGCCTGCGCCTCCTGTGTCGCTGGTGGTTTGGTGGGTGATTCCACGGTGTCAACCCGCGGCTCATCATCTTTGGGGACGGACGGCTCCGACATCTTTAGTCACCCAAAACTTCAGCTCCTAAGTCAATGGACCAACGAAAAGGCGGTATTGAAAGGCTCTGCAAAGTCTCCGAGCCTGAGGTGAGGTCGGAGGTTATGAGTCAGGGAGCACGTTTGGGCTCAATAAGGTTCTCTGTCTTTGTCTAAATACAATTACGGTAAAAGTCTATTGACCTATCTGAACGCGCTTCATCATTCATATGCATTGCTGTTTTCTTGGAAACTGCCAGCCTCGAGTTGTTGTTGTCGTATCCATTGACACTCAGCTGCAAGCACACAATACTGCTAAAACATCGTGGCTGGCTCATCGGCTCGGCTCAGACCCATCAACTCCCGATAGTATGGGCCATTTCTCAGCCGGCAATTGGTACGGAAGGCGCCTCAACGCGGGGAACTTGGCGTCGACTGTGTCCCCCACGGCTGTACTCCAATTGACCCCGTGGGGATAGTCTGGGGAAGAAGCGAGATCAACCAGTCACATCAGAGGCAATTCCCGTGAAGATCTGTCATGCCCGCATTTGCATGGATACCCCCCACCATCGGAAAGCCCTGAGCACAGCCGGAATGAGGGGCCGTCGGCTGGTGTTCCACATGAATCGCCGAAACGTCCGCCCTCACACGCGCACACTCGCACACACAACTCTGCCCTGAGCCGCGTCCGTTGTTTCGGAACCCAAAGCCAAAAAAAGAGTGAGCCTCTCATAACGACGACGCTTCGGTATCTGCAATCTCCATTCTGCTCCAGCCGAACGCCTGCCTTGTCCAGTCCTACGCTCACTCCCGATCAGCTCCCTGGCTCGGGAGCAGCAGCACCAGCAGCAGCGAGAGGACAACTTGCGACTCAATCCAGTCAGCGGCGCAAGTCACGCCCCTCTTTTCCATATCAAACAAATAATATGTCATCTTCCTACGCAAATCCCGTACCCACTCCGGGTGACTCGTCTTCATTCGTCGACCCGTCAAGCGCGGGGACGGAGAGCCAGCAGGCGAAGCGTAGACGAATCAACTTCGCCTGCAACTACTGCCGCAACCGCAAGACGCGCTGCGACGAGCAGAAGCCGTCATGCAGAGCCTGCATCGCCGCCGGGATCGAGTGCGTCACCACCGACCGCCGGCGTCCCGGCATCGAGGTGCAGCGGCGCGAGACGAAGCGCCGCATGTCGCGGGCGTCCACCTCGTCCCTGCCGCAGCCCGCGACTCCGGCTGGACCCTATGCGTCGCCTCAGTCTACCAGAGGCGGTGAAATCTGCCACAGCTCGGTGGACGCTGCTATTCCCAGGCATAAGAGCTCACCTTCTGTGGCTGACCTCAGCCATGATGAGAGCTCAAAAGACTCTCACTCCACAACGACAGGACCAACACCGAGGACAAGGAACTCAACATCAGTACCCGCTACTCACACAGCTCCTCCTCAGGAAGAGGAAGAGCCTCATAACAGTAATGGAAAGTTCCAAGGAAAGTTACCCGTAGTACGACCAAGCCGGCACAGTACCTCGGTCGAGATCCTAGCCGACTGGTTGGATCTCGCCTCGCGCCGGCTGGGTCTGCAGCACAGGAGGGGTCTTCCGCCGCCGCCGAGTAACCCACCTAGTAGCAGAATCCGCGCGCTTCTTACATCGGAGCCTTGTCGCTTTCCTCCAGCCGGATGCGCGCGCTTGTTGGCGGCCAGGTTCTTTGACGGCGTCAACATTCTTTACCCTCTACTTAACCGCGACCGGTTCCAAAAGGACCTTGACTTGGCCCTGGAGTCGGGCCCGGTAGAGCTTGCCGAGACTAGGGGCGTGGCGATCCTCGCTCAGATGTACCTGATCTGGTCCATCGGGTTCTCCGCCGAACCACTCCTCGACCCCGTCGTAGATCCAAGGGAGTACCTCGACTACTGCAAGACACTGTTAGGTCACCTCGTCGTCTCCAACAACGTCGAGAACATCCGAGCGATTGTCTTGTTGTCGCTGTGTATGCACTGCTACGACGACTGCGCCGGGGCATGGAACACGCTCAGCGTCGGCGTCTCCATGGCCATCGCCATGGGGCTGAACAAGCCGCGCACATGTCGTCGCAAGTGTCAAAACAAGAAACCAGACGCCCTTGACGACGAGGAGCGCCGAATATTCTGGCTTGCTATTTATGCCTTTGAAAAGTTCCTCTCATTCGAGATGGGCCGGTTGTCTTCGATTGACGACGAAGACTGCTACCCCGCTCATGTGCAGGAACTTGCGACTTACAAAGAAGCTGAGACATCCTCCAAAGGCAAAGCGTTCGCGGTGACGGTTGACCTCGCCAGAATTCTGAGTGAGATTGGTCGAAAATCAGTCATCGTCAGCAGAAAAGAAGACGGCGTTACGGGACCTGCGCTGCAGGCTGTCATTACCGAGAAGGTTCAGACTACCGGAGAGGCACAGCTGCTCCTCACGAGATGGGGCGAATCCGTTCCCGACGAACTTCGGTACGTGCCGGACGACCCGAAACACTTCTGCATTGCATTGAACATGAAGTTAATTGTCTGTCGTAGACCAACATCAGATATCCTCATCGGCTCTAGGATATGTCCGTTTGCTTCTTTTATCTCGATGCATTACAACAACGCGTAAGTCTTCCTCATTCGGGCGTGATCTAACAAAGGGAGATTTCCATCATGAGAGTCTTAGTATGACTGACTAATGTAACCTCAGTCTCGTCATCTTGTCGAGGAATAGTCTCCTCATCAGCGAAGAAGCCATATCGAGCGGCGCCAACATCATCGCCAAAGGCAAGCCATGGGACTACATGGTTCGGAACGGACCGTCGATCGCTGCCAATGCTTCCCGAAAGATGCTCCGCATACTCGTAGAGACTCTCGATTCCAAGTCAAACTCTGTGTATCCGAGTTTGCTTGTCGCCCTTCATGCTCTCGTCACGCTATCAGTCCATGTCGCCACGCATCCCGACTCCCGCATCTCCGCAATGGACTTTCATGTAAGCAATACTCATGCCTCTTGTTTGGCCTCCTAACACCCGGCATAGTTGATCCAAACTGCGGCGGACACAATGAAGGAGGCCTACTTTCGCCTCCGGGGCGACGCCCTATTCAACGGCCTCTTGCACAAAATCGACACGATTCTGCAGCAGTCAACGCCTGCCACGACACGGCTAGCCGTACAACCCATACCGCCAGCAGTTCCAGCCGCATCAACACAAGGAAGCCAAGATAATCCTTGGGCAGCCCAAGGCGACGGCACAAGCCAGACGCCAAATACCTGGGCGGACAACAATAACCATATGAAAGAGGCGGGCCCTACTCCTGACATGTCGGCAGCACCGATATTTAACCAGAACTATATCATCCCCGGCGCCAACGACTTTGGATACGATCCCATGGGCGGCATTCCTATGCCGGGTGATGAGTGGTCGCCGAGCATGTCCGATGGAGTCGGATGGGACTGGTCGTGCTTCTCACAGCTACTGGCTGATCAGTTCCAACCACAATGAGTTACACGACAACGGCGACAATTTTATGACCGCCATCACATCAATAATCAGACATGCACTTGTTGCATGCATCAAAACTTCGAAATAGACACCGACGAGCCTGAAGAGGGTGGGACAGCGCACGAGCCACCGATATGACTTTACTCACCTCTGACACCCCCTGCTATCACGCATCAAGACTCAAGACTACTAAAAATCGAAAAACAAATCGACGTGGGCCCGATTCGAACGGACGCTCCCGAAAGAACAAGATTTCGAGTCTTGCGCATTAGACCACTCTGCCACCACGCCCTTGGTTGATGGTGAGGTGGGTCCACAACCGACCCTAGAATCACCTGGCGGGGAGGTGCTGGAGAGGTAGCAGGCAAGGTGGCCGAAGTGGAAGAAACACTGCACTTGTGGTTTCTGTCACAGCACCAGGCGATGAGGACTTCTCCGTTATCTAGTTGAAGGAGGTAGGCTGCAAAAACTCTGCGCATGCTTTTTGTCCAGGGCCACCTGAGCACCCTGAGGCTGAAGAACGAAGAGCGCCCAGGTTTAGACATAGTAGTTATGCCTTGCAGCGGGAAGAGCAGACATATATCCTATTGCCCGAACTGTTGCCAACAACTTCAAAGATTCTCCTCACTCAAGCGACGTACGGATGCAAAGTCCCTCCGCAAAAAAGAAGAAAAGCCAAGACAAACCCACCGATTGCAAAGCCTCCCTGTATGTCGTCTTTCATAAGAGTGTACACCACTGAAATTACCAGGCACAACATGAAGCCTATGCATCCAAAAGCAAAGACGTACATCCCATTCAACGTTTCTTTAAACTGCACACCCCATCCAATTGAACTGCCCTTCTTTGGACACGGGCGAAGCCGTTCTTTCGTCTTCCTTGGAATTCTTCGGAGCAGAACAGGAAAGATATCAGCGTGGTTGGGGTTTTCGAAGAGATGCATCATGAGATTGGGTCCAATAGGAGGCTCTGTATCAGATTGCTCATATTCGAAGTCGCTGCCAACAGGCGAGAACGCAGAGTCGTAGACGTTGGCCAGTTCGTTGCGGAATAATTCGAACTAATCAAGTTAGCATGCGGACTGACTTTGATTCTCGTAAATAAGACTTCATACCTTGACAAGATCAATGGCTTTCACACTTCTCAGCCAATTCCAGCGACCTTGCGTACGATAGGTGCCATAGGATGCGCGTAGAAAGTTGAAGAATTGCTGATCTGACTCAATCGCGCATACGTCGGGCTGATGGGCTTTTGTACCCCATCTCATGTAGGGAATGCAAATGAGGACGAATTTGTGAGTTGGAGTATCCGCCTGCTGTGGCTGAGAGCGCAATGATTGACAACTCTCGGCGGTCATACTTTTGTTTTGCTGGTCTGGTCGATGTCGAGGCAGCGCTTGTGGGATTCCACCACGTACCCAGTTCCAAAAACTGGGTAGAAGATGCCCAATGCGTTTCGATTGAGTCCGTCCTGCGTCTTCTGCTTCAATCATAGGTAGCGCTCCTTCTTTCCATCTTCTAGATGAATATGCATTGAGGAGCATCTTCAACTTCTCGATTGCTTCATCCTGCCTTTCGACGTACCTGTCTCTAAGTCGTCTACCACAGGAGGGCTTCCATGTAAGAGAATAGTTAGTATACATAACAATATAGACGTGAAGAAAACTTACGCAAGTCCATTCCATTATGTGAGCTTTTGGCGTACCCCCCGTTTCGATGGTTCCGCATGCCCTTGTCAGCTTTGCTGAGAAACGATCCAAGACATTTCGGATTCCAGCATAATAGGTTGTTAATGCTGATTTTGGGAACGAAGAGCTCTCGTCAGTGACGGTATTCTTGAGTCTTGCTTTTAGTTCTTCAATAGCCTGCCCGTGAGCCAAAAAGCCCTGTCGATCGAGAAGCTCTTGAGATCCCTCGAGCCTTGCAGAAGGCTTCAACGATGCTTCATCCTCACTCTCGGCGTTGCTTTCAATAGCTTCTATTATTCTGGCGCTGACTTTTTTCTCAACGAGCTTCAGAGTGATGACCAGAGTGCGTTGCGTCTTTGTGTTTGCGAGGGATTCCAGATAGCTGAAGTGCAACGACACATGTCGGCGTACTATCTTCAATGCCTCCTCAAATGACAAGGCCTGGCTTATGATCTTCCGCCAAAGTAGCTTGAGGTCGCCCTCGATGAGAGAAATTGTTGCCAGGCCAACCAAGTCTGTACGCACAAAGATGCCGTCGTTAGCTATCACGCTTTGAGAGATGATGGTAGATGCCATGTAAGCTTTTTGATATACCTTTTCTCGGAGACTTCGACGGGAGACTGGTCTTCAAATTTGGCTTGGTAATGTCTTCGTGAGATAATGAGCGACCAGCATGAACGTTGTGGCTTGATTCAACTGGATATTGCTGGCGGGCCCCTCCCGAGATTTCATGGTCAGCGGCCGGACTGGGTTCCTCGTATCCTTCGTCAAGTTCATCGGCTCGCTCTTGCACCAGACCCTTCTGCTGCGAGAGTATGTCTTGCGATTGCCTGGAAGCTGGCAAGTCGCCTGGAACACGGCACGAATTTGTTGCTTCGAGTCGGAGGCCAAGCGCGATGCCAGAGTCCGGATAGGATTCAGCCGATGAAGTGTGGTTCTGGCATGTGTATCCAACAAAAATCGTTCTTTTCTGAACGAAATGACCAGGTCTGCCATAGCTCGCGCATTTGTCAATATCGTGCTCGTAGTAAAGGCAGCTGCAAGCGCTGTACAGTTCGATGATCCGATAACACATGGTGATTGCTAATGGCCAAGAATATGGGATTAAGTAGCGCCGCAATGGCGTTATGAAGGCGGGATACTAGTGGGAACAGGACCTTCAACCCCGCGTTCACTTCATGGCCATGTCTAGCCTTGCGTCGGATTTCGGACACGCAGTGCACACATGATTCGTTGATTTTGACTCGGTCTCCGTCTCGTCCTCACCACTCAGCGTTGGCTGCACTTATCGATAGCTGTGGGTGGGTGCATCACTGGCGGCTGGACTGCTAAAGCGTCGGTAGGGATAATCAAGTTCACAGCTGTGTAGTGCAAACATCACTTAAAGAAATTCACGGCATTTATCCTGTGGCTTATCGGAGCACAGCTGAAAGCCTTCGCTACTCCCAGAGGTTTCTGCTGTCGATTACATCTTCAATAATAAGGTACTAGGTACGCTTGGCGACTGCAGTCCCAGGAGCCTAGGCAGTACAGGCAGCATTTTACCAGACTGTACTCCGGCATTTACGACTTGCCGATTGCGATTCTGTGCCGCAGATCAACCCCCATGCCTCTGATTATGGTAGCGGATTGGACCGGTCAGCGGGTCTAATTTCAGCATGCATGTAGGATTAGGCTGCAGTCTTCGCCAGAATTGGCGACTTAGTTGCGACGTACACTAGGCTGCACTCAAACAGACAGGAAAAAGATGTGGGCCAAGTTCTCAGCTTTTACAAAAGATCCATTGCTCATGCCGAGGTTTCCCTTCATGAGATCTTAAATATCGGAGCCCAGGTGCGATTCAGCTTCCCCAGTACCCATGCTCCCTGTTTTCCATCACCAACCAAGAACACGGAATGAGGAACCATCAGCAGCCGAATTTGCCCCAGAGCAGAACAGCCAAGGGAGGTATATCGATGGATAAGATATGGGCTGAAGCCGCTGCATCATTTGAAAGCATCTGTGGAGAGTCATTGAAGCGAGGTGAAGTTCAGAGTTTTGAGGATGTTCAGAGAAGAATTGAGAAAACTTGCGAGAGGGCTTCAGGTTCAGAGTCAAAGCCAGAAGACAAGTGGGACACTGCGAAAACGGTCGGACTCAAGTCGTTGGAATACTTGAAGTTGCTTGTTGGAGCTGCGGCCCAAGCTTCATCTCTGGTATGGTTTGAATGCCTGAACGACTGCATCACCTGTTCAACATTGACTCAATATTTGTAGATCCCCATACCTCCTGTGGCAGCAAGCATTACTACAACAGCGCTTTCCTTCGTCTTTGATATCCCTCAAACCATCAGGGGCTACAACAACGCTATTGATAGCGTCTTCAGCGAAGTTTCTTCGGCACTGTCTCAGTTTCAGATTTACCGATCTGTGGAAAATCTTGATCCGTTGCTGGTTGAGCAAATCCACCTGGTTTTGGTTAGTTTCGTCAAGATCTGCGCCCATGTCGTCAAGTATCGCCAGAGTCGCAAACGCGACCGCTTCTGGGAGCAGACCAAGCTCATCTTGGGCGAGAACTCGGGTTTGAGCGACGAGATGGCCGAATTCAAGGGGTTTCTCCAGGGTCAACGTGACGTTGAAGGCACCGTGACGCTTGCTGTGGTTGCAGAAACGAGGAAGGACATGGCCGTTGCACTCGAGAAGATTGTCGTTTTCGGCAAGATCGCCGAGGAAACGCATCAGACGGTGCAAGAGACGCAGAGGGGCGTGCAGTCTCTGAATGACGACTCAGATCGCACCAAGACTCTGACCAAGATTCGCGATATTCTAGGTGTGCCATTGACGGTTCACCTTGACACGACAACCACGCAGACATGCGTCGACCTCGCCAACAAGTGTCTCGACAACACCGGTTCATGGATCTGGAAACATAATGCATACCTCTCCTGGACTGCGGGTAAAGAGAGAGACGTGCTCATCGTCTCTGGTCCTCCATCCTCTGGCAAGACGTCAGCTTGCGCTCTAATCACCAAGCGTCTGGAGGAGCAAAAGGACCGTACCTACGTCGCGCATTACTTCTTTCCACCGAGTGCTAGAAAGTCGGATGACAACAAGAACTCCGTGCAGTCTGCCTTGAAGTACATGGCTTTTCAAATTGCTCGGGTCGATGCCACGGTACTGAAGACGTTGGGAAAAGCCTGCGACACAAAGCCGGCAGTCTTTCGCTCCTCTACAAGCTCGGATCTGATTAATATGTGGAAGGAACTCAACATTGGGGCGGCTGGTTCGGGAGCCACATACTATTTTGTGTTTGACGGCGTCGAGAACCTACCTGACGCACAAGCTGGGATGCTGCTGGACTTTGCTTCCGACTTTCAGCTGGAGCAAGAGTCGGCCGGGCGGGCGCGTCTACTGATCAGCGGCACGAATAGCTTGTTTGACAAGAACGCGAATGTCAGCGGAGCGCTTCGAATCGACATGGAGAAGCACAACCAAGACGACATGCGCATCCTCATTCAAGATACGCTCAACAAAAATGGAATGCTGCAAAGCACGAAGCCAAATTCTGAACAGGAAAGGGCAAAGGCAAAGATTCTCGAGAAGATACCTCCGAAGGTTGACGGAAAGTACTCACTCTTGCGCTTCGAGTTGGACAGGTTGATGCGACAACTGAGCAAGCGGACTGCAATTCAGGAGCTCGACGAAATGCTTGATCAGACAATGAGCAGCCTAGAAGCCGCTATCAAAGACCTGGAGCGCTCCTTGACCGCAGACGAGATTTCAGAGCTCAATGAGTTGCTGAAATGGGTCATGTACAGCCATGATTACATGTCTTTAGCACAGCTTGAGGCCGCCATGGTAAGTTTGTTCGTGTTCGAAGTAAGACGCATAGACTCATGCGGATTATAGGTATTGACCTCCGACATTGCTTCACTGACGTCCCTCGAGTACGTAATTCGGACCAAATACTCGGCTATACTGAGCATTGAAGATGAATATTACGTTTATCTCCAGGACGGAGTGGAGGAATATTTGCAGAAGGTTGACACCTCTTCCGGACAATCGCAACAGTCAACGGGAGGATCGACCATCAGTATGACTATTTCCATCAACAATGTCGACCAAGAGCTTTGTGGAAATTTCCTGTGGGACCTTGCGGACATGGCAATTCGAAATAAGTTCAAGTTCAACTTCGACGGCGAGGCTTTCAACCCAGCGCACAGCAGCAAGAGACCTCTTGCCGTTGACGAGCTCGAAGCAAACTACACCATTGTCACTCAGGCTTTCAAGTACTTGAGCAACGAGCCCACGGATGCGACACAGAATGTTGGCCGTTATGTTGTTGAATTTTTACCGTACCACCTCAATCGCGTTCGCGAGCTCGAAGACGAGGACAAGGGAATGCTAAGAGATGATCAGCGTTCAGAAATTGGCCAGGGTCTGTATAAAATCTTCAAAGACGACACAGTCTTTCAACGCCACATCAAAATCTGGCAGGATATTGAGTGGTCTGTGGACGAGATGAGAGCCATCCAAACGTGGCTTATGGACTCCGCAGCGGTGCGAAAGGTGGATAGGAAATGGCGTACGGCTGTCCAGAGGGCTTCCAGTCCTATTACGGGCTACTTGAATGAATTGGTGAAGACGGTGTTGCGGGGCCTCTTGAGACAGAGGAGCTGGCAAATGTACAACGCTTCAAAATGGCTGAAACGCTTTATGGAACTGGTAAGTAATCCGCAACTAGCCAATCTCCATTCAGATCTGTATATTGACGTAAGTCAGGACCAAGTTCATCCCGCGCCGTCCCCAATATCTCCAGACGATTCCAACGAGGAGAAATACGAAGTAGACTAATACATTGCTTCTCTTGAGGGTAATCTTGACTGGGAAACCACAAACAAATGGTGTCAAGATGTACTGGGTCTGCCAGACACTGATCTGGACTCTCTGTGGTATGAGGGTCTGGCCAAGGCCGCATCGGCAAAGAATGACTATGAGGCGGCAATTTCGCTATACAAGCGAGCTATCGAATGCGATAATCCGAGCTGGTTGTGCTACCGTGAACTCGGGGTGGTATATGACTGCCTAGACTTGCAAGCGGACGCCATCGCACAGCTTGAGATTGCTCTAGACAGAGCAGCGCAGGACAACGCGCACCCCGAGGGCAACAACGTGGAAATTGTCACAATGCATATCATGCTGGCGGGAATTGCTGTGAAGATAGACAACGTGCGTCAAGCGGCGACCCACTATTCAATTGCTTGTGAAAGCAAGGAAATATCACAAGTCATATGCGGCCAGATAGGTCTTCTCCAAGCGACCTTGAGTCTCGCTGACCCTGCAGAAGTCATACAGGTGTTGGAGAAGATCTTTTCGAAGACTGACCAAGAGTTGGCACTTGAGTTTTTCAGATCGGTGATGCTTGAGGATGGCTATGATTCCCTTATCTGGGGCGTATTCCGCTCAGCCAAGGAGGACTCAGGTCTTCTCAAGGAGATCATGAAATCGATGGAGTCCGCCACTGCGATCCTTCACCGGAGGGATGCCAACAAGATGTCCAGTGTGCAATACGTCGACGATGAAATCAGGGGCATGTTGTTGTATTACCAAGGTGTAGGAGCTTACAACTTTGGGGTCTCGACTAATGGCAGAGATCCGACAGAAGAGGCCATACGGCTTTGGACGGAAAGCAGAGACTTTCTCAAGAGATGCGGCGGACCTAGCGCGCTCAGGGCGCGCTCCAAAGCTACATCAGCACTCTCGAACCACTATTTCGAGAAGTTATTGGACGAGGGGTTGCAACATGACCACATGGAGGCACTAACCAAAATGGCGAAGGACGACTCTGAGGTTACAAACATCGATATGGAATCTACTGGACTTTTGGGAGCTCTCTACGCGCGGAACAACGACAGGGAAAGCGCCCGAGAGGTTCTCCGGCATCGAGTCAAGGAAGCTTTGCAAATTCTTTCGGACGACATTCCCGAGAACGACTACGTGGGTTTCGAAATGCTCTTCCAGAATTTCTTGCAATGCCATGATCTAGAATACGCTGCCGTCGCATTGTCTCTTCTAATCCCACCGGACACCGTCACTGTGGCCCTGCAATTCAGTCCTGAGGACTTGAAAGACGTCAGACCAGAGGACAGGCAGCGGTTGTTGGAGGTAGTAACCACTTTAGCGCACGACATCATCCAGGCTACAAGGGCTCAGGTTCCGGATCTCTACAAACAGTACCAACGCCTCGATGCTGCCCAAGCTTACTTCGAGGATCAGGTTGCCACAGCTGAAAGCAAGGATAACGACAAGGACAACGGCAATGTAGAGACACAGAACGCAGCCGACGGCGACAACCAACCTACGCCAAACGGAGATGTGGCCACTTTCCACGCGCATTCTTTGCTTCGAAGCAGGCTGTTTGACCCTGAGATCGAGATCTACATGACGAACGTACGATGGGGCGCTCATTGTGATGGTAGTAGTCCCGATGGAAAGAAATGCACCAATCTGGCGAACCGAGACCAGAATTTCTTTCACTGCACGCACTGCGCCAATCGAGACTTTTGCGAAGAGTGTCTCGCTCGATTGCGCGATCCTGACTCTGACTCGAGGGATGTCTGCAGCCCGAAGCATCAGTGGTTACGTATTCCTCCCCAAGGAGACAGCTTGTATTTCGGGGATTTGGCCAAGAGAGTCCGAAAGCCTTCGGTGAAGGCCATGGAAGGGGACGACAGTCTGTTCATAATAACTCCTGCTGGTGATGAGGAGTGGATCTCAGTGCAGGCTTGGCAAGACGGGTTAGTGAAGGAATGGAAGATTTCACAGGAGTTGAAAGGCGACGGAGGACTGCGACCCCCGCCTCCGCCCCCGCTGGAGGGGAATCACTAGATGTTGGAATGTCGTTAACGTGCGGACGTTTTGTAAACTCAGAATTTCGATGAAGCTTATACGTCCCCGTCGATACATGCAACCTAGTGTTGAATTCATAACGTCGTGTCTGATCGAATGACTTATCGCTCAAGTAGAGGGGGTTATCTCCCCACCGGCCAAGCGTCTGGCAACTGCACTGCAACTTCCCAAAAATGATACTTCGTGTAACTTTCAAGCTCAAATCAACAACCAGTATTGTACATGCTAACCACGTCAAGTTCAGTAGAAAATCGTCGTACAAAATGTTTGCGTGCCGTTGTACCGCTAGCCGCGCTTTCGTACTAGCTAATGTAAATGCCACATTCTCTGCCTTCGGAGTTTCGTGAATCATATCTCGCCTCCCACTGATGACTTAGATAGCTCAGAGTTTGGGTTTCGCCGTGGGCGTGACCGTGGCTGATGCGTAGACTGTCGTGACCAAGGTAGTGCCTCCTGTTTCCTGGACGTCCACGATGCAGTCGCCCTTGGAACCTTGCTGAATCTTGGCGCAATCCTCGTCGGTGAGCTTGGAGGTAAGCTTGATGCACAGATCGTCAAAAAGGTCTGCATTTTTCCCACCCCTTTCTGCGCAAAGGGGTATGATGCCATGGACGTTTTCGCCGTTCGCGTCCGCGCAGCGACATCTAAATAACTCTTGAGAGAGGGCGGTGCTACATATGGTGAGTCAATAATGCTCTGGCGAGGAAAGTTTGCGAACGTACCTGAAGAAAGCGGCAGCTAGTGTGAGTGCGGAGGCCTTCATTTTGCTGGATTACACGTGGGAGTGATGTCGATTGTTGAATGTTTTTGGGATCTCTATTTCGGAGAATAGCTTCAAGAATGCAAGAAGTAGACAAACAATGTGGTCATGAGGCTGGCTGATAAAAAAAGGGCCTTGCATGACCAGCGGCATGGGCTATTTATCATTGATGACGTGGAGTAGTCCGGTAGACATTCATCTCCGGAGAACGGGAACGGTGGATACAGCCCTACCAGCTACCTGGCGGCCTTGAACAGCGTGCCGACGTCGCAATCAATGGCGCAGCGAATTTACAATAAAATCCGCGTTACTGACTCAGTAAGGGCCATCAAGAACGCTTCTAGAAGACAGCCTCCCAATGTGAAACAGGACATGCCCTGCTGATGCGAAACCTGCTCCCCGACTTTAGCCAGCTTGGAAGGCCTCGTGCTAAATAAAGCAGCCTTGATCCCAGTTCGCATTACTGACAACTGCGGATGAACTATCTATCACATTCCAACCGTTTTCTCGGCTCATCTTGGCGAGCGGTGCCTTTCTTCAACCCTACGATACTCGTCAGACTTGCCTAATTATGCGGTGCGCAGCCCGGATTGTGGGGTTTGACAAAGTGGCTCCTCGAACTCTATTTTCATGTCCTTTGCCGAAGGCAGCAAAGACTTCAGAACATCGCAATGTGCGTAAAACAGTGGAGCGACCTCAAATAAACTACAGTGAACTTTAAAATACTCACATATTTTGCTTTTGCCGGATTCAAATAGCAGCTTTCGGGACGCCAATCTTTCCCGCTTCGCCGTCATTGCCTGTGACTTCACAGACGGCTCGATCTAGTCTCCTAGAGTACAAGTTCCAAGCAAACTCGAATTACCTCATCCGAACCCTTACTATTTTGTGTTGGTCTGAGATTACTCTACTTGTCTGGTGTGCTGATCATTGTGGGGCCGGGGAAACCGAAAGTTTGGTCTGGCTCAGTCGGCATCTGTAACACACTCAGGCTCAGGGGCAGCCGACGGAATAGTGAGCTCTGAGCCAGGTCTCTCTAAGGGTCTTACGAGCGTAATGACGGGCATGCAGCACACCATCATGTTCAAAATATCGAAGCCGGCTTCAGACTTTTTAACATTAATATTGAATTCTAGTCTGGCCGCTCACGTGTCTAGGCAACCTGTTTCTCTGCGATTGTATTCCGAGTCATCGCTCACCACGCAACTCTAGCAATCGGACCTCGTGGGAATAGTCCTACAGCCAGCTTTCGAATCTCGTCCATGAACAAGATGCCCAACGCCAAAGGCACGGGAATAAGCCAGAATTCAATTGGAACGGAAGCTGTGCCGAAAAGCTTCTGAATCCCGGGAACTTCGGTAACGAAAATCGCGATCGCGAGACTGATGATAGCGCTCGCAATAAGCCACGGGTTTCGTCTCTCCTTGGTGATCGGATCTGCCTGAACGATACTGAGTCTCCGGTTGCGAACCGCGAGGATATTGCCCCACTGGAGGAACAACAACGTGACAAAGTAGACGCACTGGCCGGTTGCATTGAAGTTGGTGAGCTCATCGAGGGTGTACCCATGGTAGCCTTCAGCATAGCCTTCAAACAAGAAGAAAAGCTCATGAATTGGGAAGCCGGCGTACTTCCACATGTAGAAGAAGAACATTGAATGCGCGCAGACCGTCTCCATGAATCCCGTGAAGAGGTATGCTTGCGCGTAGATCTTGAGATTGATGAGGTGATCACGCTTGGCATTGCGAGGGGGTAGAGAAAGCAAATCAAACTCTTGCTTCTCCATGATGAGCGACAGAGAGAGGAACAGGTCGGTGAAGACGCAGATGACTATCATGAGAAAGACGCTCAACGGTAGAGGAACTCCAAAGAAGGCGTTAACGAGCACCGGCCAGATCTCAGACCAGCTGCCTGCAGGAAGAAGATACGCAATGACCTTCTGCAGATTCTGAAAGACGAGACGTCCGAGACGAATGGCTTCGACGATGGAGTCAAACTGATCCATGAGAACAAGATCCGCTGCCTCAATCGCAACATCACTGCCTGTGACGACAGCTACGCCGACATCAGCAGCCCGAAGTGCCGGAGCATCATTGACACCGTCACCAGTCACCGCAACCACATTCTCACGGTCGCGAAACTCATTGACGATGCGCAGCTTCTGCTCAGGAGTCGTGCGCGAGAAGACAATCTCGTCGTACTCGCAGACAATGTCCCAGTCTTGTGCCATCAGACGAGCGACGGAAGCTCCCTCGAGAAGGAGACTGCGGCCGTTTCCAGCAAGGCGCTCACGTCGAAGCTCTTCGGCTGTGGGTGTCATACCCCTCCTGATGGTGTCAAAGGTGTCGGGCTCCGATGTGGTGAAAATGCCAATGTTGTGGGCTATGGCGGCGGCAGTAATGCCGTAGTCACCAGTGACCATGAAGAATCTCGCCCCAGCACGCCGGCAGTTGGCGACGGTGGAGGCGGCCTCCGTCCGGGGAGGGTCGATGATACCCAGAATGCCCACAACAGTGAGGTTCTCCAAAGCTTTCATCGCAACTTCGTCGCTGAAGGCATTGGTTCCAGGAGAATGAACAGTCTCCAAGACTTTCTCGCAGATGACCACAACTCTCTCAGCGTTGCGAGAAAGCTTGTCCTGAATTTCTTCGAATGACGTCTTGGCATTTGCGCCAAGGGCCTCGGTTGATTGTGTTCTCCCCGACCAGAAGCTGGAACAGGCTGGCAACAAAACGTCAGGTGCCCCTTTGACAAACATGCGGAAATAGTTGCCCTTCTCCGCGGCACCTTCGTGGACCAGTGTAAGCATCCACTTGTTCTTGGAGTTGAATGGAATGGAGAACACTCGTGGGAAATTCGACACGATCGCGTCCCCGTCTCGGGCTGAGGCAGCAAACTTGAGGACAGCTACGTCCGTGGCGTTGCCCTCGGCTATTCTCTCCCGAGGGGGTAGATGCATCGAATCTGCTCCGAATGATGCGTCATTGCATAGGAGGGAAGCTTTCTGTAGCATAGAAAAGATCGCATCGGGCTTCTCCGTGTTGAGAGCTTGGTGCACAACGTCAGGTGAACTAAGGAGCTGGTCCACGAACGCGACAGAGTTGACAGTCATCTGATTCTGTGTCAACGTCCCAGTCTTATCAGAGCATATGACATTGACGCAACCCAAAGTTTCAACAGTAGAGAGACCCTTGGGGAGGATGTTGACCGCCTTCATCCTTCGGGCGACCATCATGAGTGTCAATGCGACAGCCACCGGCATGCCCTCGGGGATAAAGGCGACGACGCAGCCCATAACATTGTTCAACATTTGAACCACGTTCATGTACGAAGGGTGATCACGCTTCAGCCAAGCGATCCAGGCCACAAAGATCAGGAGCGCCAGGAAGACTGTGAGAACGACGATGATTCGAACGAATCTCCAAATCTCCTTTTGAATCAGTGTGACCTTCTCTCCGACGTCTGTTGTAGCTCGAGCAACTCTTCCCATGACCGATTGAGCACCAGTCAAGATCACAACACCGATGCCGTGGCCGTTTACGACGGTTGTGCCCATCAATGCAATATTACGACTCTCGAGAAAGTTTGGGTCGGTCGAGTCGATGGCGCCTTCGACCTCGTCGGATTCGCCGGTGAGGACGCCTCGATCGAAATGGATGTCGCCTGAGTGGGAAAGAAGTCGAAGATCAGCTGGGACCTTGCTGCCGGTACGCAGGTGAACGATGTCGCCCTCGACAAGCTCCGATGCGGTCATTCGCTTGACGGAACCATTCCGCATGACGAGTGTCTCGGAGGGAAGGAGGTTGGTGATGGACTTCATGGTCTTCTGAGTGGACCAGTCTTGAAAGGCGGAGAAGCCAGCCTGGAGAAAGATGACGATAAGGATCAAGACAGCCATGGCAAGATTCTGGGCGGAGGGAGGATCGCTCAGGGGTTTCCAGCAGATGAAAAAGATGATAGCGCCGATCCAGAGAACGGAGCAAAAGCCACCAAAGACGTAGACGAAGAGTTTCTTGAGGTAGTTTGTCTTAGGCTCTGGGAGGGTATTGGGTCCGTTCTTCTGAAGACGAGTAGACGCTTCGTCTTCAGGAAGTCCTTGATCTGGCGAAACGCCGAGTTGCTGGCAGACCTGAGCACCAGGAAGGGTATGGAAGTTGAGCTCAGCAAAGTACTCATCGTCGCCTTCCTTGGCCGCCTTGAGGTCAGGCTCTGCATTCGCAGCAGCGTGCTGGGACTCGGAGACGTGAATTGAAAGAGTTCGATAGCCGATTTGGATACCAAAGTTTTCCGAAGTGCTTTGTCGTCGGCGCCTGGACATGGAGCTAGCAGCTGAGTGTGCTGATCGCGGACGGCCGGCACTCTGGTTGTTGGCCGGTCTTCCTCGACTTTGATGTCCCGTCTCCTCGTCACCGCGAAAAGATATATGAGCGTTGTGACTCCCGCCAGGGCGAGTGTCTTCTGTCATTTTCTTGGAGTCTTCCATGGCAATGATGAGAAATAGGCCGTACAACAGCTCGACGTCAAGTGACAAGAAAGGCGATGCACGCAGGGGCAAAACAAGGGATGCAAAGAAGATGCAATGCAACAGTATCTGTTTCACCGACAATCCAAAATTTCAATTCAAATTTTTATATGCTGAAGCTCTTGCAATTTTGTCTTGTGCAGGCGGCCTCTTCCAGAACGTCACTTACACGAGCCCTGAAGCGACGGGGGAGAATGCCAAGAGAAAATGCCTCATACAAAAAGGGGGATGCGCCCTTTCTCCCTTTCGGACGCAAAGGACATCCATTACGTTAAAATTACCTACAAACTCCAATTTCCCCATGGGAAACGGGCGCAGAGTCCCCCAGATAATAGCAACGCCGTACCAATCGTTTGCCAAGAAATCTGGCGCCTGGTCATCAACACCAGATATGGCAAACCGAGCATCATGATTGTTAATCCCTCAGCCGAGACATCACATGGAAAACAAGTCGGTGAATGCGTTCGGTAATACGTATCCATGGGCACTTTTGTACTCTGGTCGTTGAGCTTTAAAATAGGGCCAGGAATCGTGGCTTTGGGACGAAAATCCTGATCCAGCACTTCACTTCGTCTTTGCCTCCCTCTCCTCCACGCTTCTCATGCCATTCTCCATATGAGTCCGACAGGCACTCCGGATGCAGCCTCAAGCCAGTCATCAGAGGCCTGGGAGCCTTCCAAGCAACCCGGTGCTGTCGCAGCCGCCCTCTGCGTCGCCTTTGCGTTGTTGATCGGCCTGGGCCTGTATATGTTTGCCTGGAAGAAGGTGATCATTCATCGCCGCCCATTCCTGCCGACATCCACGCCACAAAGGATGCCCCAGAACCAGTACCGGCTTCCAGTCTCAATACCGCTCACTCGGTCCCGCACAATTCCCCCGCCAACCAGACCTCCGTTGGCCAAACTTGCTCACAGCAAGCTTGATACAGCCGCCCAGCTCGCCACAGCGACGACGTGCTCAGTCTGCCTAGATGACTTTGCTGCTGGAACTGTGGTAGCTCAGCTACCATGCGGTCACATCTTCTGCTCTGAGTGCATTGAGCCATGGCTTATGAAGCACGCAGTCACATGCCCACTGTGGTAAGCTTGGTCATCAACTCTCACACAATGACTGCTGTGCTCACACCGGTACATAGCCGGGCTCATTTGAAGTCTGATTTGCGTCACTAATGGCTGGATGTAAACAAACGATACATTTATTGTCCATTTTCTTAACCGAAGGTGAGAATGTGGCACGTTTACATCGGCAAGTTTTGATGGTGGATACGATAGCTTATACATAGGCTTCACTTCATGCCCGTGTTATATGACCAATACATCTATCAACTTGTCAAGCGACGTCACACCAGACTTGAAGTTTTCTTCAGGTCGCCGTCGGGTTATATTCCAACCAAGGGTGACGCGTTGAAAGAGACAGCTCTTGCTGTGCGTGTCCTTGCTGTGCGTGTCCTCATTTTGCAGGCTGCTTCGAGTCGAGGAAAGTGGTTGTTTTTACTGGACTCTTGGCAGAAGAACTGTGAATCTCTGGTCATTACTGGTAGGATTTGTCTCTATTTCAGTGTGGGTTAACATGCAGTTCAAGCGAAGAAATCACGTGGTAGCCCCTAAGTCATGTACATATATAAACTCTTCCCGTATTGCTTCTTGCAGTGCGATCCTACATGCATGCATTTGGCATATCAGTTGACTTTCATCGGCGCTAGGTCTCAGAAATCCCCAGTAACGCTCTCCGTGGTCGCTGTGTCAATGGATGAGTAGATGCTATTCGACTGGTAGCACTGTCTAAGACTCTGAGTCGTCAACTCTTCTCAGGTACCCGCAACGGTGGTTCTCAAAGAGATGGTCAGGCTCTTGCGGAAGGTTTCTGCCGTTTGAATCACCTCCGTAGGTGTAGATGATCTTCAATTTACATTGCTTACGAGCAATACGGTAGCCCAATAAACGGTGATGTTTACATATGTTTAATTATACGAAGCCTGCAGCTTACACAGACCACCGCTGTCATATCACGCGAACAATGATTATTATCGAAAGAGGCCAGTCCAAAAGACTAGCAGAGAATTTTATTCGGTGACTCTTCATTGCATCCGAGAAGCCGAAGACATCTGTGTATGTACAGGAGAAGAAATCATTTACACCAGAATGGTCAAGAAAGTGTGCCCTTAGCCGTTCAGCCACCTTCCACGCGCGGGTTACTGAGCTTAGACCGGTGGCCACGGGAGTCGAAAAATGGCTTATTACTGTTTGAATGAGTGTCAGCATCAGTTGAAAGAAGGAAAGGGATGCATAGGGCTACTAACAGCAGTGCCGGCAGAGTTGAAGGTGGAGCCGATGGGGCCGACCTTGATGTTGGAGAAGATGACGGTGGAGTCGGGGGCCTGGGACTCGACGTCGGCGGGGACACCGGAGCTGGTGCTGCAAGTGCCGCGAGCGGTGCCGAGGCCGGTCTTGTCGGTGGGGTAGGTGGAGTCGAGCCAGAGCATGTTGGAGTGGTGCTGTAAGAAACATGTTAGCCAAGTGTTTCTTCATCATAAACAAATGGTGGGTTTTGCAACTCACGTCATCCCAGACAGACATGACCAGAACCATACCCTCAGAAAGAGCCTTGCCCATCTGAGGAAGACCGCCCTTCTGGGTGAAGACATCCTCGTCGCCGAAAGCCTTCTTCTGAGCAGTGCAGAAGCCGGGGGTGATGGAGTTGCCGTCGACGCCGGCGATGTCAGACTTGGAGTTGGCAAAGACCTTGCCGTCCTGGACGTAGAAGCGCTTGATGTCGGTGAGGGCGCCGCCGGACTCGACGAACTGGGTGACGACGGTGATCTTCTTGGAGGTATCGATGGCGAACTGGGAGCCCTTGCCGTAGAAGGAGGTGTTGCCCATGCGGTAGCTGTTGAAGTCGCAGCCGTCGGGGTCGCACTGACCGGCGTAGCGGGTAGTGCTGTAGGTTCCGCCGCAAGCGTCGCCGGAGCAGCTCTTCTGGCCGATGGTCTCGCAGGGGTGCGGGGTGTAGGCGGTGGAGACGGAGTTGGCCTCCCAGATGTCCATCTCGGAGCAGCAGGAGCCCATGTTGCCGACGCCGGCGTTGGCGTCGTTGGAGGACGGCGTCCAGCCCTCGACGTTAGCCTTGCCGTCGATGAACTTGAGGTCGCGGGGGCACTGGGAGTCGCAGTATCCGGTGCCGTACTTGGCGCCGGCCTTGTTGGTGGGGAACTTGGCGACACCACCGTCCGCGTCCATGGAGACGAAGTAGAGGGCGCCGTTCAGGCCGCACTGAAATCCTAATCAGTTTTATACTCATTGTAGCGGGGTGTGTTGAACTTACACCAAGGTTGGAGACGTCGACATCAAAGGTGAACTCCTGGCCGAGAAGCTTGAACATCTCGTACTTCTCGCCAGCGCTGTCCATGAGGTACATGCGAGAACCGATGTTCTTGCTGTAAGGACCCTGCTGGACGAATTTGAGGCTGAGGGAGTTGCCCGTGGTGCTAGCACCGTAGGTACCGGAGTAGTCGGCGCCATCGAGACAGCACTTGGAGGCACAGTCCTCGCCAGTGCTGCAGATGGAGGTATCCCACTTGTTGCCGGTGTAGCAGTTTGTGCTGCCGCTGGTCTGGTGAGTCCAGCGCCAGTTGGCATCGACGGTGATGGCTCCGTTGTTGGTGGTGCAGGAGCCTCCGGCAGCGCAAGTGGACCAGGTGAGGGCAGGCTTGGTCTCAGTGTTGAGGGTGCAGACCTGCTGCGCGCGGACAGCAGCCGCTAGGGCCGCGATGGCGGAAACCTTGGTCAACATGGTGGTTTTGGTTTAAGGGGCAAAAGGTTGGGAGTTCAGTCGATAAAGACGGGACGAGGAGAATAGAAAAAGAGTGGAAATATTCAGACGGTCTGAAGAAAAAGAGTGAATGGCAGGGCCAGAAAAGAATGTCCGAGTGGCTTGGGATGAGGAGGGGAGCAAACCTTCAACTGAGGGGATGGCCTCGGCCAGCTTATATAGACTCTCGAAAACTGTTTCGAAGTGCCATTCAAGGTTAAACTATCATGAGATGGGCGCTGTGCTGTTGGACTGAGCCCCCTCGCTCTCTCTCGCATGTCCCCCCGAACACTCTAATCTCCGGCCAGGGGCTTGTCAGGTTCCTCTAAGTGAGTGGTGATGCTTTCAATTGGGAACACTCATCCGGGTGGCTCTGATTCATTGGAGAGGCGATGTCCCGGTGGGACCAAGGCGCCAAAAAAGATCGGATGTCTTCCCGCTCTTCCAAGAGGAGGCGGTCCCATATTGGACGAACATGGTCTGAGACCAGGACTTTGGTAGAGCTGGGCACTTTCTGGGCGAAGGCTTGTGAAGGCTTGTCTCGTAGGGCGACAACCTTGGCTCTGTCACTATGTCTGACGGCAAGCCGGCCGCAACAAATTGTTTAATTACCTCAGGACCGGCGAGCTGGTGATGCGGGGATTGGAGGTGGTATGAGCGAGCTCACAGCTCAGAGAAGCACCTGTTGCCGCCTCTTAGAGTGAGGTGACATCGTGCGTCTACTCCGCAAAGCCAAGTTGGGGTTCCTGCAAGGGGCGCCTGGACGGAAGAACTCCCACCGCCCTCCGCTCGCGTGGCCGTGGCTCTTTGCGATTGGTTGGGTAATCTATTCGTCCCCTGCAGAATCCGGAGTGCGCGGCACTTGCAGCGCAGTACCGAAGTCACAGATGCGGATGTGACGGCCTCAGATGACCAACTCAACCACCTTACCTGCGGCACTGGTCTGCACGATGGCAATGTAGGCCGTTAGGCGAAGTGTGAGTTGCCGCAACTCGAGTGCATTAGACCACCCGTCAGATCTGACAACACAACTCCTCGCCGACACTACCGCCCGTCACTTTTAATATTTTTGCCTCAATCTTTCTCATAACAAAATTGACCCATCGTGGTGTTGAACAGTACTAGCAATGGCGCCACGGACAAGCACGTGGGATGTTTTAAAATACAGAGTACCGGGGACTTTTTTCATAGCCATGTGGCTGTGGCTCCGGTTAAAGTGTTCAACTACTGCAGGGTCCAATCTCCTGACTCTGTTCCTTGCATCTAACGCAAAAAAATGGCTTAGGTTTTAACCTTGGATTGCCTGCGTTATGCAAGAAAACAGAGTTAAGTCTTGCATTCGCTGCTGTTTATTCCCTTCTTACCCCTTATGCCCCTTAGTCTATTTTACTTTTTGGCCCCCTATTCCAACTCGGGCAATGCCTGCCGCCCATGCTCTCCCGGCTTGTGATGCCGGCGGTGGGGCCGTGGATCCACGGAGCATCGTACGGAATGGCGGACCGTGAGAAACCAGTCCACCTATCGGAGCCATTGAGCCGAAGCCGTCGTGATTTACCCCGATCTCGGGCTTGTCCCGGCTGAGGCTCAGAGGCAATATCCGCACTTACGTAGTCAATGCTACCCCGAATCTGCAAAAAGTAGACCTTAATATCAATCTGCCGCAAAAGGCCCCTTTCTGGTAGACAAAACCCCTAGCACGCGCACCAAATTCGCGGAGGGTAGCGCGCCGTCGTCTGCGAATGTCAATGATCGCCTTCATATACGCGCCATCTGCGCAAGCAATCTTTTTTCATCAATTCCTTCACTCGGCGTGAGCAGTCAAGCTTTGCGGCTGCCTTGGCGGCGCTTGGCCTCCGAGCCGAGTACCGCTAGTTCGAGTTGAACGGTACTGCGAGACGTTCGGAGATGATGCCGTCATGTGCGAAGCGCTCGGCCACAAGGAAGCGGAAGTGGGAAAATCTTGAGTGTATTCCCGGACCTTGAACTTGGCCCAAAGCCGCAACTCGGGGCCTCCAGAGTAGGGATTGAGAAATCGCGTTTTTTACGTAAAAATTAACGTACTCATACTATCGATAAAAAACAACAGAAAACGGACAAAAATAGCTAACCTAATCGGGTAAAGTGGAGGTTATCCGGGGGATACGGAGCTTCTTTAAGTTAGTACCTAGAACGCCCCCTATAAAGGTTTGTCCGGCCTCCGATCGTTAGCTATACGGGTCTTGTTATTTTCACTGTAAAGTATAACGGTTTGAGCACAAAAGTACGACGTACTGCTAAGAGAACGTTCGTTGTTCTCAATCCCTACTCCAGAGACTTCGCGCTAATGAAGCAGAAGGCGGTGGGTGTGGAGAGTCCATGAGCACTTTGTCTTGTTTATATCCGTCCCGCTTTCATCGTGCCGCAACTCCGTCAACCGGACTGCCAAGTGGGGTCATCGCGAACCAAACGGCGGAAGCAGCCGCACGCTGGCGGAAGATTGATCGATGAAGCCGATAACTGATGTATAAACTTGCAGAAGTGGTCCCAAATATGGACAGGTTTTATCGGTTGACATCTTGTCAGAAGCGGCCAGACTAGGCATCGATGTTATACCTGAGCGCAAGAGAGTTGCCGCCTAGTCTGGAGTCAAATATGGATGCACAGCGCCCGCATTTCCTCGCTTTTCCCACGAGCCCACCACGAGCACTGCATGCACTTGCAAGCTCATCGTCGCAGGCTCAAGATTTGAAGTCAAGACAGGCGGGGTATCATGGGACTATAGCAATAAGCTACAATGTTAAGCTTGTCAGACTCATCTTCGCCCCTTGTCGCCCTTTGTCAGTTTCTTGTCAGAACTGCGACCTCAAACCCAAAACTGATGTCGTTTGTTTCGTGCCTGAACTCGTTTGAACATGCAGCGAGCGCATCGAGAGTTTAAAGCCAAAAGGCGAGTAAAAACGCAAAACAGCAACAGAGTACAGCGATCAAACGCGAAGGGCTTTTAAGAAAGAAAGTGATGATGTAAGGTTAAGAGTACATCATACACGTACCTGACTCACATGATCGCTGGGATGTGCCGGCGCATCTGATGTCTCGTTCTCGGCACACCGAGGTCAGTCAGCCTCTCCCGCTCTCGCTCTCCTCGCCTCACCCGGGTCCCCCACGTCTGTCGTCGAAACACTTGAAACTTTGACTTGAACACCAGACGCCGAGCCACGCCCGAACATTCGAGAAGGCATAGTCGCGGATAGCTCCAGCGCGACCGGATATTTTCTCAATGATACCAGCCGCGCAATGCGCGAGGCGATAAAGTGATTGATCTTCCTGAAGACTGCGTTTTGAAAAACGACGACTGAGTACATGTCCGTAGAGGTTGCCCGTTTATGTTGGTGTGGAGGAGAACGTCATTGACTTTCCCTTTTCTGCAAGGTACAACTGAACTTCCAAGAGAATTGTGGGCTGGTGTGCCAACTTACTTTTCTCCCAGCCCTTCACAGCAACTCAAGAGGGAAAAAAAGACTGGAGACTTTTCAGCTGTGGCATCAATGATAAGAGCCCTTTGGGGCTTCTGATAGGTCACTTGTGTTGCTGTTCCTGAAAACGAGTTACAGGATTGTCCATGTCCCTCCAATGAGCTAACGCAGGACCTGGATCTTCTTTCGCACCTGCAGTTGAAGCCAAGAGAACCTGAACAGAGCTTGATGTCCACCTGTAGGGCTTAGCACCACCGGGGCCATTGCAAAACCTTGGAGAAACGTCGCAGGAGGGTTTGTCTCCTCACGCCCCAAATCAGGGACCTAACGGGGGGCAGTTGCTGTACGGCTGATCAATCAAGGTGGGCAGAAGTCTGACTTTATACCACGGAGATAGCGTGGCCAAGGCATGTCATGATTGCTTCTTTCTCAGCGGAAGAGCGGGAGAAAAGCAAGTCGCATGTCGGAGGCCGCGAAAACCTTCCCCTCTTTGAAACTCAAAGGCAATGCGACTCGCGAAAGACTGCCCGCGGCCGATGCAACTCGTTGAAGCAGTCGCCACCACAGAGTTACTTATTCTTCAACAACAGAAAATACCAAAGTGAAGCGGATATGACCAAAACCGAAGCCCCTCCACGCACAACTCCGCGTGGCCTTTGCACTGTGAGACGGAGCCGTGCTAAGTAGCATCCCATTTGCACGGCTCAAATCGTACGAGCGTGGCTCGTTTTCCGTCTGACCTCGCTTGCTATCCATAGAATCCGTGCGTTTCAGCACGGGCACTCCTAACGCGGACCAAGGGAAATAACCAGCTCAGAGGAGAGGCAGACGGGAGGGAAAAACCAACGACTCCACCACCCAGGTTTCAAAATCCGCCCAGGAACGGTCAAAATGCTTTTTTGGTGGTGGGCAGGCAACTCTTGGGGGGCACCATAAGTGGGATTATGGTGCCCTCGGAATTGTACCTGAGAGCAGCTCGGCCACCTTTACCGGCTCCGAGGATGAGATGCAGAGCTGCACACCCCAATCGCTCTCGCATTTGCCCACTCAACTCACATCTCATTCATCTGTGCTGAGCAAACTCACAGTGAAATCTGCACATGAGAAGTGAGTCCAACTCTCACACAGCAGCAAAGTTCACACACATATCTCAGAATAGAACCAGGCACAACGAAGATTTGACATCAAATCATTGCTATGAAATTTTTTTATAATTTTACACACAATAGAGAGAAAAAGAGTTTGTAGTTGCAAACCGCTCCAACAAGCACAAGAATGCTTTCCTTTGACAAATTTGAGTTCCGGATGTGTTGATATTGTGTGCAAAACAAGGAGGTGGGAGACTGATTAGGGAGGAGGGGGGGAGTCGTCGGGAACCACACAACGTCAACGCTGAGAGAGGCACATATGAAGGAGGAAGGAGGGAAAGCAACGCGCTCTAGGTAGAAGCTGAAACTTCTAATTGGAGTCTTGTTGTCTGCTGCGGACTAAGCCCTCTCGCTCTTCATGGGGCAACCTCAGGCTGGAAGTCGGCTCCGGGCACGACGTAGCGCTTGGCCCATCTCAGTCCGCTGTTCTCCTCACGCTTCTGTCTGGCGGCGCGCTTTCCACCGCGGTTCTTGCCCCTCTGGCGTCCGTTACCGCCGGCGTTCGCGTTGCCTCCGGTGTTGGCGTTGTTGTTGCCAGTGTTGCCAGTGTTGCCGGTGTTCGCGTTTCCAGTTCCAGCGTTGGCATTGCCTCCGGCGCCGGCAGTGCCGTCGACAGATGGGCCGGTGTTGGTGGCGGGGAACTCCTTGGTCACGACCTCAGGGACACCCAGAAGCTTGTTGGCAGCAGCGATGTTGTCCTGGCCCTGTTTGGTGCCGTCAATCTGGTTAGCCTTAATGGCGGCCGGGAGGTCGGCGGCGTTCTGCTGCTGCTTGGCGAGGACACCCTCGAGGTCCTGGGCGGTCTTGATGTTCTGGGGGGTGTTCTGGGTGGGGGTGACATCGGATTGCTGGACGGCGAAGCAGCCACCGAAGGGGCCGGCGACGGCGTTGTTACGGCAGCGGACGGTGCAGACGTTTCCGGTGGAGGCGCCGGTGCACTTGAGGTCGTTGGGCATCGTGACGGTGATGTTGAACTGCTGTGCCTTGGCCTGGGAGAAGCCGTTGGTTCCGGGGACGTTGTTGGTGACCTCGAGAGGAGTCTGGCCGGTGGCACCGAGGGAGTTGCCGGTAGGGTCCAGGTCGCAGGCGAAGGGGCCGGCACCGTCGGCGTTCACCTGGTGGATGGTGACGGTGACCTTGGAGCCAGGCTTGACCTGTGTGACGGCGCCGGCAGCCAGGGCGTTCTCGGTGTTCTCGCCGACATCGATGTTGCCGGAAATCTCAGTACGTCCGCACTCGTTCACGGTGTTGGCCTTGATCTCGGCATCGCGGATCAGGGTGGCGTCCTGCTGGCAGGGGTTGATGGTCGTGCAGTTGCGGGCAAGGTTGGGGTCGACTGAAATTTGGAGTCAGTGAAATGAGTTCCACGATAAAGCCCAGTGAATCCCCCGATGATGAAATCTCATTTTGAAGCCATCACCAACTGATTTGTTTGTTTTCCAGCTCACTTACCCTTGAAACCAACAGAAGCAGGACCACCGGCATCGCCCTGAGCATTAATGATAGCCGCGTGGCCGCGAACCACCGCCAGCATGGACGCGCCGATAATGATATCCTTGAAAGAAAGCATCTTGTCTCGCAGAGACTAAGTTCAATGTGCCCAGCACGATTAAAGGAACGAAGTGAAGGAAGAGAAGAAGAGAAGAAAAGAAAAGCGAAGCCCGCTGGGAGAGCGAAGGCACAAGTGAATGATATTGATTGTGTGGGTGAGGGAGGAAGAGGGAGAAACCTAAAAGACGAGACGACGCCGCGAAGGTCATCTTATACATAACCTCGCGGACGAGGGCCGAAACGACGTAAACGTACTCAAACGCCCACCATCAATGATGTACGCTGATCTGCTCAGATCATCTGCAACACCTCCTGTCGCAAGGCTGTGGTGCTGGGCGGAGTCGCGACCTGACCCTGAACCAGTCCTCTCTTGGCAGATGGAGGGAAGCCTGGGAATAGGCCCTGGAAGGGGAGGGAAGGGGAAGGGTGAGGCGAGGCAGGGGTTGGTCAGGGTGAGCATGGTGCAGTTCGCGTGTTGGTCGAGGCCTTGTCAGCGGCCGGTAGCGAGGCATTCGGGTGGCATATGGGGGGCATTACCATAGTATGGCCAATATGGCAGCGCATTCAGGACGTGGAGGAGGCTCTGGGAGTGCGTTGGATGTGGATGTTGGGTGGTTGAGTCTGCCTCTGCTGGTGGTGGTGTTGGTGGATCTTGGAGTTTGGCGAAGGATCCCTGTCTGTTAACACACACAAGACCCCTGCCTCCCACCCTTCTAGCCCATGCAAGTCCGCCCTTGTCCGCTCTCGTCCGGGATGGTCAAGTCGGTTGCCCGCGAGTCAACGGCGAGTTTTCACAAACGGCGTCTAGCCGTGTTTGGCAGGGCCGAGACAGACGGGAGGTCGGACGATTAGGCGCTGAGGGGTTGGCTCTGAAGAGGCGAGCGTGTTTCACAGAGCATTACCAGATGCCCTAGTAAGCAATTTGACAACGGAGCCAGGGCATGTCAGCGCCCCTCCAAAACGCAGCCAGACCACCACCAGGCGCCCAAAAGGGGACGAAGGGGGGCGGCAGCGAGCGAGGATAATGAAGCTTACTACGCCGTCATAATGCCTGCGAAAGAGGAACCTTCTTTGCCCTCCTCCTGCGAGATGGCTGCGGCCCATTGCTTTTTCTGGGTGCACCGCTGCGAGGTCGTCTGTTGTCCCAGGGTCGACCCGTCTCTTCTCGGCCAAAAGGGGGTCACAGACTCGAGGTGTGATACACGTGCCAAGAGGCAAAGCCCAAAGCGCGCGACGATGGCGGCGGCCGAGGGCGAGCGAAGAGAGAGTGGAAAGCAGGGCGAGAGCGAACAGCAAGCCGGGGCTGGAAGATTCCTCCCATTCTTTTTCGTCCCATTCCTGAAATCCTGACGTTGACAGCAAGCAGGCAGGCATCGTGGCGTCCCGGCTGCGGCTGCGGGTAGGACGGACAGAACGTGGACTCGTCTGGTGTTGCTGACTCTCTCACACACTCACTCTTGCTCTTCCTTTCTCTCTCTTTTCCCCTACGCAGTCACCTTTTCGTCCCGCCCTCAAGGGTGAGACCGACGCTCGGAGACCGGCCGAAGGGGTCGCCTGTTTAGCCCAAAAGAAGCCACACAGGCGACGGATGGAGATGCCGCCCAGATCCATCCAGATCGTGGCTGGTCTTGTTTTAAAGATTTCGACCAGACGACGAGGGCAAGAAGATGCGAGCCGCTAGTCCCAGTTCCCAATCCCGCCCAGCCCCAGCTGAGCCTCCTCCAAGAAGCTGTCAATTGTCGATGTTTATGACGATCGGGAACCACTTACCGATGACCGACTCGGGGATTATGTGTGGTGTTGCGACCGTGAACTCCAGAAGCCAAGAACGAGCAACCTGCTTCAGCAGCGCATCAGCGTGGAGAGTCGCCGTCAATCAGCGTCAATCATCAGCAGCGGCCCTACCGATAGTAAAGCCAATCTCCTCGGGGGTCCGGGGAGCAATCTATCTTGCCCACACGAATCCCCGTATTCGACATAAGGTAACGGATGCAATATACATAGATTAACGGGTACCTGACCGCCGGACGGACTAAAAGAGCGTTGTATGGTACCTTGCATGGAAGGCCGTCCGTCACTCGGATGATGCACACTGCTTGGCCACTTGGCGGACTTCACTCCTGCTTGCCTTGCCATTACGCTTTTGTCATGCTCATACAGTTTGGTTTCCATGGCTGCTAAATTCCGGTCATAATTCCCGCCCGCGTCTCCAACACGGCTGCCACCTCACGCACACTCACACAAACCACCAAAACCACCACCAAGACAACCACCATCCCCAAATAAAAATTCTCCGCGACGGAAAGGAGAAGCGCGAGATCCACAAGATTGCTGCAAGGAGAGCGCCTCCCCCCGGCAGCGCAGGGATCCTAATACCAGGATCTACCCTTCACGTTTCACCTCGGCCCACAGTTAGAGCAGGTGTCATTCGATCACCGGCAGCCTCAAGTGGGTGGGCTGCATCGCTCGTGGGTGGATTTTGGACGTTTCGAGACGAATCTGAAGCATCGACATCGAGCCACTAGGGTCGCAAAAAAGGAGATAGCTCGGGGTTCTTTGCGTCCTTTGCAAGACAGCCATTCGCTGTGGTGTCGTCACTTGGCCAGTTTCTTCATGATATTGGTCCACACACGTAAACTCGAACGCTCTCTCTCTCAGTCTCGCGACCGGCGCCCCCGTCCTCCGTGTTCACATGGATTTCAATCTCGTCTCGCGCTGCCCTCCGCAACTGTAAAACTTTAGTTCTTAATTACCTGCCCAAAATTGCTATGCTCCCCTCCCCTCCAACCCCGCCGAGCGTTCGCGTCGCCGTTCTCCTGTTCGACCCGCTTGCAACCTTATGCCAAAAAGTCGACGCCTGGACCAATGATGATTATGATCGGGGATTTAGGAGCGGCTGGTCCCCTTTCTCGGCGGCACGATGCATCAACCTCGCAGATTGCCTATTTCCAGCCAGTACTGCAACCCAGCCCAGCGGCTGTCGCATCTAACCTCATTAGTGTTTGACTCTCTGCACCTCAGCCCCCTCGGCTCCCCCTTCTACTGCTGTGCCTTCTTCCAGGCTTGGTCAGCGTCGGGATGGACCGACGGCGAGACAATATGCTTCCGCGCCTCCTGCTTTTCTTTATAATCCGTCTTGAACCGCCGGTCTCGATCACTAACGTACTTCTCAAAGTCCAACTGCCCCTCCGCTGTGAAGCTGGTCATGAGTTGCGGCTCTCCTAGAGGCAGCTGATGGCCCTTGTCAACCTGCCAGAGGTGATAGACCTTGCCGTAGACGCGAACGATTTCCTCCATCTCCTTGTTCTCCGCCGCCTCCCACAGCGCATCGGGCAACGACGGCTGGGGCATGAGGAGCATCCCCGACTTGACCTCGTACACATGGCTATGCCACAGCTTCCGCTCCTCCGGGTCCAGCGTCTCGTACAATTTCGGTGAAATCATGTACTCGATGCCAATGATGCGCGCGTGGGGCTCGGGGCTGTCGTAGAGGATGCACTGTCGGACATCGTCGTTCAAATGTCCGCAATAGTGGTTCGCCTCAACCACCCGGGACGGGTCCGATGCGTAGGCGTGGAACGCGTTGAGGTGCGCGCAGACGTTCTTCAGCGGCGCAAAGTCCTGGTTGTCCGATTAGCACGATGGAGTCCACTATCCATATGTCGCATCGGCAGGCAAAAGCAGACCTGGACGGCCGAGGCGCCGGCTTGCAGGACCTGGTTCTTAGTGGTAATCGGGTCGCCGGCGGCGGGGTTCGTTTCCGACTTGGTTGCCATTGTTCACTGTGAGCGAGATTGCAATGTCGCTCGCTAAGCGGGATCCTTGGGTTTAGTTCCACGGTTGGGTCTGTCGATGTTCGTCTAGACTTGCCCACCGCCGGACTTCGTGTCTTTGCGATTCCTTTTCTGTTTTTGGTCTCTGGAAAACCTCAGTTCGATAGTGATCATGTCTATGGTGTATTCGTGACGTCATGCAGCATGTGCGTGTCCTGCAACGCGAATTTCATCATGATTGCGGCATGCGGTGGCATTGCGCATATCCTCTGCAAGTATTGGACGTCCGATTGTCAACCGCAAGTCCAGAGCGTGAACTCAGATGCACAGGCCGGAGCGTTGTTTCCGGCGGCTCTTGCTCTCGGCAGCCCAGTGCGGCAAAACCTTCCGAAGCTGATCCGGATGATCCGCTTCCGGGCGGGTGCTCCCGCCGTAGCGTGCTCCGAGATTTTCTGGGTCTCGATCGGCCGGCGCCGAGGAGGGGCAGTGCATGTCCGGGCTAGGGCAGAAGTACTTCAGCGGAAGGTCCCGATGATTAACGGTCACGAATCATGGTCCCGTGAAACAGGCCGCTCGGATTTTGCAACAGCGGAATACGGGAACATCACGACTAAATGGGGAACCTTTTTTTGTTCACAAACTTGAGGACTCTTTTTAGCCAAGTAATTAATCATGATACAAACGGATGTCACCATCAATACTGTAGCCTCATGCGTGACTCGCCGATAAATCTCATACTCCCAACATTGCACAACATTCACAGTATCACCAGACTGATGGATGTATTACATTCAAATAATCCAAGCTATTGATGCGCGCCGCAGGGTGTTGAGGTTGTACACGACTGCATTGACGGCCGACAGGTCAACCGAGTAAACGTCCAGCCTAACTCTCAGCTCTCCTTAGACGATCTCCCTTAGGTGCAAAAGATGCAGCCACAGCTAAAGTCGAAGCTGCAATCGCGCTTGTGAACGTCAGGGTAGGCGGCAATGATGGCGTCGACGTAGTCTTTGCTTAGCTTGATGGACGTAGTCTGCCCTTCAGGCGCAGGAGCGGTGACGGCAACAGACGCGAAAGCGATAGCGGCGACGGCGAAGAACTTCATGGTGGTTGTCGAAAGGCTACGAGATTTTGTCGGTTAGCTCAGAGTGCATTCATAAAGTCTTTGAGTCCAAGGATGAATTTTTGGCATGTGCGCTTACAGTTGTATAAGTGAAGATTTCTGTTGTGACTCAGGAATGATAAAAGCTGATATGTTTCTCAAATGTGCTGATGAATGCAAACACGATGAATAGCATTGACCTCTCTTATATACTTCAAAGCTACGGGATGGGTATCGTTGTCCCATTGTCACATACGACCATTCATGTTCGCCGGAGAACAAGCCTTCAAAGTGCGAGGTTGATTCCACATTGGTGGGTTTCGAATTACCGTGCTTGTCACGACAAGTCCACGAATCGTCATCTTCCAACATCTATACAGGCTTCTCATAACCAATACTGGCGCAATAGAAGCTAAAATCAACACGTCAGAGGCCTTGGCATTCTGCGTCTCACAGGCGGAGGTTACATCCGTTGCTAGATGTGAGTGTCGATCGCGAAGCTATCCCCGGGCGAGTGGTCGTACGCGCGAGTAACTAGGGAGTATTCCTAGGATAACAGTAAGCATGATTTGGACTAACCGGACCATTGCTTCCAACGAATATTCAAATTTGTGAAAGGGGGTCTCAGATTGCTCTATTCCAACTTGCAATCGGCAACCGACTGTGGAGCGACAAAGTAAGTATGTTGAGATCATTCGTGGAACACAATTGACCGGTAGGATTCTCATGGACGGCTTATCTCTCGGACTTCTCTTACTATATGCACATACTCCGACTCCCTATGACGGATCAGGCTTTACGAATTAACCTCATGATGGACGAAGGATCGTTCTTGGCAAATCCTAGACTGTGGAGTTGAGCGAATCAACTGCCAGCTTCAGACGCGTTGAACTAAGCGATATGATAGGACCTGCACTTGTAATCACATATTGAGATTGTGGATGTTCGGATGTTTTCTGACGTCGATGAATCATTTTTGTTGCTGATTTATGCATCTTTCGTGACGAGGAATGCGGATTTCCAAACTCTCGAGACACTCAAACTGCTTGAGGGCAGAAGACCTCTTGGATAATACTCAATCATCTTTGTTTCTCATAGTACTGGAAATAGAACGTGAGTCATCTTGGAAGAGAGCAGAAGTTTTTGAAGCCCATCGTCTCAATTTCCTGCTCGTAGCCTCTGTTGTCTCGGTGTGCTCACCTCACCGAGTGCAACGTTCTGGCCATTAGTGGCCCACCGAGATTGTGGAGCATTTAACCCGGTAACAGATACTCGGTGGTATTCTCCACCTCGGTGAAAGCCGGAGAGACGATTCAGGATCTCGAAGGGGAAGCCGATTGGGTTGAAGAAGACTTTGCGCACCAACAGCCACTCAGTCACAAGCCTTGCTAGACTTTTGCGCAGAAATAAAAGGGTGCGCTGCACAATAGTAGCGATGTTATTGTTGTTAAACTTTTCGAGGTCGCAACGGCCATGGAGCTCGGGTGCATTACTTACGGAGTGCAGTGGGAGGAAACTCCTGGATCAACCATGCAGTCAGTCTTCAGCCGACGAATACGAGATGTTCGTCAAAAGCTGAACAAAGAATTGAAGAAAAACATGGGTGCCGAGTGTCAACTCACGGGAAGCTGTGTTGGGACTTGAGGAAATGCAGATCGATCTCATTCTGGTAATTGCCGTTTTTGTCTCTGATGCCATCAAATCCCTGCATCAAGTTGTGTCTCCCCAGGCTTCTTCTATTCTTAGCATGATCATTGTCTGAGGTCGGATCCGATGGGAAGTCCGCGATCACCAGCTAAGCCGCCTTGCTGGGCTTAGTCCTTTAGTGACCCTTGAGCTAGTGAACCTCCGAAACGATACGGACTACGTCACCAACCTAACGATTCTTCTCGATCAAATCTTCTTGCCATTTATTGTGCTCTAAAGGTCGAATCGAACACCGCAGTTACAAGGCAATCGAGAGCTTCGGCTTGGAAGGCATGGACTTGATCGCAGGTCTACGAGTTGGCACGTGCCCCCAGGCAATCGCACCACTCAAGATGTACAAGAATTTTTGTGAATTGGCTCTGCGCCTCAACGCAAGCTTTACACGCGACCCAAAGGCCGCATGCCGAAAGGCGTGATGGGAAGCAGTTGATTGAAGTGCAGAGTAAGAACTTTCAATGCATTCGTCAATCCAAGAGGCAAATCCTCGTATTCTTTCGAGGATCAGCTTGGGGTGTCTCATTCTCCGCCGTTGTTCGGGCGGCGCAATGGTAGGGGCATCTGACGTGCGTCCACGGGCCGATCTAGTGTGCCAAGCCACGAAGCTTGTGCGTTGGAGGGGAAGAAAAGATGCGACGGCGTCAAAGGATGTGCGAAACCAATGCCATGTTGGTGGCTCATTGACGTGAGCGTGCAATACAGGACGCGTCTAGCTAGGCATCAATACCAGCAACAGGAAGTAACGTTGAATCTCGGTAGAGCTGTGCTGCTATAGAAACAGTAATGAAAAATAATCTAATACAATATCTACGCATCGCCCGTTATGCGTACAGCTTTGCAAATGACTCGTGGATAAATCTGAATGCTCAATGCTCATGCAAGCGGTGTGGAGAGGCAGTGTGAATTGAGGACAAAAAAACATAATGAAGTGGTATGAAAAGAAAATGCAAAAGAAATCGTCACCCACAGGATTCGAACCTGCGCGTCCGAAGACACTGGCTTGATAGCAGATAATAGCAGGCCAGCCCATTAACCACTCTGGCAAGGTGACTAATCAGTAGATGTGAACATCCGATACTAACCTGACTATATTGGGCAGTACGCTGGACAGGTACCATTGGCCCCGCAAATACGAGAAGATCGTCAAGCAGAGCTTCTGCTCCCAGCGACATGCAGCGGACAGTTGTGCACACCGGATCACTGCCGACAGCTGGTTGGTTAGACCCCTAAAAAGCGGCGCATCTTACCCGAATTTCTCAGCTTCAGCACTTCATTGCGCCATGCTGGTCCTCTCCACATAAGGAGGAACAGCACTATGCCAGCACAGATATCAATGTTTGTATGCTAGTCAGTTGTCTGACTCTGACGTGTTTGTTCTGTTTGGCCCATTGAAACGTTACCGTTGGTAGGCGGTAAGGACAGCCCGGTCCAGCGCCGTCTACTCGAATCGAAGCGAAGAAAAAAGCAACGCCACGCAGCGAAGCTCCCTTCTTCCCTCGGGGCAATACGAGAGCTTGTCAAAAACAAGTCGTTTTTATTTATAAAGATCGGCCGGATCGGCACTAAAACACTCGGGGAAAAGTAGGCTAAAGTTTGATTAGTGCCACCTTTGGGCCTCAGCCCCCGTCGCTTTTCCCGCGCGTGTCAGCGGCACGCTTCCCCCGACCGACCGAATTCCCTCTTTTCCCGCCCCCTTTTCCGGGACTGACGTTGTTCAACTATGCAATGTTCCCCGGGAAGAACCAAGAGCCCGCTAAATTGGCGGAAACTGCTAAGAATAGGCGAATTAGGAAACTCTCTAGGGGTCCTGCAGGCTGCGCTCAACTCCTAAAGCCTTCCAAGTGACCCAGGAAACGCTCCGATGGCGACATGAGCCGCAGCGCCACCCCGCTGAAGTCGGGAGCCGCTCGCTCGGCTAGCACGGGGGAGGATTGAGGGGACCCAACGATGTCATGCCCAGATGATGTGCGCCGCCCTACCGACAGGTTGGCTGAGTGCTGGGAACCTGACGTCGGGTGATGCGAAAATTTCCGTGGAGATATGGAGGCGGCTGGGGTTGAGTCTCCATGTTCATTCGATGTTATGATGGAATACTTAAAGATCGGCCAAATCCTCTCCATCCCATCTCTTCCTGTCCACACCAACACGCATCTAGACTTCCAACTCATCTGAACTCCTGAACCAACCACAACAATCCACCTACCTTGATCACCAACCCCCCTACAAATCATTCAAAATGCAGTTCCGCGCTTCCATCGCCGCCGCCGCCTCCCTCTTTGCCCTGGCCAACGCCCGCATCTACGGCATTGCCTTCCCCGAGACCGTCAAGGCCGGCGACCAGGTCAACGCTATCATCGAGACCGAGAACTACATCCAGTCCGTCCAGGACGTTGCCATCGCCTTCGGCATCGCCCCCGAGGCCTCTGCCTACCCCGGCACCCTCTCCACTGTCATCGGCTCTTTCTACCTCGGACCTGGTAAGCCTCCCCACGGACCCCGCGGAAGCCACCGAATTTGTTCTAATCTTGTGCCCAACAGAGAAGTCCAATGTTCTTGACAACATCACCGAGACCGTGACCATCCCTGGCGAGCTCGCCGCTGGCACGTACGTCGTCTCCGCCGGCGTCTACAGCCTGTACGGTGCCTCTTCCAGCACCACTCTCACCAACTACAACGTCACCATCACCGTCGGCGACGCTACCAGCGAGAACTACGTCGGCAGCCAGTAAATGCAGTACGACTTCATGAGCATCAGATAAAAATCACATGGCATATAAATGGCGTTGGGTCTGCTTCACTTGCATATGCACCACGACTTCCTTTCAACCTTTCAACTGTCCTCTCAGACGCAACCAACTGGGGTGGACACCCTTATCTATAGGACAAGATAGATGAATTCAATAATTGATAGTGTTTTCACTCGCATGCCCTCCATTCAATCCTGCTTAATGCAGGTCGCGCTCCAGACTCTGTGAAGGCCAGTCTTTGTACGAGGTCTTGTGCTGGAGAATGGTGGTTAGCCTTTGACGATTGTTGCCGGGAAACGTTCGAAATACTCAATTACTAGACTTCCGGTCTTCTCATTTAATTGAAAGGGGGACTAATAAGCCGAAAGAGGTAATGCGGGTTTGGATGACCTCATTCTGCGGCTGTGAGCTGTGCCGCAGGCTGGCGTGGTGAACGTGTATGATAGAGCCCCTGAATGTTTGCAAGCGTGGTATTGAAGACTTTTAGCACGTAAGCTACACCAAGCTTCGCAACAGAAAGTAGGTTTGGTCTTGTTAAGTTGATAAAGAATGCCGGATACTTGGTACGCTAGACTGGTTCTGGGGGTAGCAAACATCCAGGGGTTGTGATACTGGACCCAGGCCATGTCAAGGTGTATCTGACAGCCTGATTTCGAGAGGTCGCGCAGGCTTTGATCTCACCGGTCTTCGTCATGCCCAAGCCCTTCCCTCGACCTCTCCGACATCTCGACTTCATTCTGTGAAAGTCGTCTGCAAACTTCTTGATCGCCTGGTCTTCTGATTGTGACTTCTATTCTTCATTGAGAACCGACCTTCGTCTAAATAACCGTAACAACAGAGGGAAACGCGAACACGCCGAGCATGGCTGATGTCTTGGGAACAGTCCTTGGGGTGGTGTTCCTAGGGCTTCACTTCGGCGCCAGCATCAGCAATTATCTCGATGGAGTCCAGTGCCGCAAAGAAGACATGGAGTACACAACGAGATGTTGCAAGTCTATGAACTCTTTGTTGCAACAGATCAAGTCACTTCAGTATCAACTTACCGGCGTGAATATCACCGCTGTTAGAGAGGCGATGACGACAGCGGAGGTCGAACTTTCCATCCTCGGCAACTTTGTTGAGAAGATACGCGCCGGGAATAATGCCAACTCCCCTAATCCGGTCATGAAGAGGGCAAAGAAACAGAAAACGAAGCTTCTGTATCCTTTTCAGAAAGATCATCTCTATCGACTCAACGCGCAGTTGGATGCCGCCAACAGAGCTCTTCAGGCGGCCCTGCTACAGGTCCAGTTGTATGTGACACTTTGAGTGCCTACAGTTTGGCTCTGATCGGTTTCTAATCGTATGTATAGGAAGCTTTCCATCGCTCATGGTGAAGAGTTACAAGGGCTGAAAATTGGCCTCGACTCATTGTCACGGGGAGTTTCTCAAATGCATCTGGCTGTTCAGACGTCTGTCCAGAAGACATACTCAAACGGAATGATTTTGAATTCGACCTTGAACAACATCGAAAAGAAAACAGCGAATCTGCCTGTGGCCTCAAGTCAACAGGAGACGACGCTGGTCCTAGAAGATCTCAAAGAATTGAAAATGATGTTGACGTCCTTGATGTCTTCATGTTCCGATGGCAGGGCGGTCCTGCCACGATTGATCTCCAAACCAGCCGTTTTGAAGAACTTCTGCGATGTTGCAGAAGTTGACAGTGGAAATGCGGCGGCTGGTGCAGCAAACGATTCCGACCGTCCGTTCTCGCGAAGCCGTTCCTATCCTGGATTCCAATGCACCTGCAAGCCACGCCAAGTATGCAGACAGAGGAGACAACGGATTGGATTGGCGTTCTGGGAGCAAGAAAGCCTAATTGGCAACGTTCATGCTGTCCTGGTGCTCTTTCGCTAGCGTATGCACGACGTTGAATGATACATGGTCTATCGGTATCTCGACAAGTACCCTGAAAGCCATTCTTCCTGCCGCTATCACGTTCTCGATGTCCGCCACCTTCGGTGCGGGGGGCTTTGGCATATCGCCATCCTTTACATACTATCCCGTCCGCCAGAAAAGCCCGGCTCTGAATGTCATTCGCCTTTTGGAAGACGCATTCTTTCATCGGGAGTGGAGTGAAGAAGAGTGCAGTGGTCTGATTCAATGCGGCTTGAAGACACTGCAGGCTACGTTCATGGCCAAAACATCGTCTCCCCTTGAAATTGATAACTATGGTTGCAGTCTTCTGGGAGCCATGTCTCGCATAGCGGCCAATAGAACTTGGCAAGGGTATAGAAACAGGGTATTTGCGTTTTTGGTTGATGCTGGAGTTCCACGGGACCGACCAGACCAGCATGGATCGTGCGTTTCTTAGTGCCCTACCAGAAGCCAGAATGCTAATATTGATCTACTGATACCCGTTTCATTTGTACATCTACCTCTCATCTACACCTTTGGACACTCTTGCGCAGAACGTGGGCGCGCTCGATATCCTTTTGCCGGATGATAGCGTAACTCCGCTGATTCTACAAGATGCGAAAATGCCCCCTCAAAACTGCGACGCAGAAGCAATGCAAGCTTTCAGAAGGGCGTCTGCTATATCTTTGAAGATGAGGAAGGTAAGTATCCCGACTAAAGACCTGATTATTCGACAGGGCCTAATCAGTTGCAGCCTACGAAGGCCACCTCATGGGAGCCATCGTCCGGCAAAACAAAACGATGCTGCTCGACAGCCTCAAGAAAGATACCAACATGTCAGAGTTGTCCGAGATGGACCCATTCGGCCAGAAGATGCTGAATTATCTTGTGGGATGGCCTGAAGGCCTACAGATCATGGTCGAACACTATGGCCTTGCCAGCCTCCAGCTACTCGATCAAAGTCAGTCCACTTTACTTAGCAGCGCTCTCAGCTGGAGTGGGAAGATATGCATAGGCTACAGCCCGCAGGTCTGTTCGGATGACTGCCCATGCGCAAACGCCGTTGATCTACTCGTGAAAGCCGGAAAGGACTCTTCACTCCAATTCAATTTGCATGACAACTGGGTAAATGCAATGCTAGGCGCTTCGGTCAAGGCAAGAGACCTGATCATAGACGAGCTCAAAATTCGCAGGGAAGAGCTGAAACATCTGGGACTCATGCACTTAACCTGCGATCAAATCGATCGGATGGACCTCAAGAAAAAGACGGTTCTCGACTACTACACCAGGCAAGTCTTGGAAGCACTCGATGCGAAAGGCGTTAATGTTCATCCCCGTTGTCGAACGGACTTGCACGCCACAGAGTGGCACTTGGGGGTCACATCCAACGAGCCGAGTGACAAGATATGGCGCAAGGGTGCGTCTGTCTATCACATTCTGGGCTATGCAAAAATCAGCGGGTATTCCATTGGTGCCTGTGAACTAGCAGACTCCCTCTATGCCAAGGGATTCGGCGACATCGATCTCCCGGACATCAACGGTTTGCCCCTTTAGCCGTAAAGTACCCCTGTAACACCTTGTGGTGTTCTGATTGGAATTTGGAAGCGTCCATTGAATTTTGGTTCATGCAACGTGGTGCAAGCCTACAGAGACAAGTACCCAATTGCGTGACCAGATACTCTGCAGCACATCATGTGCTGAGATTAGTTGGGTCTTGTAGTAACTTTGCGAAGGACAACAGCTCCTTCCACTTGCTGCACCGCTTCTTGGAACGCTATGGCGTGTTGATGCCGACCTTTGATCCAAGAGACATCTGCAATTGTAGATGCTCCGTTGGCGGCTGCAGCTTTTGATTTCCCGCGGCACATCAAGCAAACATGGCTGCGGGCGTGCACCTTTGCCATGCTGCCCCTTCGGCATACCTGCTGTTGCGATGGCTTCCAAGAACACGACGATGAGGAAATTCTTGAAATCTTGGAAGAAGACGAAGGGGATCTTGAATCCTTCGAGGTTCTCATGGTTGAGCTTGATAGGAGATGGGAAGAGTTGGGCTGCTCTTTGACGGAGTTCTATCGGTTACATTGGATCGACAGAATGGATGAGGTGCTTCGTCAGATGGACGAGCGAATGCTGACAGCTGAAGAGATACAGAATGTAAAGAAACTTGGTATCGATCTGGCAGTCCGACCGGAGCCTTTCACGCGGGAAAAAGGTTCCTATGAGAACAAAGGCTCTGTGGAGTATTGGTGTCAGCGGATGGACGCGTTGGTTGCGTGAGGGCAACAATTGAATTGTACCATTCTATGAAAATTCAGGTATGTCCGATAATGGCCAGCAAAGAGAAGTAAAGTACGGTCGAATTGGGAATGAGGCAATCAATAGTGATATACCGACGGCCCTATCTATCGACGTGTCTTCCCACCCGTTCCCCTCTAATCAAGTCCCGTTATCCGCGTCCAAGTGAGAATTTCACAATATTCTCGAAATTGCCACGATGTATCGTGTACCAGTCATTGCGCGAGACACGTCAGTAGGACGGTACGGGGCTGTCTTGGCAGTCTCTCTGGGGAATGCTCTGTTGCAGGACGGTCATGGCAACACAAGGACCGAAGCTGCTATTCGGCCTCATCGAGCCAAACCTGTGACTTCGGCCGCCGCAATAGACCGAGGCCGGCACCCGGTCCCTCGGCCTCGGAGGTCGGATCACAAAAGATCAAGGCGCCGGCGCTGCCCACGGGTGTTGGACCGCACTAAGGGTTGGTGAGACAATGTCATCAAGCCACCGGGCGTCTTTGCTTACGGCACACGGCGCCAATAGATCAGCTTTCTTTCTCTGACCAATCCATTTCGCGCTTATCTCGCGGTTAACCAAAGTCCGTAATTTCTTACATCCGTCTGACTGCTTTGGGACTTTTGTTTTGTTTGCTGGACCGCCGGTCCTGAAGAAGTCCCATTCTCCCACCTCCTCTCCCTTTCTCCCGTCGCCGGCCACAAACACCGCATCATCGGATCGATCATTCGTCAAACCATCATCGACAGCGTCGCACAGCATCGGAGTAAAGATGTCCGACACAGAAAAGAAGGAGGAATTCGCGCGTCAAGCGCCGCCTGCCAGCGATGGCGAGGCGGAGGCCGTCAAGAGTCCTGCGAGCCCGGCAGGGTTCGATAAATCAGCGTTCCCAGAGGGCGGTGCCAAGGCTTGGCTGACTGTCTCTGGCGCCTCGGCATGCCTTTTTGTTTCCTTTGGATGGGTGAATTGCGTCGGCATTTTCCAAGATTATTACCAGGAAAATCAATTGCGCGACTACACGCCGTCAGATATCGCATGGATCCCTGCACTGCAAAGTAAGATCGGCCCAGCGCTTGTCTTCAATTATCATGTCTCGTCTCTTGTTATCTCCTTATTCTGTCATGAAAATGTTTCCGAAAAGTGCTAATCACTCTCATCATGGGCAGTCTTCTTCATGATCTTTAGCGGCCTGTTCGTCGGCAAAGTGATTGACGACTATGGACCGGCGCTTCCCCTTGCCATTGGCACGTTCTTCCACGTCTTCGGCTTGATGATGGTCAGCATCTCAAAAACGTATTACCAAATCTTGCTCAGCCAAGCTATCTGCTCTGCAATTGGCGCTTCCATGGTGTTCTATCCTGCGTTTACCTGTGTAAGTCAACACATCTCAAGGTCGTTCAAACCTTCCACGTGGGTGACACGCGGCTGACAGAATCATTTCATTCCATGCAGGTTACGACATGGTTCTTCAAGAAACGTGGCGCCGCCATTGGGCTCACGGTCTGCGGCTCGTCCCTCGGAGGCGTCATCTTTCCCATCATGCTGATTCATCTCATCCCGCAGATCGGCTTCGGCTGGTCTATGAGGGTCTGTGCCTTTCTCATTCTGGCTCTGCTGATCTGGGCCAACTTCACCGTTCGCTCACGCATCCCGCCAACCAAACGCCCGTTTCGCGTCATGGCTTTCTTTCAACCTTTCCGGGAACTGCCCTTCTCACTGCTTACTGCAGCAGTTTACTTCTTCTACTGTAAGCCTTCTCCGGAAGCGACGCATCATGGCTCTCAAGCTAACTCTATCAAGGGGGCATGTTCATTCCCATCACCTTCATCGTGGTAGAGGCTCGCGCAGGCGGCATGTCGGAGGGCTTGTCACAATACCTCGTCCCCATCCTGAACGGCGCCAGGTAAGAAACTCCCGCCGTTGTGCGGACTGTTATCCATCGTTGCTGACTCGTTACTCGCAGTATCATCGGACGCACAGTACCCAACGCCCTCGCTGACAAGGTTGGCCACTTCAACATGATGATCACAATGAGCTTCTTGACCATGATTCTGATCCTGGCCTTTTGGCTGCCTGCGACCGGAAACGCCGCAGACATCACCTTTGCGGCCCTGTTCGGAGTAGCATCCGGAGCCGGTATTGGCTTGACACCCGTGCTCGTCGCGCACATCTCGCCCATTCAGGATATAGGGGTCCGTACCGGTGCTGCGTATGCTGTTGCTTCTATTGCTGCTTTGACCGGCTCGCCAATTGGTGGCGCCATCATCAGCAGCAGTCGCGGATCGTTCCAAAACACCAAGATCTTTGGTGGAGTGTGCTGTGCTGTCGGTGTAGTATTATTTATCGCTGCCAGAGTAGCATTGGTAGGCTGGAAACCGCAGAAAGTTTAATATTCTATAGGAGAGTGTCTGAAGATGTATATGTGCTGAAAAAGACAGCATCAAGTAATAGCGGTCATGGTATGCTTGTAAAGTATGGTAAACGGCGGTTGCCAGAAAAAGCCTCACTACACATATATATCACACGCTATCATGACCCACCTCTTTCTAGAAATTGATAGCCATTTCTACAAAACTAAATTAGGTGACTGTACAGCCGATGTTCTAGATCAAAAAATGATTCATCTACGAATGCACAGAGCAGAGCCTTGGTTCGTGAGGTATCGCTGGATGACCTAGATCTTCTGATTCTGTCCACATCATTAGCATCACGCAAAGAACAAGCTGAGACGAGAGATCTTCTCTATCCAGGACTAATACAATTCATCAGTCTGCCAGGATTTGTTGTAAGTGACATAGCTCGCAGGTAGCCACTCAGGACTAATCAGGAGAGACATCAGCTACTTATCTGGCAGCCCAAGACCCATAGCACCCACGACCGCTCACACGCAGACACTTGGTATCCACTCCATGCATCATCCTGATGTGGCGCTTACCCCGTCGATCGATGCCCTCAGGAACGTTGAGCACGGTTGTGGATGACCGATCACGATAAGCATTCTCACCCGCAGATCGATGAGCCGTGGGACTCGTGGGTTCAAACCAACGCACAGGGTGCATGCACGTCACAGCTCCGCACATAAAGATAGAAACACGGCTTCAACCAAACTACAGGAACTGCTCGCGTGATCATAGCGTGCCAATGTCATTCGCGACAATTTCATGTGAAACCCCATATTTGAGGGTGCTCATCGTACTCGCATCTCAAGCTGGAGCGGCCGTTAACATCTGCAGTTGCGAATAAGAGATGTCGCGCAAACAAACTTTCTTTCAAATAATAGCTCAAGACCCTATGCCTTATCAGTCACTTTTCACTTTCTAGATCTCGGCAGGTTGCATGCTAACTGCTACCGGCGCCGGCCAGCCCAGTGATGGACGGCACTTGGACATGGTGTGGTCACTATTTTCGGAACTTTGACAGGGAGAAAAATGGAGCTCTGGCCCACTTCCCAGACACCAGGACTCCGGGTGAGCTTTGCCCACCTTTTGCCATGCGAGAAAAGTATGTATGGCGGCGGTAAAAGTAAGCTTCAACTTGAGACGAACGCCTCTTGAGTCGGGGCTGGAGATCTGCTTGACGCCAGTCGGGATGGGAGCTGAAGAACATCAATGGCGGTGGAGTGGTCGAAGCTCTGTGAGCTGTGTAGAAATGTTTAGCAGACACACCCACACCCCTTTTCGTTTACGAGAAAGGAGGCAAAGTCATGGGCCCCCAAATCTCCTCATACCGATAGAAACGCTCGAGCCCTTCCATTGTGTCGTCATGGTAGCACCGTGGTCTGGCCGCACCCATGTGGCGCAGGGTTACATTGACAAACTCCGCGTCATCCATTCATCTCCTTGACAGCGAGTTCAGAACAACGCTCGGACGTCGAAGGTTGGCGCTGCAAAAATCGCGACATTCACCGAGAAGGGTATGCCTGTGGCCCTTAATTCGCTTCGCTATTGATACGGCTGGAAACAATATGAATGTTTCTTCCCCTGGCTTCTGGGAGGACCGAGGTCTTCGCAAAGCAGTTGAGTGGAGTCAAAAAGGGTTCTCTCCAACAAGTCGGAAGACGGGCTGCTCCTCACCACCATGCAACTCGTTAAAGCCAAGGATGCATTGCTAACTCATGGCCGAAAGCGAATCGGCGATCTCACGGTCGCATCCAACAGACTTCGAAGTGTGCCGAAAGTAACAACTGCAACATCACGGCTTCCTTCCAATCGCAAATCATGCGCATGCTGGGTGTCCATCGTGCCTGTAACGGTGCCAGTGATAACTGGGCGCATATGCAGTCTTGGTATGGCTTTGACTCTGGCGGCACGATGCATCAACCATAACGGTCATTGACTTGGGAGAAAAACAAAAGCCACGCGCCTCGGCTATCGATGATCCTAGGATCCCTGTTGACGCAATATGGAGCTGATGTGGGCGTTGGAGGCCATTTCCGAGCAACTCCACTCCTGTGACAGCTTTAAGGGTCTCGAGCAGCTCCTCAAACGGCCAAAATAAAGACGGGCAAGCGAGTCAAACAGCATATCGTGACAAATTAGCGCAGCGAAGATGAGCTTCCAGCGTCGTCCCGGGTGGTGGGGGGTTCCCACGACAATCAGCAAATTCTTCATGCAAAACATCTAGATACCAGATTCCCAGGCCTCTGACGGATCCAAGTTCCGGAGACAAATGTCACCCTACTTTGCAAGCTCCTCCCGGCTGCACATCTGCCCGTCCGCGGTCCGAGCACAAGCTAGGAGGGATCTTCGACCGATGACCAGTGCCCTGTCGTCCCATCTTCAGCCACTCTCCCAACCAGTCACAGCAGCAAGACTATCACCACTGCCCTCACTCCAGCAGGAGAAAACAGGTTTCGATGGGTCCAACCCCTCTCTCTGTGGCGAGCATTCCCCTGCTCCCTGCCAAGTGCCGGCCGTGTACTAACAGACGAGCAACGCTCGAGCGTGCATGTCAAATGGAGATATCAAATCCTGGCCGCGGCTTGCTCCGATCTTTCAAGAAGACGACGGGCGCGCCGCTTTCCCTTTTCCCCTCGTTTCCCGGAAGAGCTCTTTTCTTTTTCCTCTGAAAAAAAAAATACTGCCACCACTCACATGGCCGCGGGGTGAGACAATCGCGCGCCAAACTCACCCAAGCAAGGTTTCGCTCTCATTGGTGAGCTGGACCCTCGAGCACTCTTTTTACACAATTGGTTTATACGCGGAATTGCTTTGTTGGGCCCGGCGCGAAAGGCTTTCTTTTTTTCATCTCAGCCATGGCGCCCGGGTACGATGTAGATGACGACGCTGCCCACCTTCTCGTCGCCGGGAACGGCAACGCGGCGAAGTCTATTCCCACCGGGACCGTCGACGACGAGTTGTTCGCGAAGGTCTTACCACGGGTAGACAACGGGGCCATTCACGCAGCACGGCTTGCGTTTGGTAACGAATCCGAAGATGAGAGCGAGGACGAGGCCCGTCGAAGACCCCAGCGAGGCCGTTCTCTGTCCGAGTCTAGCATCATGGTGGGAGCTGTCGGAAGCCACTCCGAAAGGGATACGGACATAACAGTGGAAGAGCCAGGTGGAAGGGAAGCTTCCCGCCCGGGGCGAGACAGCATGGAGTTTAACCCTCCCGCCCGTCCTTTGTCTCGGGGCGACCTCATGCCCCCCGATTTCTCCCATTCAAGGCCCGATAGGGATATCGTCGCCGTTCCTGCTCGAGGCTCGTCTCGCCCCGATCGAGGCAGCATTGACAGCAGCGGTCGGATCGCGTCTCGTCGAGATTATAACATTCCTCAACGGCCCCCTCGCGCTGAAGACATCGAGGCCGCAAGAAGAATTCTGGCGCAGGCTGGAGAGGGCGACTATTACTCATCTAAATCTCCCCGAGGGGCGGCTCACTCCTCACCGCGAGCTGCTCGCTCAGCAACACCTCCGCCCATCGGCCGACCTCATAGGAGAATCATCTACGACGAATCTGACGAGGAGGACGACGAAGACTTCAGCGACCGCAACTATCACGACGAAATTCGGGACGAGGTGCGCGATGCTGTAGTGGCAACTCCAGTTACTGCCATCCACTTGCCGATAGAAGACAAGTCTCGAGATTCATCCAGACCACCGGCATCGCACCACCGGCACAGCCGCAGCAGCAGACCCGTAACCTCGAGGCAGTCGTCTCGTCAATCTTCCCAGCCTCCACCCGTTTCGCGCGCCGGCGCATCACTCGCGGCGCACAAACGGGAGCTGCGGACACCTGTTCTCGATCAGCATCGCTTGTACCAGGATGCGGAGCCACCGCCAATCAGCCAGAGACGTCCCGATCCCCCACGCTCACGCCGCACGATATACAAAGTGTACAACATGGACGACGATCAGGATCAAGACTACAGCGTAAAGAATGGGCTGGCGGCGAGGCTCACGCCGGACTACAGACCAGGGACGGGTGATAGGCGGGCCATGAGCGACGATTCAATCTCCATTTCGCGGCAATCCACATCCAAGCATAGCGTCACTAGCAATGGCTCCGGATCGAACCGCACCGTTGATTTCTTTGGCCCTGGAATCTTCCAGGTTGTTTTACACAACCCTACAACTTCCCACCAACTGCTAAAGTTCGCCGAAGCTCGATTCTGCAGCGAAAGTGTCGAATTTCTGAAAAAGGTAAGCAACTTTCGTATCTTGAGCCGTGGCTTGGACGCGATCACTGACGTCATTGAATCTGCAGGTTGAGCAGTACCATACGACCCTGAATGATCTCGCGGGCATCATGACATCAATTCACAAGGATTACCTCTCCGAGAGCTCGTCGAAGCAGATCAATGTCAACGGCGAAATGAGGAAGCAGGTCCACGTCGAGATGAAGTCACTTATGACCAAGACGCTCCCGTCGATGGAATCTTTATTCTCTGATCTTCAGGAGAGCGTCGAGCAAGATGTTTTCTTGGACATTTATCCCCGTTTCGTGCGCTATCAAATGGCGCTCAACGCGACAAGGGCTTTGGCTACAAACCGACACACATATCAGGGACTCGGCGACTGCTTCTGTTTGACAAACCCATCGTAAGTTTACTCTGCAGTAGCAGTCAGATTTACGAAGCTAACGTTGCGCGTGAACAGAGTTGCAGACAACCCGATCGTATTTGCCTCGGACGGCTTTGTCAAGGTCACAGGATACACGCGCCCCGAAATCATCCCGCGAAACTGTAGATTTCTGCAAGGAGCACACACAGATCGGGTGCCAATTCGTCGACTGAAAAATGCCATCGATGAGCGGAAGGAGTCTGTCGAGCTCATTTTAAACTACAAGAAGAATGGCGATCCTTTCTGGAATTTGCTCTATGTCGGTAAGTGTTCTCTTGAGCTCATTCTACCAGGCGGCGATAGTAAAGAATCTCGCGAACGCTCTGAAATTTCTATTAGAGGCTAACATTTAATCTGCAGCTCCTCTATACAATGAGGCAGGCAAGCTAGCCTTCTTCATTGGTGGCCAGATCAACTGCTCCACAACCATACACAGTAACGTGGACGTCATGAGAGTACTTTCAACCTCGACCAATGACGATACCCAAGACGAAACTAAAGCGAACGTACCGCCCATTCACCGAGCCAGCTCTATGCCTTCTGCGCGGAAAGCATTCCTCAAAGCGCTGGGAGTACGTGTGGACAGTAATAACGGGCCGACTACGGTCACTGCCGAAGCAGGAATGGAAAACAAGCTCCTGCACCGTATGGAAGGTCAAAGTCTGAATGCGCAGATGAAGGAGTTTTACACTGCGTACTCAAAGGTGAGATATATTGATTCTACTTAACAATCATCACAACTGACGTTCGTAAACTAGTACTTGGTTTTGAGCTACGATTCCTTCATCATCAGGTTCTACTCTGAGGGCGTGATGGAGATGCTTCACCCCGCCAACAACACCATCGGCCTAGTTACCGGCCAGGAAATCTTCCGCTTCTTCAAGCAAAACATGGTAAACCACCAATCCGACTACAAGGCCCGAGTCCGCAGCGCTATCCGCTCTGGGTCACCAATCTCGATGGAGATCCGGCTGCAGACTCGGCGCAGTGCTCTCTTTCGGGGAGATGAAAAGTTTATGACGCACTGGACACCGCTGAAGGATGACAAGTCTGCCGTGCATTACGTCGTTCTTACGATGGCGCCGGCGATCCAGTGAAAAGCTCTCACTCAGCATTAAGGGGGAGGATCGTAAATCTCGACTGCTTCATTCCTTTTGTATTTGACATGCAAAATACCCTTCTTCCGGAGTTATATGTGAGGCAAATTCTGCTTTCGCATTGCTTTCTGGAGATCCGTAGCAATTTATTATTAGCATGTCTTCTGGACGACTCACCTTATTGAACTGTCAGGTGTGAGTGAGCTCCATGATTGCATCTGCGTTCTCTCCCCTTGCACCAAGCTCGGGAGGGCTTGTCCAGGCACTCATGTATCGAAGTTCATTCAAAGTTGATCGGCGAACTATCCGGGGCAAAGCCCCATAGGGGCTTGCGGAGGTAGAATCAAAAGCCTGCGCCCAATATCTGAAACGGGGCTTCGTATTGACAGGTGCCAAAGCTGCGTACCGCCCATGGTCTAAGACGTCTGCCCATGGCAATCTCGACCCGAGACGGCACGGTTCACAGAGTAGACGAACGACAACTTCTCCCAATGATTTCGCAGCTGGCTTGAGTCATGATTCTCGGCACAACCTTTCTGCTTTTGTCCACAGTCGGCAACTTTCCTGAACTCTGATTGAGTCCCAGCTTGCCGGATTGCAATACTAATCAGCTCGGCACATTCCAGAGTAATTCTCCGTCTGATCTGACGAGTCGAGTCCAATCTATGCGAAATCTGGCGCCAAAGTATGCACCATCCAGAGAGGCTTTGCGCGCGAACCTTACCTGATGAGACGATCTCAGCCCTGAATTGGGGACTGGAAGAGTCTAATAAGCTTCATAGAACGGGACGAACCAAGCTTCTTTTGGAAATGAAGCTTACTTTTACGAAATTGAGGAATATTCACGATGCGAGGCCGCAGGAGCAACTTCGAGTATAAAGTGCCCTCAAGTAGCAGCTGTGCATTCTGCTCCCCTACTCACCCATCGGTCTCTACCTTCAGTCTTTCATCCGAACTACGTTTATTCCTCTCGTTTCTTGTGAGTGTGCGCCGATGCCATATGACAACTAAGCAGTGGTCTATGTGTATTAACATGCTCTTGTAACGTATAGGTCTTCCCAAGTCAAATCCGTTTCAAAATTCACGACCATAAAATGCAGCTCTCGCTTTCGCTCTCGTTCTTGGCAGTCCTCGGCATGGCCTCCGCAGCCGCCGAGTGCGAGCGCAACGGCTTCTACAACGGCCCTTTCGCGAACAACAAAAACCTCAACGCCCCCAACGATGTCGGTGCCACCACCCCGTTCGTGTGGAACGGCAACACGATCATGGTCAAGATGCAGGCCAAGAGAGACTCGTGCGATCCCGAGGGTGACTGCGACGACGACATCACGTACAACTTCAAGAACCAGGGCAAGGTCCGGATTAGAGCCAGGATAGAAGAGTCGAAGAACGATCACTTGGAGATCATCCTGCCCCCTGGAGCTGATTGTGACGTTGGCCGGTACTTCAATCGTTATGATGCGCCGTATCAGGTCTCTTTTGCTCAATGATCTGAAGATGTCGCGTCGAGCCTGAAGTAGTTTATGCCCTTGTATTTATTGGATAGGTTCTGTACAAAAGAAAACCCAGTTCATCAGTATCCATTCTATGACTTCACATGAGTAGAAATATGGTGGTATCGCGAGTTCATGAAGCCGATGATCATATCAGACCTAAGTCCTTACCAAGTCGCTACAAAGACGCCGAAGTGAGTTTCATCAGCGTCACAAGTACGGGCACTGTGTTCGGTTGTACGCAACGTGTCAGACAAAACCTTATTCGCTGGCCATGGTTCCAAAATAGCCGTATCCGTACGCCCTACAATTCATATTCTCAGGCTGTATTGGCTGTGTTGAACAACGTCGCTTACAGCCATCATGCGCACCTATAAATACGTAGGCAGTCGCTGGTTGTTTCTGCCTCTTTCTGTACTATTAGTATCATAAATCATTCAACACATTTGACCATGAAGTTCTCGATTGTCCCGGTTTCCCTGTCCCTCCTCCTCTTCGGGACAGTCGCATTGGGGCAGGGTAGTGTGGGTGGTAAGTAATTGGTTCCTAAAACGTATGGAATCTAATGTTAACGTCCTTCCGAAGGCCTTTGTGCGAAAGACTCAGATTGTCTGGCATGTTTAAATGACGGAACTGGAAGGCGTCTCTTTTGTCCAGGATGTATGCACCTTCAGCCGTATACCCCCCTCTCGAAGTCAGTGGGCTAATGTATGACAGCTGGAAATGGTGAGAGACGCTGCGCCATCAACGAGAAGGCTGGTAGATGTGGGCCTCAGGAATAAGTTTAGTTTGCGCAATTCTCCAAATGAGCGATATGATGTTCATATTATTGTCGATAGGACATGAACTTTGGGCACTTTAAGTGGAACAAGCAAGCATATAATTTCCTCTTTGATGAGGTCTAGACCAATCCCTCATCGGACATTGCGAGTGAGCGCGGAATCGAATCTCAGTGACTGTAAGCAAACCTACAGTGAATGGGCGTGACTCATCGTCTACTCAGAGGTAGAAGCCCAGTACTGCCCACAAAATCCGCTGTTCTCCCGCAAGCTTACATCAAAATCAAAATGACAGACATGTTTGCCATGGTTATTGCCTAGTCTGCTGTCATCGGATTCAAGCTCATGAACGCCTCCTGTGCATTTTCCGATATTCCGTCCCGACTGAGAGTGGGCCAGTCTAACGCAGGGGTGACGCTGATGGCCAATCGATGATTCACAGGGAGCAATTCCCGCTGACGCTAAACTCAATCAGTGAGGAACCAATTATTTATAGGTATCAAGGTGCGCTGAAACTTTGAGTTTTAGCTGGACACACCGCAATTTGACCCGCTGACTCACCTTCGTTCACAACCGTGTATCACATCTCAACGTCTTCTCACTTGCCTGTTGTAGTACATTGCGCCTTAAGGAACATTAATAGGGAACGCTGAGACTAGATTCATTATGGGAGAGTCAATTGCGAACGGATTGCCCTCCGGCAAGCCGGTGCTATTCTTGTAAGCTGACAGATGCACCTTCATCCGGCATACGACCTCATCTAAAATCGTGTACTGTACTGATGAAACTTCAGTGATATCGATAACTGTCTTTACTCCCGCAGTAAGTGACGAGTTCATCTCCGAGCACATAAAACTGACTTAGCCATTCGTAGGTCACAAGATCCACACAATGATGGCCAAGCTCATCGACCAATACTTCATCACACACCTCTCATTGCCAGCTGAAGAAGCCACGAGACTGACACATGAGTACTACACCGTTTACGGCTTGGCTATCGAGGGCCTCGTGCGACACCACCAGATTGACCCCATGGACTTCAATGCCAAAGTAGACGACGCCCTTCCGCTGGAGAACATTCTCAAGCCAGACGCCGAGCTCAGGCAACTCTTAGAGGATATCGATAGAGACAAGGTTAGACTGTGGCTCTTTACGAACGCATACGTCAACCACGGAAAGCGCGTTGTGAAGCTACTAGGGATCGAGGATCAGTTTGAAGGGCTTACGTACTGCGACTACGGCCAAGTACCCTTCATTTGCAAACCTGCAAAGGCCATGTTCCACAAGGCTATGAAGGAAGCCGGAATCGACAGACCGGAGGACTGTTACTTTGTTGGTGAGTTGAACCTACTTCCCCAAGCCATGATACCCTCGAATTTCACCATGCTTACAGCGCTACATAGATGACTCATACGCCAACTGCAAGAGTGCAGAAGAGCTTGGTTGGACTGCAGCGCATCTGGTAGAAGAGGATCTGCCAGTTCCTGAGACGAAAGCGTCGACTCATCAGATTCGTCACTTGCGAGAGTTGAGGGATGCCTACCCGCAGTTCTTCAAGTCCACTGGATCAAAGACCGCCGCCGGTGCTTAATTTAGAGCAGGTTCCCACTTGGCATTCATTTCCTAGCCCGATAGACCTACACACAACGCCTCGTAGAGTTAGTGAACATCATACAAATGGTATTAACCGAACCTCATTTCCTCTTGAGGAGGAATTCTATCGCCAGCCTGCTGAATCTCACAGTCACAGCTGCAATGCTTAGAAGTTAGCGAATAAATTTTCTTTCGCATATTATTCTAACGTGTAGCTGCCTCAATTCAGAGGTATGAAACACAAGGCTGAGACTATCTGCTGAGGTCGACGTTTGAAAGCGCTGAGGTTGGCTAACTGGCTCTATCACTGCCTCCCTCAACGCAATCGCCGGAAGCAAATGAGCCAATCGGAAACATCATTTTGATTCCGACAACTTTCAAATTTGTCGAGTTTCATTGGCCCAAGCTCTTTTCTTTGTTGTATTCGCTTTGTGAAAAAGGAATGGTTGGAAAGGGGCGGGCTCCACAGTCATGACTCTCTCACCCTGACTCTCATTGCCAACGCTCTCTCGGTCGTGGCAATGCCGTCTGGCTTCCTTTGCTGAAAGGCTCGGTGAAGAGAGCTGAAGAAGGAGCTGACAAGCTTCTAGACCGAAAACAAACGGCATGGCGTCACGCATTCCGTTGGTTAGGTCAGCTGCAGCGACCAACCACGTCAAAGACAGTCAGCCCCCGCGTTGAGACATCTAAACTTTTCCTATCCCCCTCACCTCGACCTCCACCGCCCGACGGTTGACATGGCACATCCACCTACTTAATTGCACCTTATCCTGCGGAGGTCTCCACCCCGCAACCACCCGATAACATCTCGCGACAGGCGACGTCAGGTCAAGCTTGCGTGGCGGCGAAATATCGATGAACGCTGAGCTCCCCGTTCGAGTCGTCCCAGAGTCCTGCCCCTGAGTCTGACCGCCCTGTAAACTGAAGGGCGCCGATCAGCAAATGAAGAAAGGCCCCCGTTGGCCGAAAGTAGTGAGCTGCCGCTGCCATTCTCACCGGTCTTCCTCGGACGGCGAGCGACTCGCACGCGAGTTTTCCGGATAAGCTTACAGTGCTTGCTTTTCGCGTGTGTGTCAGTGTGCAAAAGATTCCCTCTCCCAAGACCAGCCATGTCCCAGAAGCCGACAAGCTTCGCTTGCGACCGGTGCAGGGCGGGGAAGCGAAAAGTAGGTCACCCCATCGGTCGCCTTCCAGACCAATCTGCCTAAATATGCTCTGTTTCCCCTTTCCCTATACCCCATGGGGCGAGGTCCCTTGTTAGTTTCGCGAACTTCCGTGACTAACTACATACCGTCGGCAGTGCGATGCAGCCCGTCCTGCATGTTCGCTATGCAGCAGGCAGAATAGGGAATGTGTTTACACAGAACAGAGACCCAGGAAGTACGTTGCCATCTGTGCTGCAGTCAGACGGCACAGAAGACCCAGTATGCCGTCACACTGACACAGCCTTCACAGACGAAAGTACTGGGACGAGGATTATGTCAGAGCCCTCGAGGCCCAAGTACAGTCCCTCTTGCTGGCTCTGGAAAAGCAACAAGACGGCTCAGAGAAGGAGACATCACCACCAGTATCACTGAGTGAACAAATACTACCCGAGTCCGATGCCCTCCATGAAGGTCTCGATGATGCCGAGGCAGCTGAGCTAGCTGAAGCTGTCCCCACCAAGGGCCCTACAGTAGAGTTCCGGGGTGACTTGAATGACACCCCATCGACAGGCAAGGATGCCCAAAGTCAAGAGAGATCTCAACGGGCCATGGAGGAGCTGTGTGTGATGCTGTGGAGGACGAATGTTGGCGATGGCGTGACCATCATCAACGACCCCACCACTGGATCCAAGTACGCCCTCGAGGCAGCTCAAGAAGCCCCTCCATCGGCACAGTTCGTGCCGCCAGAAAATGTTCTCGCGTATTGTCGACAACCAGGTCTCATACACGAGATGGCCGACACTTTCTTACAGAACATCAACAAAGAGCATCAGTTCACCCAGTATACGAACATCGACTTCCTCCAGAGGTACCCTTACCAGGCCCCCGACGAAGCATTCTTACACAGCGCCATCATCGCCACAGGGACAACCTTCTCACTCAGGCCAGATGCCATGAAGATAGGCGACACCTTCGGCCAGTTTGCCGAAAGCCTCGCCTTCACCTGCTGTCGATTAGCCCCCACGGTCAAGGTTATCCAGGGTCTCTCTATGATGTCCTGGAGATCTCTCGCTCTAGGCAGAGATCACTTTGGGTGGATCTTCATCTCGATGGCTGCAGGTATGTGCGTGCATCTGAGGTTGCATGTCATGGCTCTTGATGAATGCGAGGCAAGACAGCTTGAGGCAAGCGAACAGGATATCCGGACATTCTGGATGTTTTACATCATCGACCGCACAGCTATATCTATCCTTGGTCGCAACTGTGCTCTGCCCTGGCGGAGGGTAAATGTGCCTGACTTTGATACAACCTTTGAGAGCTCTACGGCGGATCTAGCTCAAGTATCCTTTGCATGGCAGTGCAAGCTATGGTATCTCCATGACCAGTATATGGACCAGGTGTAAGTCGGCTCATTCTCAATCAAGGGAAACAGAACTTGCCTAACTGTCGTCGCTTAGTTTCTCAACTACGTTCGAGTCACTTCCAATACCTCAACAAGTCCGCATCTTAGTCGCAAGCCAAGATGCCCTCAACGCCTTCTTCCGGTCCCGTGACAACAGACTTCACCTGACCGGCGATTCAACACCAAAGCCGGTCATCTTGTTCCACCTGGCATACCAGATGACGATTCTCATCACCATGCCTCCTTTCCTGCGCATATTCGCCACCATCTCCCAGGCTTCATCCTCGTCGTCGACAGCCACCGGTGGACAGAACTCAGAGTTCATGCTTCTCGTCCTGCGGTCTCTCACCGGAGCCGCCACCGCGACTTCACGGCTCGTCAGGACCTACCGCCGCGCTCACGGGTTCGAGACACCACCAAACCCAGTCATCATCCACCATCTCCTCAGCGCAGCTATCGTCCACCTCATGAATGCCACAAGCTGGACCCCGGCCCTCCGCCACCAAAGCACGTACTGGCTCCGCCAATGCCTCGAGCTACTGCGGGAACTGCAAATCGCCTGGCCTGTTCGTGCGGTAAAGAGCATCACGGTGATACGCGTTCTCGCACAACGTTGGGGCGTCATGAGAGCTCTGCCGATTGAGTTCAGCTACCAGATTGAGCCGACCGCTCCGGGAGCTGATCGGGATTATAGCGCTGCACCTACGCTGGATAGGTCGACCAGCGACTCTAGCACCGCTGCTGCCAATCAAGTCGGTCTCGAGTATGAATGGGACAAGTATGGGGCCGCACCTTCAGAGGCACCAGTAGACTTTGGAACACTAGACATGAATTCATTCGCTTCTTTGGGGACGCTGGACGTGTCTGGGCTTGGCGTGGACCGCAATAATCCGGTTGGCTCTGTTGACATCTTCCAGGCTTTCCAAGGGCTAGCGAATTGCGAGGACTTCAATTGGCTTTCGGGGAACTCAATGTAAGACTAGGAAAGAAAAGTGCGTATAGACCGAGCGAACGATTATGATCACCGATACAGAGAAATTGAAACGCAAATATTAGCGCAAACATCTAGCCTCTCCCCCTGACAGCTTTGAAATTTGATCCACTGAATGCGAAATGGTGGTATTAATTACGTGCCGAACTCATCATACATGCCCATTGACAAACATTCCCGCTGAAGCAATTACAACACCACCACAGACTCTTCCGATTTTGAATCCTTGTCAGCATCGCTGTGCAGCCTAAGTACGACCTTGATCTCTTTGTCAACAGACAGTCTCAAAAGGTCAGGTCTGCTGTAGTGACCCGTGCAGTCTGCAAACATCTTTGTCCTGTGGATCATGTCCATGTCCAAATCGGCGTACAGAATCGTCTCCGTAGTGTCATCGACGGGCTCCGTGAGCCTACGGCCGTCAGGTCCAAAAATGGCCGACGTGCCGCCTCCCGGGCTGTTCATAATGGCACCCTGGGCGCTGCCATGTGCCGCAACACCCTTCTCGGTAATCAGAGCAGTGCTGTGGAGCACGAAGGCATTTGACTCAATCGCATACGTGCGCGAGAGCGTTTGGCATCCTACTCGGGTTGTTAGTTAGTGCCAATAATTCGGAACCACTAGCTAATTACGTGGCTAGTCATTGGTGGGATCGTCACAAACCTTCAGCGCTCATGGACCACATATCGGGGCCACCTCCATGCGGGGTAACGCTCGGCCACGCTGCGACGTGGATCTCCTCCTTTTGGGCGATAGTGTTGTACTTGAGCAGCGGCTGGATGTGCTCCCAGCAGGCCAGGGAGCCAACTCGCGCGAACGGGAGCTCGCCGACGCTCTTCAGGCAGTGACCGGACGCATCGCCGAAGATGGTGCGCTCCATGTGCGTGGGCTTCATCTTGCGGCGGTGGACCTTGATCTCGCCGTCCTGGCCAATGAGGGCCTGTGCGATGAAGAGGGAGTTGTTGTCGTTCTCAGAGAAGCCGAGAGACACGGCAATGTTGTTCGCCTTGGCGCAGGCCTGGATGGTGCCCATTTCTGGGGAGTCGACAGCGAGAGAGTTCTTGATGTACTTGACGTTGAGGTCGAAGTCGATGAGACGCGACCAAATCCAGCAGGGGTAGCCGGGAATCCAGCACTCCGGGAAGGCGATGAGCTGGGCGCCGTTGGAGGCGGCTTCAGTGATGAGCTTGCATGTCTTCTCGACGGCAGCGGGGAGGTCGACCCAAGCGGGCTCGGCCTGGGTGCAGGCGACCTTTACAGTGCGGACAGTCATGTTGATTCGGGATCTGAGAAGTGAAGGAGGGAATGTTTGAAGAATTCAGCTGAAAATCTGGGGTATTTTGAATTCGACCAAGCATGGAACTCTCTTTGGTTCCACGACCTTGGAACGGATGACGGGCATGTTTTATATCAACATGGACGAGTCCTTGGCTGACTACATGCAGTAGCTAATAGCATGGATCTAATCCCGAGTAGGTTGGCCAGAGATAGCTGTCCGTAATTACTGGCCCATGTTCTGTTGGCTCTGCTTTAGAGATAATGGAGGATGGCGGACAAGCGGCCTCAGCTCTCTGCCGGTTCCCTGCCCGATGGACACCTGACTGCATTAACCCGATGGTTCACGGGTGTTATCTGCAACTAACTAACGGTCTCCACCGAGTTATCGCGGGGAACGGTGACCCCGCGTCAAGCAACCGGATGCGGGCCGCAGACGTCCGCATCGATATTACGTCGTGCGGCCCCGCAACTCGGGCGGAGTCTTAACCGCCGCAACTTGAGATGGCAGATAGCAGGGGTCAATCCTACGGCTTATCAGGCCTCCCAGCTGAAGGCGAGGCGGTTGTACGAGGGAGAAACAGTCAAACCTAGAGTCTTATCATGGTTTCGCATCCTTCAATGGACACGGGGGAAATGTCGGTCTTATCAACTTCTTCGAGGGCCCAGCAGCCAAGACCAACAGGATTTCTTTGTCATTTATCTAACTCCACAGGACCCTGATCAACCGAATCCTTTGCTGAAGAATCAGTCCACCACTCGGCTCAATAAGCGCCTCCTTCCCAGGGTCGGTCGAAACGAGTCCCCTGAGACCCTTCAGATTTCAGCTCCAGCCAATCGAGGTATCCCACCCACTTCTTTTCGGTAATCTCACGCAAGTCGAACCCCTCCTGGCCAGCATCGACAGAGTAGCCATTGACGCTTAGGTAACTCCCAAACTTTTTGCCCTCTTTCCAACTGTCTTTCGAAGGTCTCCAAACCTTTGTAAGCTTCTTGCCGTCGACGTTATAACCCTGGGTTTCACCGTCGGACTTGACGCCGAGAGCCTCCAAATCGACCTCTGTAACCTCGCCTTGTCCCATGAGAATGAAGCATCGCATCCCGCACGTCTTGCAGAAGAGAAAGTGCAAGTCTTTCTGGTAGACTGTGTAGTCACCAAGATCCTTGTATGGGTCCAAAGGATGCAGCAGGATGAAATCCTCTGGGGCCGAGTTGAGGCGCATATGGAAGAAGCCTGCCTTCTGACAAGTGGTGCAGTTGCATCGGTAGAATTCCTGATGGGCTCGTGGCCCTTTTTCTTTGGTTGGGCGAGGTGGAGGCAGAGTATGAGGGAAGGTAAGGAATACGATGTACTGGGTCTCCCCGCAGTGGCATGAACCCTTGAAAGGACGTCGTGTGGGTTCAAGTTCAGTCATGGTGGATCGAGTAAATGTTGAGCTTGATGCCGAGTCCTTTTGGGATCTTTCTTTTCTGTTGATGCCAAGTAAGAGAGGGCCTTTAAGCACCATTAAAGTCAATAAACGTGTCAGATGCGGGGAAGCTTTACGCGCCCTTGTGTGACATCCAAGCGTGCGTTTAGCCCAATCAACGCTGGTGTTAAGAGACCCTGCAAGTATCGGTGGCACAGATTGCGTTATCAACTCCACAGCAGATGCAGCTCCTGTCAGCTTCACGATCTCAACAACATCTAGGCCTTTTTTGGTTAAATGATGTGCAATATTGACGGTCCTGTCTGAAAACACGACCTGGATTCCTGAGCAGCGATTAGTGCACGGTCAACGGTGGAAAATAAGGTCAATCCCTCATTGAATCGCTCTGAAGTCTGTATCAAGGACTATCTGTCTACTGGTTGGCTTTCAATGAAGCCACCAAGAGGTATCCACCCAAAGCACATCTCACCATCAACCCGCTACTTATCGCGAATCAACCCATTGTTTAGCTTTCAGTTGTGTATTTGAAGCTTGTCACTGAGGCTAGAGCCACAGAGTTTCGATCCCTTTACCACGGCAACGGCCCTTGCCTATTCGAAAACGTTCCCGTGACGCCATCAGGTCCTAATGTCGCAAGTTCAACAGCCCGAATAGACCCAAGTGACGCCTCGTCTGGGCCGGAGTAATCGGTCATGCTAGTAGCACAGTAGCCGGGGCAACATGTATTGAACTTCCATGAGTCGTCGCCGTGGTGTCGAGAGGCAAATGTCAAGGTCGCGTGGTTCAAAGCTGCCTTGCTGGCCCCATACTCAAGGTAGTCGCGCTTGGGTCCCAGGCTTGGATCCGATCGAACCGCGAGGCTTCCGAGCCCCGAGCTGATGAACACGACACGTCGAGTCTTTGAAGACTTCTCCAAGAGCGGTATGAAAGCGTCTGTAACCTCGACTGCTCCAAAGAGATTTGTGTCAAAGACCTCTCGAAGTCGTTGCCGGAGGTTGCCTTCGGCCTTGCCGCGATTGATTCCAGCGTTATTGACGATAACGTCGATGTACCCGAATTTGTTCTGCACTTGCTCTACAGCAGCTGTTATGCTCTCGTCCGAAGTGACATCGAGGACCAATGGCTCAACATCCAAGCCGGCCGATTGAAGCTCTGAGGCAGACTTCTCGATGGCGTCTTTTCGTCGGCCGGTCATGTAGACGTGATAGTCTGGATTTTCCGAGGCCAATCGCTTGACGATCTCATAGCCGATGCCTTGATTTGCCCCTGTGACGAGGGCGATGGTCTTGTTTGTGGTCCCGTTAGACATTTCGGCAAATAGTATTGACACCAATTTGTGTAAGTGCAGGACGGAGTGTGTCGATGTGATTAGTAGAGCACAATTGAACGACGCGTCCAGTTCTTATGCTAAGCAGCTGGTGCACTGCAAGCTTTGGTCTGGAAACATCAGATGAGTCCCTTTCGTAGCTCTAACGCGTCGCGAGGTATCCGATTCGGCACCGTATCTCAGTCCGAGGCGACAAGCTCCAGATCAGATCCGTATTCGCGGCCATGCTAGGCTATTATTAAAGCTTGCATGGAGAATGTCGAAGCTTCAATGAGCTTGCATCCTTGTCGCAACAACGCAGGTGCGGCTTTTCGTCTCATGTTTGCTCGGCCCGTGTACGGACACCGGAGGTGCGGAAAACGTTGATCGCCCGTTGAAACTATGTCCACGTGCTCCAGTGATTCGGTCTCGCAATGGACCTAAGATCGAGCGGATGGCCGATATCTCCTGTCGCTGCTGTGACAAGCCACGTTTGTTAACATGGCTTCAGCAAACCGCAGTTTACATCGATGATTATTAATGCCCTATGAAGGTGTGGTACACTCGAATGCGGAATGTAAAACGACACTGGGAGGTCCTGCAGAGAACACGCCTTAAGAAATCAATACAAATGAGGTTCACAGGGTTTCGGGATCTCATCAGCGCAGACTTATCTGCAATTGAGCGCCAACCACTGGCGCTTGCAAAAATGAACATTGATAATCCATCAGAGATCAAGCTCAAATTTTCAAAAGTAATGGGCCCTAACCAGGGATCGAACCTGGGACCTCTCCCAGATGCGAACTGTAGAAGACAACCCTAAGGGAGAATCATACCGCTAGACCATCAGGGCTGATTAGGCGAAGAATCGCCGATTGTTGGATGTGGGCCGGGCAGCACAGGATCATCAAGCCAACCCGCATTGCACCCGGAGTGTTTTCGTAAAGTGGGAGCACGAGCTGGGCTCCTTGAAGGAAATTGAATGTTGCGCATAGTCGTTCTGTAAGCAATATGGAAATTGGATTCGAGATCAACGGAGTGGGACTTAGTGTTAATTACATGCAGATACTCAGTTCTATATACAAATGAGGTGCTAATGTGCCGGGTCGCGATGAACCATCAGCTCCAGTCTATTTGATATAATCCTTGCCCAGCGCCCACTTCGACTTGTCATAACTCTTGGGCCAAACACCACTCTTGCCTGGTGCCAGGATACCGTTGGGATCCAACGCGTCCTTGATGGTCTGGTTCAGTTTGCCCAGCGCATGGTCGTTGAAGTCGTAGGTGTCCGCGATCTGATCCATCAGGGCAACGTGAGTTCGGAACTCGCCCCAGCCGTTATCCGCACAGTCCTGGATCATGGTCCGGACGAGCCACTGCGCACGGCGACGCGCGTCGGGATCCTCCCGGTTGTAGACGATGCATACAATGTTGTCTGTGCGGCCACGTGTGAGCAGTCACCATTTCAATGCCGGCTCGAGCCGGGGAACTCATTGGAGAAACTTACGCATCTCTCGCATTCCGATGCTAAGGATACCGAAGTAGTCCATCTTGGCCTCGGCGAAGCGCTTCTTGGCCATCTCGTATTGCTTCTGCGCCGACTTGCCATCGACCTTGGAGATCGGGGAAAAGGATAAGAAGGTGCAGTTGGGAATCCAGCTACGCTCGCTGTCAGATAGGACGTCTCATGGGTTGTGGTTACAACTTACTGGTTCAACCACCTCAACTCATCCCACGTTGGGATACCCTGCATGGTGTCTGAACGACAGTGAAGAGTACTGAACTCTTCCTTGCGATCCTCAAGCAAGAACCATCGGCTGCCCGGCACCTTGGTCATCTCCCTCTTTGTGATCTCAAGATGTGCTTTGCGGATGGGCTCGGGTCCGTAAGCAGCGCCGATGTAGACCCACCGTCCCAAGTTGACCTTCTTAGCTGCCGCATCAAGCTGCTCCTCAGTGAGGGGAACGTCAAGTCCTGCGTCCGTGTACTCTGTGCGGGGATGGTAGTGGGCAGCATCGAGCGCAATGTGACGCAGACTGGCAGCATTCTGAAGGACCATGTTCTAGAAACATTCGTTAGCGAGCCCCATTGAGCAGGACCAAAGGTCCGACTACTTACCACGCGCAGGGGGCGGATAATGTCGACCACCGCCGCAAGATCCTCATCCTTCTCATAGGTGACCATGAATGGAGTGAAACCCGGTGCTGCAGGCATGAGCCACATGCCCATCTTGGTGATAATTCCATTGTTGCTCTGAGAGAAGATGCCGTCATTGATGGGGCCAAATCCATAGGGGAACAGCTGCCAACACTCGTTCTGGTGCTGGTCTTGGGGAGGGACGCCCTTTGCAGCTTGAGCGCGGCCTTCTGGGCTCTGCATGGCGCCCATTCCAGTGCGAACAACTTCTCCATTGGCAAGAACAATCTCCATGCCGCAATGCATCATCCAATGATCTCCGTAAGGGGTGAAGCCCACTCCATGATCTAGCGCGTTGCCGATCATAGATCCGTAGCCGAGCTCGGGAGAATCCAGCCAGACCTTATCGGCGAGTCCGTTGTCGTTGAGATACTTCTGCATTTGAAGGTATGTCACGCCAGGCTCAACAAGGCAGTAGCAATCCTCGGCATTAACCTCGAGGATACGGTTCAAGTGTGTGCCAAGGTTCATGACCAAACTGCCAGACACTCTCGGGGCGGCACCACCGTAGCCAACATTGTGGCCTCTGCTGAAGGTCCATACGGGCACGAGAAAGTCGTTGCAGAGCTTGACGATAGCTTGAATATCGGTGACATTCTTGGGGTGGATGAGAGCGCTGCCAACGAATTCCTCCCGCTCATAGAGGTGGTGCATGTCGTGAGTCAAACAGTCGACAGTGAGGTAATCGCCATCGTCCAGCACTGTATCATTGCTGATGATCTGGAGGTTCTCCTTTCCGACAGTCTGCAGCAGTTGGGAGGCGAACTCTTGGAACTTCTCGACGGAGACACCGGGTGGGAGGAATCTGGGGACTGGAACGGTCCCGCTGAAGCCATTCGTGTCCTTGACTGTGCTGGTTAGACCAGGCGCCATGTTGTGGTATCAATGATAGTGTGATGGAGATATTCTTGAGACGAGTCTGGGAGACCTAGGAGGGAGTAGAAGCTCTTTGAAGTGAGTCTAGGATGATTTTAGTGGATGGTTGATATGTGCTATGAGTGGAAGGGATGTAGCTCTTTTATTACTCGAAAGGACCAAAATGGGTCTTTCAGGAGCTCCAAAGCTATGTAGCTCAGGGTGAGCTCATGACGGAGACCGCACGATTGCGGACGTTCGGGCTCCCGAAGCCGCCGCCGGCGATGTTCCAGAAACAGATGTGAACAGTTCATCGAACATGACTTGATTGAAGTTACATGATCCACGTGAAGGAGGTCCGATCCCTGAGGATCCAGTTCGACCCAAATTACTGAATTCGGGGGAAGATATACGTATCGAACTTTGCCGAGTCCGTTGGGAATATCCGAACCTGAATCCCTACGGCCTTAAGGGTGTGATCTCGACACCACCGCCAGTTGCCGGTGGTGCATACCCGAAGCCTTGTGGAACACTTTAAGGAGTTCAAGCTTTTCAAAAATGTTTGTTGTTCTTGTTCCATCTGATTTCAAAGTCGCTCGAGAGTTGCATATTCCTTCCGTCTTTGGAGGCTGAGGGAGCCCGGCTGCGGTGGGATTCGTAGAAATGACTTGGGTACACCGTCATCCGGTGGGTGTAATTGGCCGTGACGGACGGGCTTACACGAATATTCGTACCCGTATATGTTTCGATTACGAAGTAAATGCCACTCCATCATGAAATAGTGTTTCGCCTGATCTAAGCACGTCACCATAGCAGGGCATCCCATGTCTGTTCCAGATGTCCAGCTACGTGATTCAGCCTCTAGCGGCACGCTTAACTGGACTTGACAGCAAGAAAGGGCTGAGTTTCCTTGATCAAACAGCCAAATTCTGCCCTTTCAGTCGGTCGAACGTAGGCATACCCATGCAACCGGAAGGGCAGTGCCCAGGATGTTGCCGTGTCGTAGTGACGTTTTCGCAATCTGGCACCGGACATGGCCAGAGTCTGGCTCCTGAGTCCTGCGATTTCTCATCACGCGAGGAACGCGAGTGTATCTCGCGGCCAATGTTGCCGAAGTCGCGATAGTCGCCGTACGAGTTTCCCTGTCTGTCAACGCCTGAAAGCCGACAGACATGGAATGTGACGTCCGCAGGATATCTCCGTGTCATTGAAGAGCGACTCTCTCGAAATGGAATCTTGATCGCCTAGGTTATAAAGACAACCTCGTGCTGCACATCATTTCATCCGAGAGCAACTGAACCCTACCCACCGCCCACCTAAATATTTTGACTCTCGCATATTAACTTCTGTTGATCTTTTGACAATGGCACCAACTGCAATCCTCAACACCACTAGCGAAAGCCTTCAGTCACCGCTGAAAGCTCGTCCCTCAGCTGTCACCGAAGGCACTATTCCTATTGACCCTCCCCTAAACCCTAAGCACAGGTGGTGGTGGGATAGATGCGCGCCGCTGTTGAACACTCTGCTCACGAACGCTGAGGGGTACACACCTGAGGAGAAGGTGGACCACCTGCGCGTCTTCCGTGACGTGGTGGTGCCCTCCTTTGGCCTCCCGACACCCAAAGCCAAGGTTCGACCTCTGCTCACTTACGACGGTTCTACGTTTGAACCATCGTGGAACTTCACAAAAGGCGATGACGGAGTGATCCGCTACACCTTCGAGCCTCTTGGCGATTCCGCCGGTTCGGATGAGGATCCTTTTGCTGGGGAGATTGGCGCTGCCATGATCCCGATACTCTCGCAGGTGTCATCTGGAGTCGACATGCGCTGGTACGAGCAGATTTTGAGAAGATGGTTCGTCACACCTGAAGAGACTGCTATTGCTCGGTCGAGGATGCCGGCTTTTGTCAAGCGCGTCCCACAACTTTTCCTCGCCTACGATATGAAGCGTTCGCAGCGATTCCTGAAGGCCTACTTCTTCCCTGTCCTCAAGCACTTCGCCCTCAACGTTACAACAGAAAAGCTGGTCTTTGATATGATTCGCGACCTGCAGCCCTGCGGCGACAAGCTTTACAAGGCATCCGAGAAGCTCCAGAAGTACCTTGCCACATGCAAAGAGCCTTGCCCGGTGGAGATGATGGCGATTGACTGTGTCGACCCCCACAAGGCCCGAGTTAAAGTATATGCCCGCACAACATCGAACTCAAAGGCGGTTCTCGCAGACGTCCTTACTCTTGGCGGAACCCAGACCGACGACGCAACAATGAAAGGCGTCGAATACGCAGAGAAGGTCTGGCACCTGCTTCTCGATGAGCCGGAAGGCATGGCCGCGAACCAGAGAAAGGATGCCAGAGACATGCACAACTTGCACAAGGGCATCTGCTTCGCGTTCGAGCTGAAGCAAAATGAAGAGCGGATTGACATCAAGGCTCACTTGCCATGGGGTCAGACGTCACGGAGCGATGCACAGACGATTGAGAACTTCACGCAGGCCCTGCAGAATGTAGGATGGGATGAGTCTGCAGAAAGGTTTTCCAGAGGCGCCCACGAAACTGCCAAGCTGTGAGTAGAAACCTTCGACTCAATGCTGTATACAGTGGCTAACTGAAGCTCATAGGCCCGGCCGAGATTACTCCAAGCCCGGAGGATTGTCATACGTATCATACAACTACGGCACCAAGGGTCTCTACATGTCCTCGTATTTCTCTCCAAAGGTTCAAGATAACTGAAAATTCGACCAACGACACCTTTACGATGGCAAGATTTCATTGGAAGAATGGGGCGTTCAGCAAGATGGGGTTTCGTGCAAGGTTGCTTTTGGTACACGGCAGGCATGGGCGCAAGAGCGCCCAACTTACCAGGATAGCCGCCACAGGGGCGATGAGGTCTACATGGTTGAATGATCTAGTTACTTACGTTATTGAACATGTGTTGTTGATCTCGAAGCTTGATTGGAGATTTTGATCGCCGATTTCCATCCGACGTTGAGAACTTGAATTAGCCAGACAATTGTTACCCGTCAGGAGCAGTCTCTCAGTACTCAAAGAGTCGCCAGTAAATTTTGACATGAACCTGAGTCAATGGGCAGAATGTAGACTCGTGTAGCATGCAATGCTGCGTGACCCTTCCGCATCTCGATCGCGTCTCGATCGATCACCCAGACGGAGGTTTACGCTCGTAGCACCGGTCGGGCAAATGATGGCGGCGTGGCTGAGGTCTTCATGCTTCACCCATCCGTCGCACTCGCGTTCAAAACTCGGTCCGTAAGTGCGAAGTCCTGTCCGTTAAGATGTCGCGGTATTGCGGACCGGGGAAAGGACCCGGGGCCGCTCAGGAGTAGAGCCGGACGTATGCCGAAAATTCTGAGACACACGAGTAATAATACGCCGTGAAACTTTTCGTGCGGCCGTCTTTTCATGATTATGATGACCGCCTCAAGCGGACCTCAAATCCTGCGAGTAGCCGTCGCTGCCGGTTGTGCGGACTCTCCCGTTAAGACGTACCGCCGGGCGGGAAGATGCGAAAGCGATAAGCTGAGGATACCAGGTCGTTTCAATGCTAGTGTCGCAAGTTGCGAACTCTTGGAGAATACGAGAGGCTATTGGAACGTTATGAACACTTGTCTTCCAGTTGCCAGGCCACAAAGATGTCTGTCCCCGTCCCTCGGGACCTTTTGAAACATCGCTGCGGACGTCCTGCACATCTCCCCAACCAACCCCGGCTTTGTCCGTGACAATGTTTCGAAGCATCGGACACCTGGAAAGGGTAACCAGTCGTCCTTTGCCTTCCATCTGCAGCCTGACAGACGTCATGCTCACATGCTGCATTGTCCGTGTTCTGCTTCGCAGTATTGTCCGGAAGGGACCCGAGCTTCTGCCACATTCCACATTCCTTCTATAGGGCGATTTCCGAGCTACCTTGGTTCGTCCGAAGTTTTGAAATATGCTTGAAACCTTTCTTTCGGTGGTTTCTCTCTCAATTGGCAGGACTTTCTCTGACCGAGAAACATCACGGAGAAGCTAAGACCCTCTGTTCGCAATGGCGCAAGTGCTGGTGCCGCCAGGCCGGGCCGGAACCGCGGATAGCATCCTTCCAGAAGATCACCATTTCAGGTAGCCCCACTGCATTTGACAGATGATTACGACTGCGGTAGGCATGATTTTGACGTCGATAGTTGAGCTGAGCGCCGGCGGCTCGGGGAGGCCCCCCTAGAACGGGCATGGAGTGTTGCTTTCGACCGAAGACCGCCGGTCCGTAGGATCATGCCATGCCCCTGTGCGATCGTTTTCGGACATGTCCATTTTGTGCCTTGCATCACGATGGACTTTTCGTGAGTAAGTGAGCAGAAATTAGCCTGAGGGAGAATACCGAGACGTCTTTCAATAGTATATAATCAAGCTTCTCACCCTACAAGTGCCAGAGAAACTTTCAATTCATCATCACAACATCACAACCAATCATCAACAAGAGAATACATAGGCCGTCCAACATTTCGTCGTAACACCTAACCACACTCTCAATATACTTTTATCGACCACACTTACACAAATACAACATGTCTGGAGTCACCGAGCGCAAGATCATTCCCGTCAAGGGCGGTGTCGATGACTGGAAGGAGCCCCTGAAGGCATACCTCCTTGCTCTGAAGACCCATGATGGCTACCTCCGCACTCGTTGGGGACCCTGGAGCGAGAACGAGCAGTACCTCGATGTCATCTCTGGTAAGTAAATTGCTCGAGGCGAAGCAGTCAGTCTTATGGCATACAACGAGGTTAACGTGCATCAACAGGCTGGAAGACGAGGGAAGCTCGCGACGAGTTCTTTGCCTCCGCTGAGGGCAAGTCGGCCATGAACAACTTCAAGACTGTCATCAACGGCGAGGTCAAGTCATACTTCATCAAGTTTGTTCCCTACGCACCGAGAGGCGCCATTGACTCCCCGATTGCCGAGGTCATCACAATTAGCGGCTCGTCAATGTCTGAGGATGAGATGAGAGCTCAGATCGACAAGGCCCGCGGCATGCCTGGAATGAACGACCTCGCCAGTGGTATGTCGGTCGAGGATGTCGACGGTGGCAAGGTGTTTGTCGCGGCTTTGGGATGGGAGAGCGTCGAGAAGAGCAAGGCCGCTGACAAGTCTGCCTACGTCCCCGCTTCTGGAAAAACAGAGGTTCACCACGTCAACTTCCACTACCCCATCAAGGGCTTCTCTGTTACCAACACCCACTAGATTGCATTGTTGAGCAAAGTTTCTGGGGATCATTAGACGGGTTGCTGGTCAATAGCGGTAGTCTGATATCTTGGAATTCAATTCATTACACAACCACGTGTTCAGTGAATAATGTCTACTTAAACTCGACGAACAACTTTATGGGACTGCAATGACCTTCTGGTTGCAAGCTGTCATTGAGGTTGTCACACAAAGTAAATGTCTTGGCACCTCCCCCGACACCAGTGACATGTCATTGGCACCAAGGTTATCCATCCACAAAATGCTCTCGGTACTCCAATAAACACTTTAATGAACACCTCCGCGCGTCCGTGGCAAGAATTCCAGCAAGCCGACGGAGCCGAAAAGATCGGACGGCCTGAGACAGACACGCGTTTTTGGTGTGCTTCATATTACGGCAATATCGAACTGCCCCAACGGACCGCAACTTGAGATGAAAATGTGACGTTCACAAACAAAGTTCCGCTCGGACTCGGGACGGAGGGATGCGGTCCCCAAACCGGGAGTCCGACCCCTGTATATACAAACACGACGTCGACAACCAAGCAAAGATGAGATATAATCACGGCATGTAAAACTGCAGGAGTCTTTCAGATGCGGTGAAACGTAATCGCGTACTCGGGATAGAGCGTCCTGGGGGCCAACATCAGTAAGGTAACCTGGCGACAGCAGCATTTGTAAGCTGGTCGAGCAATTTAAAGAACAATGTAGTTCTCATAAATAGACCCTCGCAGTGTTTGACCAACCTAGTTATCGATGTGAAGCACACCTTTTATCACAATCCCAAGACATCATACATCAAAAATGGCACCAAAAATCCAGAAAGTAGCAATCGCTGGCGTAAGTTCAACTCCCAAGACTCATGGGCATACCTATCTAACTGCAGCTTAGGCAACCGGCAACGTCGGTAGCCACGTTCTCAAAGCATTGGTGAAGGATGGTTTCCAAGTCACCGTTCTGACACGCAAGCAAGGGTCATTCCCAGAGGGAGTCACGGTCAAGGTTGTTGACTACACCTCACATGACACCCTCACAGACGCCTTGAAGGGCAATGAGGCTTTTGTCGATTGTACTCTTGTCCAAGACGACACCCCTACTCGCATGATGGACGCTGCCGCTGCAGCTGGAATCTATCGGTATATCCCTTCAGACTTTAGCTTGGATTTCAACAACCCCAAGCCCCACACTCTGCCCATCTGGTTCAAGAAGGATGCGAACGACAAGTACCTCCTTAAGAAGTGCGAAGAGACCAGCATGACCTGGAGCATTGTTTGTAACGGCGCCTTTTTGGACTTCTGTTTACGCACTGGCTTCTTGAACATTGACATCCACAAGAAGAAAATTGACTACATGAATGACGGGAACAACGTCATTGCGTGGACCACCCTCGAGACTGTCGGTAAGGCAGTGTCTGGAACCCTGTCACACCCCGCTGAAACGGAGAACCGCCCTGTATATGTTCACTCTGTTTACAAGAGCCAGAGGCAGATGGCAGATCTTTGCAAGGAGGCTCTGGGGTCTGACGGATGGGAGGAGACGAAGTCGGACATGGAGGAGAAGTTCGCTTGGGCAATGAAGGAGATCCAGGCTGGAAACTTTGACCTGGGCGTGCTGGCAACTATGATTCAGTATGCAAACTCCAGGGCGGACTTTTCTTCGCCTTGGCCGCAGGATGATAATGCACTGTTGGGCGTTAAGGAACTTTCAGACGGGGAAATCAAGGAGTTGATCAAGAGTCTCTAGCTAGATTACAAATCATCAAGTAACTGGCTGCGCAGGCCGAGTCAATCTCAGCCCAAATGCATCCTAAACTGTTAACTTTCCTTCCAGCAGTTTAATCGACAATGTACACCTCGTTCTGAGTGAACATAAAATTTCGTACCAGGAATATTCATAGTCTATGGCTTTGGAAACTCGGAACTAGACACATGATATTGCAAAGAACTTCTTTGGTTATTTGGAAACCGATAGTGTAACATGCGAACTTTTGTTCAAATATTGGAAACTATTCTCAATAAGAACAGCCTCGCCTAGTTATTCGTGTGAACAAGAAAACACTGACTGGCAATATAAGAACAAGGATGCTTTTGACTGGTTCATAATACGAAGTGGCCTACCAGAACTATGAGTTGAAGCAAGTATTTCAAACGTCACTGTTGTACTTCTTTTCCCCTGGAATCAGCCAAATAATAGGCGTTCACCTAGCTAGATTGGCCGTGGCTTTGATAAGTTCACGAGATGTCAGGGGCAAAGACCAGTACCATACCAATTATCACTAAATTACTTCCAACTTGAGTGACGGGATACTTTCATCATCTAGTGAGAGATCATATTGTTTTCGTTCCGCCGCTCCTCGTCGTTAGGCAATTCACAACAATCAACAAGGGATGATTCCACATGTGCAAATTTCACGTTCTGAAACATGTCTGTACGGTTCGCTGACCACATCAATGGGTCAGTAGCAGATTGCATTGTACTGTGCTCGACCTTCTTGCCACCTTGCTCTTTTGTTATTTGGAACGTTGATAGTGCGCATGGGTAACCTGCAAAGTGCCGCTTCTGGTATAGGCAGGTACCGCATACAATTCTAGAGGATGCATGGTTAGTCTTCTTTGAGTTGAGTCATCTTTCAGTTATCTTGAAGGCATGAACGTGTCGGGAGCCGAAGCAGAACTAGGCCTTGGAAATGCTAATTAGTTGACGCTATGGGTTAGTGGAGAGTTGCCATAGGTGGTTGCGTAATGCGGGAGGAAAGCCCACTACACAACGAGAAAATACCACACGTTGATCGAAATATGAAATTTCATAAAGGATACCCAGATCGTAATAAATCGCAGAGCCAAGGGTTCTACACTTTTGAAGATTTTAACACAATCTCTTGACGAGCCACGGGAAGACCTGTTACCTACTGGTCAACTCAGATCGTTTCTTGCGTTAGTTTGTCGGACACATTAACACCTTTTCCAATGGATACAATAGACGCTTGCATGCGGAGAAAACATTCCAAGACTTGTGCCGTTCTTCCACTACACGTCGATCTGAAGATGCCGATACCCTTGAGCTCATCGAGAAGACAGCATACCCACTTCATGATCACGCCGACAAATGTCCTTGCCATGCCGCTGCATTTCATGACTCACGTTACCATCGTCATTACTATGGTAAAGTCCTCTGAATGAACAAGCAACGGGCTATTCTTTATAGGCTCGCATAGTCAGGATGCTTGCTCGCAGCGCGTCGTGCCGGGAATGCCAGAAAGTTTAAGCTGCGCCCGAAGCGTTTCTAATCTCACCTTTTCCGTCTCTATGCGGCCTTTTCCGTGGCCAGCATATATGTTCCTTCAGATTTCTCATCTCGCTCTCATTATTCATCTTCGTTCATTGTTAAGCAAAACCTCTCTCGGCAACGAACAACTAGTTGATGCGATTTCAGTTCTCACATCTATCCTACTCCGAGTCCAGTCTCATATTTCAAAGATGATGGCTTACCATTCTAGACATCCGTGCCTAAATATTTTGCCGGTCGGCACACAACAAGGTTTCTCGACGGCGATGCAGAGAGAAACTCTACTTTGCCGTTGGTGACATCCCCTCGGGCAACGACCCGGCAAGACGGGTAGCTCTACAGCCGGCAGATTCTAGCCCGGAGACCGGCTCTTGAGCTTCAACTACGTCACGGACGTAACAAGAATACTCCGATAGAAAATATTCCAGACAGTTGAGGTTCATGCGCTATAAATGCATCTCAAAGACCATATGCTGCGACAGGTTGAGATATTTGAAGTTTTGCTCTATCATGGAAGTTAAGAGTGGCAAATTACATCTACCGAACGTTTCTTCGATATTTCACGGAGTCACAGGGTGGCCATACGGAGATGCCAAGTCTCGAATTGCACGGACTTCAAGATTCCATCTGGACAGTTTGATGCGTGGGAAAATGACCGAGAGCGAGCGAGTCTATCGCGTTTCATGCCAAGATGCAGGATATTCTCTTTGAAACCTGTGAATACAGTCGGGCGTTCATTATCCATAGGTAAAAACCTCCCGAGCAGAGACTAAGGCCCGGTTCGTAGCAGGATCTACATACGTACGTCAGTCTCTCGAAGACGGCCAGCCAGCTTCATCAGCGCACAGGTGATTGCCGGCTCGAACAGCAAGATCTCAGCCTCCACTTCTAGAAGACTTCAAACACGTTCGCCGTCTGAACTAGAAGTGTTCGGCCAAGATAGTCTGTCCCAGGTATCCCTTCGTCCTCCTCCAATCACTCGTACTGATTCTGCCACAAGACAGACGACCCTCCACGAATCCTGCGAACCAACATCAAGAAAACGGCGACCTTCCCTATTGGTTTAGAGTTCATGCAGCGTCGCAGCAAAGTCAAGTGTGGCAGAAATCTGATTCGCAGGGCGACCTCTCGTCCTCACTCTGGGTTTCGCTATGCAGACGAGTCAGTTCATACGCGCTCCCCAACCCGCGATTCTCCCAGTCTCAAACGCCGAGGCGCAAATCGTAAGCCTCTCTGAGGAGATTTATACTTTTCCTCGTGAGGTGGTTCCCGAACCTTAATCGCACCGGCGCTCAGACTCCTGCAGATGCCAATCAGTCGTCTTAAGTAGGTGGCCATGGAAACATTCCATTTGACCACTGCAACGGCCTGCTTTGCGCCATCGCATCTTCCATCCCGTCTCCCGCTGACAACCCCGATCGCCGTTGTTCATTCCATGATGCCGTCCAAGCGAATCGAACGAACGGCGCCGGCGACCCTTCGAGTCCGAGTACTGTACTGAGCGACAGAGAAGAGAATGGCGGGCGAGACGGGGACCATCTCGGTCTCGCAGGTCCAGGCGATGGTGATGATCGCCTTCGCCGCGACAGCGTACTACAACACCATCGAAACATTCTTCTCCATCTTCACGACCTTCAAGCGGCGACGGGGACGGTACTTTTGGAGCATGATCGTCAGTAACACGGGGATCAACATCAACGTCATCGCCTTCGTCCTGCGATACTTTGGATACTACCACGGAGCCATCGTGGCGTCGAGCTTCATCATCCCGATCGCATGGTACTCTATGGTAACGGGGCAGGCCATCGTCCTCTGGTCCCGACTTCACCTGGTGGTTCACAGCCAGTGCAAGATCCGCATGATTCTCGTCATGATTATATTCAACGCGGTCACGATGCACGTCCCTGAGACGGTCATCTTCTTCCTGGCGAATTTCGAACACCCAGCGAAATGGTCAATGCCCTTCAAGATCTACGAGAAGGTGGAGTTGGTCGTCTTCACGATACAGGAGACCATCATCGCCGGCTTTTTTCTCTACGAAGGCTACTACAGCCTAAAACCTCTGAGCGCGATCAAACCAAAGGCGGTCGCAAACATGGTGCGCCATCTTGCGGGTCTCTTCGCCGCCGTATTCCTCCTCGATATAGGCCTGATCGTACTCGAGTACAACGACAAGTTTGAGATCCAGACGATGTGTAAGCCATTCGTGTACAGCGTCAAGCTCAAAGTCGAGTTCGTCGTGCTCAACAAGCTATTATCATTCACCAGAATGAGCACCTGCAACTGCCGAGGGCCGGAAAGCCTTCCTTCGGTGACATTACCGGATAGTCACAAGCGCACCATGGTCGGCCAGGGCGCCGTTTTGGTGGCGCTGCCAGATATCGAGCAGACAGGAGGGTCTTTATCACCGTTACGACGTACATTTACCGACCACATCTACGATGGGCGCCAGGCTGCCGGTACTCCTGTACGGAGAAATTCAAAAAAGAGTCAGCTGTCAATAAGGCAGAGAGAGGTGACCGATGACGAGGCGCCGCTAAACGAAAAGAGCACGACGAGCAATGGATGAAAAAGCAGACACAGAGCTGAACATCGGACCTTTTGCGCATTCCAATTCAGCAGCAACGTGTCTTGCCCGGGATCTGAGGCAGTCAAATGACTTAGTCCTACATTGGCTCATGCTCGAAGGTGAGTGGTAATAGTGGTCGACAGTAAGTAGACTACCTTACTTACACACCACCTTCTAGGCCCAGTGTACCTACCTCAACATCTGGCAGGTGCCCGAACGAGGCAAAGGGAAAACCCGCGCTATCTCAACACCAGCTATAGTGAAAATTGCGCTTCGATTGAGAAGGGAGCATGGGAATTATCACGGAGATGCGAGCAGCGGTCGGTAACAACGAGATGCTGCTCGTAGTGACAGCAATCGGCCAAGTACCGTTACGGTGAGTTTCCAGAGACTACGCTATCGTGAAAATCAGGCTGCTGTTGAGCGGCTGGACAGAATCTAGGATGTCGTCTAAGAGACGAATACAAGGAGGAAGACACTCATGGGAGGGATCATTATACCAAGGCCAGATTGAATCTGAAAGCCTACGAAAGATAGACAGCGTGTCAGCGTGATATCACTACCTAGACTAAATCAATAATGTTTACTCATCTCCATGGCCAATGTGGGTAACGCATGTCCGTATCGAGAGAATCGACTTCCGAAAGCGAGTGATTGAGGCAACCATATGTGCGGTTATTCAAAATTCGACTTTGCAGCCGCCGGTCGATTCTGGACCCCAAACCGGCATATGTTCGGTTTCCATGATCCGAGACCCCCGCAAGGGGTTAAAGTTTCTGTCGTACAAACTCTCTTCGCGCCTGCCGAGAGATCTGGCTATGTGCGTTTGAGCCACCGTAAGACTACGGCAGTTTCGCAGATTGGCAAGTGTACGGAAACAGTAGTGTACGCCATTTCTCTCGCGGAATTGTAGAACATGTAATTAATAGGTAACAAGTTATGCCATAACAACAAAGCATATGTAGATATTCGACGAAAGAGAATTTGTCCCGTAGGTGCTTTCCTTCGAGTCTCTTTTTATAGACTTTGAGATTCCTACCAACCAAATCGGCTGCGCGGTGTCGCCATATCTGGTGACTTCAGCTGAGTTTGAATTTGAGTGTGCGGTCGCTCGAGGTGGACCGATGGAGGAACGCATGGATGCCACCGCCGGTTCCGAAGAATCTTGAGAAGCGGCACATTCCCCGTACTGAATCGGCGTTGCGAACGACTCGGCTCGGAACAATGAGAACGGGTAGCTGACTCGGCTTGTTGATCTTGACCTTCTTGAGCTGTTCTGACGAACTGTTAACTTCAAAAGAGGCATTCTAGCAGGTTTATGAGGCGGGATGATGTCACTTCAGTATCTAGAGCCGCCTGCTGGCTACGGGTAGGGCTGCGGATGGCCGGGTTGCTGAGTCGACTTTAAAATGTCATACTTTTATCACTACGTGTCTGTGGGAAGCCGAGGCGCGCAAGGACACTTGTAGAATATCATCTGACGCCTCAAGAACATTGCCGCAACGTTTGTGAGGTTACAGTAGGTGTCGTACGTAATAAACTGAATATCGCATCTCATTATGCTTAAAAACTACCTATGTGTACCAAATAACAGCCATTTGGTAAGACCCAAGTTAAACTACAATGACCTTTGACCCAATACATGCACCCAGACAGATTTGTGTTGAGAGACTATTACATATTCAGACAAACAAACGGCCAACTCATCCACCTCCACTGAACGTTTCACCCCCAGTCTTGAGATACTCTTTCTCCTCGGGCGTCGACTGCCGGTGCATAGCAAGGTTTCGGTGCGGATACCTCCCAAACTGGGCGATTATGTCTCGATGCTTCATCTCAAAGTCGTAATTGGTTTCAAGCAGGTCTCTCGCCGTCTCTTTCTGTACCGCCAAGACTCCCCAGCACTTCCTCTGATCGTCGTCTCCGGCGGCCCCGTCCCCAGCCATGAGCTCCTCAAAGTCGTCCTTCATCTTTTGGTAATGCTCCACCGCCAAGTCATGCAGTGCGAGGTCTTCCGAGTGCATCAGCGGGAGATAGAACCACATGCGATACGCTACCCGGTACTTTGTCCGGTTGTGCGTTGTCGCGCCGGCGTTGATGGCATGGTTGGCGATGTCGCGGGCGATGGGGTCAAAGAACTTGAAGACGACGGAAGATTCTGCGCCACGATAGCAATTGCGGGGGATCTGGTCCAGGAGCAGGACGAGGCTCAACCACTGAAGTGGCGTGATGGGCCTTACGATGGCGATGATGTCTCTCGAAGTCGCCCTCGATGACTTGAGGGCTTCTAGAGCCGGACGGAACTTTCTCCTAAGAGCTCTAGTCAGTTGCACGTGTTCAAGGACGGAGGCAAGTGGGCTGATACGAACACGCAGCTCTCGTCAAAGTTCTCGTCGGAGAAGAACCAACGCCCCAGCTGGTTCTTCTGCGGCAGGATGAACGCTTCTTCAGTATGCAGATGCTTGAACCAAAACCTCCGCAGCTTCTCGAGGAGATCCGGCGTGATGACCTCCTTCAAGTGCGCTGTCGCGTGCGCCCTGCATGCCTTGGATCGGGGAAGGCCGCTCGTCAGCGTCATCTCGTCGGCGGAGTCGCGAGAATAGCCGGTGCTCTGGAAACCGCGTCTAGGCCGAATAGACAGTCCCGATGGCGAACGAGACCCTGCGCATACCACGCGAGGCCCACAACGACGCTGAACCGTCAAAGTCTGCCACGAACTCAACCGCAGCAACGGCAGTGTACGGTCGAAGGACCCCGCATTTCGCAGGCTCCGGCTGATCTGGTGAGGAGGCATGACAGCTACCGCGCCTCCTCCTCCTTCCTCCTCACTCCCCCAACTCAAGAAGCGAGCCGTAATTCGACAAAGGGGGCGCGCGGCGGTGACCTGCGAATCGGCAAAGGGGTGGTGCCACTGGCTGCACTGACGTCGTCCGATCTCTCGTTCTGGGTTTGTGCGGCCTGGGGAAAAAGAGAGCAGGAAACGTTCTGGGCACGCCTAAATGCGGGGTTTGTGCAGGCTGGGCGGCCCCTTGTGCAAGTAGGGGTCTCTCGCTTGAGGCCGCTAATGCAACGCGGCGTTGTGCTTGGGGTTAGCGGGATGAATGCGCACAACTTGGATTGGCTGGAGGTGGCTTGAGAACATCACTTGATCATGGCAAAAGGGATGGCGCTACGACTACGACGTGGCGGTGGAGGTTTGGGAAGAGAGACGGCCACGCGCTGGAATGTAATGATGCAGATCAGAGATCGCCAGCCAGAGACACGATAGCCTGATATCGAGCCTAAACACTGGGTTGTTGTGTTAGGTCATCCTCCGTGGCTCATGTGTGGTGGCTCTGTGGCCGTTATTTGTGCGCCGCAAAGAGTCTAGTTTGGCTGGGCTTGTGGTTGAAACATAGCCAGCGCTTAGAGTGACATGTAAACTGAATGCCAAGTTTGAGGGGCTTATGTCACCTCACACAACAGCCTTGGGAAATGAACCCGACGATACGATGCCTTCGCGTTTCTTCACGCCGTTCAGATACAGTCTCTGCAATTTCATATGCAGTGTAGCGGATCATAACGCGATGTGAACTTGTGGAGAGAATCTCGGCTTCCAGAAGACTTGGCTAGCATTTCTGTGGTATTCAGAACTGCCTAAATGCACAAGGTAGTGTGCCTCAATGCCGGAGTCGGTATTGATCCGTACCCCAGACAGAGCTGCAGTAGTCCGTCAATGGCGCCATCCAGTCGGCTTCTTGGGAACCGCGAGTCTCTTTCCTTGAAACCCGGCAGAAAGCAAAATCCTCAGATTCCTCCCGACCGATCAATGGCACTTGCGCATTCAGCCGGCGGTAAAAAGGCCTCGACCATTCACTGCAACCCGAGCGAGCGCAACTTTGGTTCGCATCATCAATTCGAGATTTGTCCCGCCGCCTCCTGAGCTGACAGCGGGCCGCATGCTAGCTCGAGCATCCCGAGCCTTAAAGCTTGTGTTAAGCACAAGTGATGTGCAAGATCCCTCCTCGCTGGACGATGAGCTCCGGGGATCATCTTCGAACGGCCCAATTTGTTGGATAAATAACCCCATCGTCAGCCTTCAAAAAGGAAGCCGGCATGACCGGCTAAATAGCTAATAGGGGTCGGGCATGCTTACCTCTTCCAAGCTCGCCAACTCGGCCGCAGTACCGGACTGTTCCCCCCTTGCGCAAAATTGCGGAGAGCACCGACAGGGATCATGCAACATCGGCCCCGGCTTGGCTCATTTACTCCCGACGACGCGGCACTCAATCCGACTCCTGGCCTAAACCCGTCCCGGCGATTGGCGGAACCGCAAAGCTCCTGATCGGTCCATCGCGGCCGTCATCCAGTCACCTTTTGGGCAGGTTTCCCAGCTCCGCCGCCCAAAAAACTCGTAAAGATCGGACAGGACTGGGGAACGCTCGACCAGGGAGCTCTCGCCAACGACCACCCACCGGTTCCAAGAATGCTACCCACGTGGGTCGACGTTAGTTTATTCTGGGCAAAGCGCATCGCTCTGGCCCCCATGTTGATGGTCGATATCCATTGTAAACGGCACTTGAATCTCCGTTTTCCCCTTGTCGTCACATCGGCCTCCCTGTGGTGGATTGATTTGACCCAGCGAGGCAAACAAACCGATCGAAGGGAAATCTGATTGAAAAAGGGACGGCCTCGTCCTCCCAGCTTCGCGATGTTTCTCCTCTTTGCTGCCTCACGGGACTCTCTGTTCATAGTTTTCCGACCTCTCCATTCATTCTTTTAAACACATTTTTTGTACATACGTATCCAGCTTGTTGATCAACATGCGTTCCTTCGCTTCTATCTTCACGGCCACCCTCGCCGCCGTCGGCGCTCTCGCCGCTCCCGCTGCCAACCCCGGCACCGATCTCATCAAGAGAGCTTCCACCCCCAGCTCTCAGGGCACCAGCAACGGCTACTTCTACTCCTTCTGGACCGACGGCGCCTCTCCCGTTACCTACACGAACGGCGCTGGCGGCTCCTACTCCGTCGAGTGGCAGTCCGGCGGCAACTTGGTCGGTGGAAAGGGCTGGGCTACCGGCACCTCCCGCAGCATCAAGTACTCCGGCACCTGGGCCCCAGTCAACAACGGCAACAGCTACCTGACCATCTACGGCTGGACCAGGAACCCTCTCATCGAGTACTACGTCGTAAGTTGCACCTCGACCCAAGCACACCCACCCATATCAGGAACAAGATGCTGACCCCAATGCTTCCAGGTTGAGAACCACGGCGAGTACAACCCCGGTTCTGCAGGAACCCTCAAGGGCACCGTCACCTCCGACGGCTCCACCTACAAGCTGTACGAGAGCACCCGCACCAACGCCCCCTCCATCGACGGCACCCAGACCTTCAAGCAGTTCTGGGCCATCCGCGACAACAAGCGCACCGGCGGAACCGTCACCATGTCCAACTTCTTCAACGCCTGGAAGAACGCCGGCATGACCCTCGGCACCTCTTTCGCCTACCAGATCGTTGCCACTGAGGCCTACCAGAGCGCCGGCAAGGCCAGCATCACTGTCGAGACTGCTGCTTAAGCAGTCTTTGGTTTGATGTGAGGGGGACATGTGATGGAGAGGTAGCGGTTGAGGAAAATATACACGATCGTCGGCATTAGGGAGGATGTCTTTAGTGATTCTCACCGGAGAGCACAGGATCAGTGATGAAGCGAAGGGCAGGCTCTACAGCCGTTGAAAGGCAGACGTTTCACTGAATTTCTTCGAGGGGCACACCCCTATGCTGCAAATAAAACTTTATTCCGCCTATGATGGCGTCGACTTACCCAAGCATCAGCCTCATCGTACAAGTCCCTATCATCGTGTTTGTTTCATCCTTATGCGGTTGGTTTGCGATCTCATGCGAACGGGATGCTGTGCGCCGAGAGACAGACTGAATGACTCAAGTGAGTTTTGATGCCGAGCCCTTACTGTACTGCACAGCCATGCGAATAGCAAAGCTGATGTGGAATCAAATATGTTCGACCCACTAGACGGATGGACTGATGAGTCTTTCTCCCGGCCTAGCGCGCTGGTGTCGAGCCGGTTGTTCGGAGAGTCGGAAGCCGGGCGGGCCTGGAGACCGGGGCTTGTGGGGTTTAATTATTTGACTCTCGGAGCCGGGCGATCGGAGCGGATGTCAACAAGGGTCCGACTCAGGTAACTATTTAGAGAATGGAGAGATGGGCAGTGGTTCATTTATTTAAGCATCACTTCCGGGAATGCACGGATGGTGACGGGCAGCATCAATTTCGTCTCTCTGCTCCCTACTCATCTCGAGATGGCTGTTCTGGGTTGTTCGCCAACACAGGTAACGTGGAATCTCATAGCGAACGTGCAACGAGCCGACGATTTCCCAAATATGACACATGGCAATAGTCATTGATCCGACAGTCAATATTCTTTCGATTCACGACATTCAAACATTACAAAATCGTCCTCGCCATGCTGTGAGCTTATCGTGGAGCGTTGCACCTTGCATGTCGGCTTCGCCGGCTTCGGACTTTCAACCTGAATTTTGCCAACTTTCTGATTCAATATTTCTCATCACCGATACAATCTCTGATAGCCTCGCAGCTAAACCATGGACAGCGCTTTCCGACCCTATTCCGACTCTTAGCCCTTATCTCTGTGGGGGTTCGTTGACGTGTTTCCCATTCCGAGACCCTTCCGACGCCCACCCACCGGACCGCTATCTTTGCTTATCGTCTTGAACACCGCTGCTAGGTAAGCTTGTGAATCATGCAACTCCTCATCTTGCATGTGACAATGTGTTGCTTTGCCACTCACCCTGATGAAGGCGGATGAGCACAAATGCGAGTCTTGAGAGATAACGCATCCCGAGGAGTCCGTGATACAGACAGAATAATTGTCATCAAACACCTGAGGCGGATGAGAATCATCCGGGCGGGTATGTGTTCTTGATTGTGTGGAAGCTACTGATTGGCATACAAGGCAATCGACTTGAACCGTTTCTGCCATACGCGCTTCTCAGCTTAGCTCACGAAATCGGTCTTGGCCCACGACATGCCCGTCGGCGATCAGGAACTGCGTAGGACACCACACTCGACTTCGAAAGCATGATACTTTCATTTCACTTTCTCTGGAATCTCAAAGTCGTGGTGATAATCACAAGAGTGCTCCCTGATTCAAACCCTCTACCCAGCGCTGCCGTTAAAGCCAATAAATTAAATAACGCCAAGATTTGACTGATTTGATTGCCCCTACGCCAGTATTGGTTGATTTGCCCTGTTGGCCAATATAACAAAGCAAATCCATAGAACACGTGACTCAAAGCCGCC